TCACTTAATCCCACATGAGGGGCTTTGCTCATGGCGGGGGACTTTGACCTTTACTAGACACTTCCGGATTTAACAGCTCGCACTGAAACGCACAGGAAAACACAGGCTAAAAATAGCTCATGACTGTGCGCAGGAAACGTATTTTCTTCAAAAAATAATAAATAAATAAATAAATAAATAAATAAATAAATAAATAAATAAATAAATAAATAAATAAATAAATAAATAAATAAATAAATAAATAAATAAATAAATAAATAAATAAATAAATAAATAAATAAATAAATAAATAAATAAATAAATAAATAAATAAAATAATGACAAAAAATTAATTTTTTTTTTACTTCTTTTACCGTAAAAGTAGTCGATGTTTTTTATACGCCATAACCAAAATATTCCGTGCGAATAATATAAGAGTTCAGTTAGGATTATGCTTAGGCTTAGAAAAGAGATCTGGATTAATGGACTAGCGTTATGTATAGTATCAAATCTCATGGTTATCTACTATGGTAATTTATTCATGGGCTTGTGGCAAAGTTGTTTTTGTTTTCTTTTAAAAGCCTAAGTTGTTTCGCAATTACTTTGCTGAAATTGAAAAACAAGGTAATTAAAAAGTCTAGTGACAATTTTAGCGCAATTTCCTTATGTTATCTAAAAATAGCTCTGTCGTAGCGTAAATCAAGAGCAGGGTTAGTAAAACCATTGGTTAAAATACATGTTTTATTTACAATAGAGTTACATGACTAAAAACCATTGCGCGCCTAGCTACTGAACGTGATGACGCAGCCATTGAACGTGATGGCGCAGCTATTGAACGTGATGTCGCGTGTGGTGTGGTTGGAAAAAATGCCTACTAATTCGGTCCAAATTTTAATTAATTAAAAAAAAATTTGTGACCGAACGAAAGGATATTTTTGAAAACTTTCTTCGGCAATATTGTTCTAAATTATGGCAGAAATAGATTGGTACATGTTTCAAGTCGTTAAGTGGTCTGGTTGCCGAGATATGGGCCAAAAACTGCATTTGTTCGAGGTTTTTTGGCGTTTCCGGGAAATCCATGTAAGAAACCCGGAATTTTTATGGCCTATGCTCATCCTCGTAACTTGCTTAACATAATTGCTTTTGGAACTAGTCATCGATATTGCTTCGTTGAGGAGGAGATACGACTTAAAGCTGCGGACACACATTCATCCATTCATCCATCCATCCAGAAATGACGGGTTAATAAACGCAATTCTCCAGAATGGAAATTGCGCTAAAAAAATCTACTAAGTTTTGATTTTTAAAAAGTGTTTCCTGGTTACTATATTTAAAACCCCTGCTGAATAATTAATTTCAGTGAAAATTATATAAGAACCTGACAAGATGTAAACTAGAAAAATGGTCTATTATCAACAGGATCGAAATTATGTAATAAAAATTATATATTTTTCTCATTATCTTGAAAACCTAAATAGAAATATAAAATAACTAAATCCGTCTTTATATGGAAAAACTAAATATAATTGTAAATTAACTAAACCGGTCTTTAAACAAACAAGTATTACCTTAAACCTATCGTAAATGACAAAAATAAAATGTTGTTTTTCATGAACTACAACTTGTGTCAAATTAGTCATCTACAATATTTTCTTAGTTATTTCCCTTTGATTGAAATTTTCTTCCCCGAGCCGCAAAGGGCCGCAATTACAACTCTCCAGCGGACGGTTTTTGCAGCTCTCCGTATCTGTGCCCACGATAGCCAAGTGGCCCTGCCCCCTTCTTCTACCGTTCTTCTTTCGATTGTGAGAAATACACTTAAAATTATATATATATATATATATATATATATATATAACTTTTTAAGTGTTGTTATTCAATTTTCTCTACCAGGTGTCGCAGCCCTTGAGTGTTTTGTTACGATAAATAAAATAAAATAAAAACTCAAAATTTTCATTGTCTATCATTTAGGGAAGAAAAACCCTCAGAAAAAAAACGAAGTAAATGGAACACAAATGTCCTATTATACATTTAGAATTAAAAACTAAAGTAAAAAAAATAACATAGTTTTACTATGGAGTCCAGATGGTATAGGAATGGTGCTTAACTAGACGCCTTAAGGTAAAAGGACACAGGGAAGGCTAAGGGAGACGTGGAGGCGGATAGCAGAAAAAAAAACAGAGAGCAGGACTATCTTGGGCGTCTGCCGAGAAAGTTACCAGGGACCGACAAGGTTGAACGTTTTTTCTGTGGCGGCCCTGTGAAAGAGAAAAGATGATGATGAACGTGGTAGAAAATGTATGTGTATATGTGGATCATTCTCTGATTATGTTGATGATGAACGTGGTAGAAAATGTATGTGTATATGTGGATAATTCTCTGATTATGTTGATGATGCGTGCCCACCCATTCGGTCCAAGCCTTAAGATTTTTACTAGCACCGTACCGATAGACCCCGTGGTTTCACATGTTAAGATGGTGTAGATGTGTTCTTGTCACTTTTAAGTGCCGGTGATGTTAGTGATGTACTTTTAAGTGCCGGTGATGTTAGTGATGTTTTTACAAGCATATCTGTGTTGATCAACACATGTTTAGAGATTATCTGAGAGATTGTCACGTGGCGCGATGACGTACGGAACAGACGTGACCTGATGGTTGTCAGTCATAGGAAAATAACAACCTTTAGACAACATCTGCATGACATAGCTGCACTAGATTGTCACCTGAATGACATGACAGTACTTCAATTCACCTGAATGACATGACAGTACTTAAATTCACCTGAAGGACATGACAGCACGTAAATTCACCTGAAGGACATGACAGCACGTAAATTCACCTGAAGGACATGACAGTACTTCAATTCACCTGAAGGACATGACAGTACTTAAATACACCTGAAGGACATGACAGCACGTAAATTCACCTGAAGGACATGACAGTACTTAAATTCACCTGAATGACATGACAGCACTTAAATTCACCTCAATGACATGACAGTACTTCAATTCACCTGAAGGACATGACAGTACTTCAATTCACCTGAAGGACATGACAGTACTTAAATACACCTGAAGGACATGACAGCACGTAAATTCACCTGAAGGACATGACAGCACTTTGATTCCCCTGTATGACATTTAAATTTACCCGTATAACATTGAAAGAATTGAAATAAATGAACTTTACTGGAAATTTAGGATAGATGAAGTGTAACGTTTAAAGTGTGGGGGAAGGGAGCGCTGCACTCCTGGATATATATATATATATATATATATATATAAATATATATATATATATATATATATATATATATATATATATATCAGAGGCATAGAGAGGGGGGGCGGGGGGTGCGGAACGCACCGGGTGACACGATTTAGGGGGGTGACACCAAGGCAAGGCAAAGTATATGGAGAAAAATTTTAGGGGGGGGGGGGTGCAAATCAAAAGTTTGAGGGGAGATGCAAATCAAGTTTGACGGGGGGGGGGGGTGCAAATCGAAAGTTTGAGGGGGTGGGTGTGCAAATCGAAAATTTGAGGGGGGGGTGCAAATCGAAAATTTGTCCCCGAGAAGGGTCGCTTCACCTCTGGTGGGGGTGACACCATCAAGTGCCGCACCGGGTGACACCCGACCTCGCTACGCCACTGTACACATACATGTACGCGTATGTGGCATATATTTAAATTATAGGCATATGTAGGCCAATACACATACATATATATGTATATATTTATACTTTGTTTTTCTGGGGTGACGCCACGAAGTTCCGCACCGGGTGACACCCGACCTAGCGACGCCACTGAGGTGACCCAAGGGCCGGATGTTGATGGAAGTTTCTAGATGATTTTTTTGTCCATCTTATGTACACATAGACAACCTTATGTACAAATAGACAACCTTATGTACAAATAGACAACCTTATGTACAAATAGACAACCTTATGTACAAATAGACAACCTTATGTACAAATAGACAACCTTATGTACAAATAGACAACCTGATGTACAAATAGACAACCTTATGTACAAATAGACAACCTTATGTACAAATACCCAACCTTATGTACAAATAGACAACCTTATGTACAAATAGACAACCTTATGTACAAATAGACAACCTTATGTACAAATAGACAACCTTATGTACAAACCTTATTGCAGTACTGAAGACGACGCACCGTGTTGCACCAAGGGAAGAAGGTCGAGTTTTTGTGTCTTTATTGCAGGAGAGTTTCTCTATTGTAAACAATGTGTACTGATATTGTGTATTGTAAACAATGTGTACTGATATTATGTATTGTAAACAATGTGTACTGATATTGTTTATTTAAACAATGTGTACTGATATTGTTTATTGTAAACAATGTGTACTGATATTGTTTATTTACTTGGCATGGATCTCTAAAGCTCGTATAGCTGATATTTTACATGTCAGAGGTCACATGACTCACACGCAGGTACAATCTTATAAGTTAGCCTCATGTGGCTCTAGGCTAGCCACACGGTGTGGCTCTAGTCTAGCCACATGTGGCTCTAGGCTAGCCACACGATGTGTACCAAGTCTAGCCACATGTGGCTCTAGTCTAGCCACACGATGTGGCTCTAGGCTAGCCACACGATGTGTACCAAGTCTAGCAACATGTGGCTCTAGGCTAGCCACACGATGTGTACCAAGTCTAGCCACATGTGGCTCTAGGCTAGCCACACGATGTCTACCAAGTCTAGCCACACGATGTGTACCAAGTCTAGCCACATGTGGCTCTAGGCTAGCCACACGATGTGTACCAAGTCTAGCCACATGTGGCTCTAGGCTAGCCACACGATGTGTACCAAGTCTAGCCACATGTGCCTCTAGGCTAGCCACACGATGTGTACCAAGTCTTACCACATGATGTGGCTCTAGTCTAGCCACACGATGTGTACCAAGTATAGCCACACGATGTGTACCAAGTCTAGCCACATGTGGCTCTAGGCTAGCCACATGTATCTAACAATTTGCTTATTGTCCCCCTTGACAGGCAGGGAATGTGATGTCACTACAGGCGTTCTTCCTGCTGTTTGTTCTACCTGCACAGGTCACAGGTGAGTTTAACATTCACAGGTGAGTTTAACATTCACAGGTGAGTTTAACATTCACAGGTGAGTTTAACATTCACAGGTGAGTATAACATTCACAGGTCACAGGTGAGTTTAACATTCACAGGTGAGTTTAACATTCACAGGTGAGTTTAACATTCACAGGTGAGTTTAACATTCAAAGGTGAGCTTAACATTCACAGGTGAGTTTAATATTCACAGGTGAGTTTAACATTCACAGGTGAGTTTAACATTCACAGGTCACAGGTGAGTTTAACATTTACATGTGAGTTTAACATTCAAAGGTGAGCTTAACATTCACAGGTGAGTTTAATATTCACAGGTGAGTTTAACATTCACAGGTGAGTTTAACATTCACAGGTCACAGGTGAGTTTAACATTCACAGGTCACAGGTGAGTTTAACATTCACAGGTCACAGGTGAGTTTAACATTCACAGGTCACAGGTGAGTTTAACATTTACATGTGAGTTTAACATTCACAGGTGAGTTTAACATTCACAGGTCACAGGTGAGTTTAACATTTACATGTGAGTTTAACATTTAAATGTGAGTTTAACATTCACAGGTGAGTTTAACATTCACAGGTGAGTTAAACCCGCACAGGTGAGTTTAACCTTCACAGGTCATAGGTGAGTTTAACCTTCACAGGTCATAGGTGAGTTTAACATTCACAGGTGAGTTTAACCTTCACAGGTGAGTTAAACATTCACAGGTGAGTTAAACATTCACAGGTGAGTTACACATTCACAGGTGAGTTAAACATTCACAGGTGAGTTTAACATTCACAGGTGAGTTAAACATTCACAGGTGAGTCTAACATTCACAGGTCACAGGTAAGTTTAACATTCACAGGTGAGTTTAACATTCACATGCCACATGTGAGTTGAACCTGCATAATAAGATGACAAGTGACAGTTTAACCTGGATACTCAGCTACTCCCTCCCCCTCCCAGAGATGCCTGGAAGTAACTCTAGACTGACCTATCCTATTATGATAATTATGAGTTGGGATGACGTGTGATGATATAGGGTGGCTGTAAAAATTGTAAAAAATGTGACGTCATTTGTTTTCGTCACCTAACCCCAACTTAAACATCATGGTAGAAGACCTATTTAGGCTAAAATGACGTCACAGTTTTCAACCTGATCAGCCTAAGATTTTATTTCCCGTGACGTCAGCTCTTTAGATGTAATGAAGCAAAGTTAAATTAATTAAATTAATTAGATTGGCCAGCTGACTTATGAGTCACGTGACCATCCCAAGCTGACCTATCAGTCACGTGACTATCCCCAGCTGACCAGCTGACCTATGAGTCACGTGATAATCCCCAGGTGTCAGCACGACCATCGGCGACTACTTCATCCTCCAGTACCCCAAGACGATGGCGAGCTACGACATCGGCGACACCATCGTACTGGCCTTCACCTTGTCCAACGTCGAGGTCAAGGTCGAGCTGACGTCACCACACAACAACAACAAGAGGAAGGACCGGAAGTTCACGCTGAGCAGGAGTATCATACAGACGACAAGTTTTGGTCAGACGCACAGGTAGTCACGTGGTCACAGGTAGTCACGTGGTCACAGGTAGTCACGTGGTCACAGGTTGTCACGTGGTCACAGGTAGTCACGTGGTCACAGGTTGTCACGTGGTCACCGGTAGTCATGTGGTCACAGGTAGTCACGTGGTCACAGGTAGTCACGTGGTCACAGACGACAAGTTTTGGTCAGACGCACAGGTAATCACGTGGTCACAGGTAGTCACGTGGCTACGTCACAGACCATTCGACGATACAACTGACATCATGTATGTAACGTGAGCCCCAATGACGTCAGACCTAATGATTGCCCCTCCCCAGGATGATGGAGAGCGGGGTCAAGTCGAGCATCGTCCTGAGGGGGGACGGGATGTTTGGTGTGTGTGTTGAGCTGTTCCCTGAGACCTACACGATGGACACGTTCCAGGTCCTTCCAGTCTCAGGCTTCGGCACCACCTACCTGGCCTTCACCCTGCCGTAAGTTGTCTCATGACCTTCACCCTGCCGTAAGTTGTCTCATGACCTTCACACTGCCGTAAGTTGTCTCATGACCTTCACCCTGCCGTAAGTTGTCTCATGACCTTCACCCTGCCGTAAGTTGTCTCATGACCTTCACCCTGCCGTAAGTTGTCTCATGACCTTCACCCTGCCGTAAGTTGTCTCATGACCTTCATTTGCCTCATGACCCCCCCCCCCCCTACACCCCCATATCCCGTATGCTCCACCATGACCCCGACCCACAAGTAATGTATGTCATACCCTCCTGCCGACCTTCCCCCTCCACCCCCATATCCCGTATGTTCCACCATGACCCCGACCCACAAGTAATGTATGTCATACCCTCCTGCCGACCTTCCCCCTCCACCCCCATATCCCGTATGTTCCACCATGACCCTGACCCACAAGTAATGTATGTCATACCCTCCTGCCGACCTTCCCCCTCCACCCCCATATCCCGTATGTTCCACCATGACCCTGACCCACAAGTAATGTACGTCATACCCTCCTGTCGACCTTCACCTTGCTGGACATTGACTGACCTTCTGCCAGGTTTAACCCGTCAATCATCGTGTTGGCCGCCGAGACGACAGACGTGACCTTCCAGCTCAAGATGCCCACACGCCAGTACACGCTGACCCTGGAGGGGCGGGACTACACCCATGGCTCCACCCTCACTGTCTCGCTAGAGAAGTAAAGTGGGGTTCAGTTTAGTTTGGTCGTTTTCTTTTGGTCCAATTTACTTTGGTCAAGTTTTCATTTGGTTCAATTTACTTTGGTCAAGTTTTCATTTGGTTCAATTTACTTTGGTCAAGTTTTCATTTGGTTCAATTTACTTTGGTCAAGTTTTCATTTGGTTCAATTTACTTAAGTCATTAATTCTGTATAATCAATTTAAGTCAAGTTATTTTTGTACAATTTACTTTAGTCAAATCTAAGTTATCTAATGTAAGCAATAAAAATGTTTTGGTTAGATATCACAAGAATGATCCGTGTAGTTTTGTTTCTTTCAATAATATATAGAAAATCTGGCTACATTATGTCAGCATATTGTTACAAACCCACATAAGACTGTACACACATACACATATAACAAAAGTCAGATGACTTAAGTGGTCATCCAACACAAGCCACCAATGTCACGTGACTAACCTTACCCAAGTCAACACTTGACTTTAACCAAGTCATCTCTTGACTTTAACCAAGTCATCTCTTGACTTTAACCAAGTCATCTCTTGACTTTAACCAAGTCATCTCTTGACTTTAACCAAGTCATCTCTTGACTTTAACCAAGTCATCTCTTGACTTTAAGACATCTCTTGACTTTAACCAAGTCATATCTTGACTTTAAGACATCTCTTGACTTTAACCAAGTCATCTCTTGACTTTAACCAAGTCATCTCTTGACTTTAACCAAGTCATCTCTTGACTTTAATTCATCACTTGACTTTAACCAAGTCATCTCTTGACTTTAACTCAAGTCAACACTTGACTTTAACCAAGTCATCTCTTGACTTTAACCAAGTCATCTCTTGACTTGACTCAAGTCATCACTTGACTTTAACCAAGTCATCTCTTGACTTGAACCAAGTCATCTCTTGACTTTAACCAAGTCATCTCTTGACTTGACTCAAGTCATCACTTGACTTTAACCAAGTCATCTCTTGACTTGAACCAAGTCAACACTTGACTTTAACCAAGTCATCACTTGACTTTAACCAAGTCATGTCTTGACTTGACAGGGAACAGTCCTACTTCCTACAGCTGTGTGAGGAGTTGAGTGAAGAGGACCAGGACCTTACAGGTAACAAACTGTTACAGGTGTCACCATCAAACTGTTACAGGTGTCACCATCAAACTGTCGTTGTGTCACCTTCTGATACAGGTGTCACCATCAAACTGTCGTTGTGTCAAACTGTTACAGGTGTCACCATCAAACTGTTACAGGTGTCACCATCAAACTGTTACAGGTGTCACCATCAAACTGTCGTTGTGTCACCTTCTGATACAGGTGTCACCATCAAACTGTCGTTGTGTCAAACTGTTACAGGTGTCACCATCAAACTGTTACAGGTGTCACCATCAAACTGTCGTTGTGTCACCTTCTGTTGCAGGTACCACCAGTTATGTGTCACCATGTATTGCAGGTACCACCCCTCATATGTCACCTTCTGTTGCAGGTACCACCACTCACGTATCACCTTCTGTTGCAGGTACCACCACTCACGTATCACCTTCTGTTGCAGGTACCACCACTCACGTATCACCTTCTGTTGCAGGTACCACCAATCACGTATCACCTTCTGTTGCAGGTACCACCACTCACGTATCACCTTCTGTTGCAGGTACCACCACTCACGTATCACCTTCTGTTGCAGGTACCACCACTAACGTATCACCTTCTGTTGCAGGTACCACCAGTTATGTGTCACCTTCTGTTGCAGGTACCACCACTCACGTATCACCTTCTGTTGCAGGTACCACCACTCACGTATCACCTTCTGTTGCAGGTACCACCACTCATATGTCACCTTCTGTTGCAGGTACCACCACTCATGTATCACCTTCTGTTGCAGGTACCACCATCACAGGCACGAGACCTATTGGTGTCGTGTCCGGCAGTTGTAGCGGCAGGACCTTAAAGATTGACTGCAGCATTGACCTGAGGACCAGGGACATTGCTGCAGGTAGGGGTTGTCACAGGCAGGGGTTGTCACGGGTAGGGGTTGTCACTGATAAGGGTTGTCACAAGCTGCAGGTAGGGGTTGTCACAGGTAGGGGTTGTCACAGGTAGGGGTTGTCACAGGTAGGGGTTGTCACAGGTAGGGGTTGTCACAGGTAGGGGTTGTCACAGGTAGGGGTTGTCACAGGTAGGGGTTGTCACAGGTAGGGGTTGTCACAGGTAGGGGTTGTCACAGGTAGGGGTTGTTACAGGTAGGGGTTGTCACAGGCTGCAGGTAGGGGTTGTCACAGGTAGGGGTTGTCACAGGGAGGGGTTGTCACAGGGAGGGGTTGTCACAGGTAGGGGTTGTCACAGGCTGCAGGTAGGGGTTGTCACAGGTAGGGGTTGTCACAGGTAGGGGTTGTCACAGGCTGCAGGTTTGGGTTGTCACAGGCTGCAGGTAAGGGTTGTCACAGGTAGGGGTTGTCACAGGTAGGGGTTGTCACAGGTAGGGGTTGTCACAGGCTGCAGTAGGGGTTGTCACAGGGAGGGGTTGTCACAGGGAGGGGTTGTCACAGGTAGGGGTTGTCACAGGCTGCAGGTTTGGGTTGTCACAGGCTGCAGGTTTGTATTGTCACAGGCTGCAGGTTTGGGTTGTCACAGGCTGCAGGTATACTCTGTATTGGGTATGTTTACGTACTATAACGGTAAACTTGTTCTGTTTGAAGGCTTAGGTAAACTAACCCAACACATCCAACTGTAGATTTAATGTTTAACAGAACATTCTCGTAGGTCAGTCTAGTTAGTTTGGCTGCAGCTAGCAGATATAATACCAGTTTTCTCACCCCCCCCCCCCCCGCCCAACCCCCGCCCCCCAGAGATGCTGATGCCAGTAGACACGTACGGTAAAGATTTCATCGTCATCGACATCATCGGACGTAAGTTACGTGGTTACGTCACGGTGATGGCGTCACAGCCCGACACAACCATCACGGTGTGGAAAGATGGCGGCAAGCAGGACGTACAGATAGCTAATGCTGGGGACACAATGGCGGTGAGTGGGGGGGGGGGCACCATGGCGGTGAGTGGGGGGGGGGGCACCATGGCGGTGAGTGGGGGGGGGAGGGGGCACCCTGGCGGCCAGCAGGACGTACAGATAGCTAATGCTGGGGACACAATGGCGGTGAGTGGGGGGGGGGGGGGCACCCTGGCGGTGAGTGGGGGGAGGGGGGCACCATGGCGGTAAGTGGGGGGAGGGGGGAGTGGGGACCATGGTGGGGAGTTGTGGGGGGGGGGGGAACTCGATGGTGTGGAGGGGGGGGGGACACGATGGTGGAATGATGGTGTGGGTGGGGGGACACGATGGTAGAATGTTGGTGTAGGGGGGGGGGAACTCGATGTTGTGGAGGGGGGGGACACGACGGTGGAATGATGGTGTGGGGGGGGGAAACTCGATGGTTTGGAGGGGGGGGGACATGATGGTTGAATGATTGTGTTTTAATGTGTCATTACGCTAAGCTACGTCATCATAAACTATTTCCTTCTAAACGTGGCCATGACGTCATGTTCTATATTTAGCTGACCGACTACGGCCGGCAGCCGAGGAAGATTGTGACGAACAAACCGGTCTCCTGCTTCTACATGCAGTCCTCCAACTGTGAGCCGGTCGACCGGAACGGCGACACGGCCGTCAGCATCCTGGTGCCGACCGTCCTGTTCTACAACTCCTACGTCTGGAAGTATGGACAACATTTAGACAACATTTAGACAACATTTGGACAACATTTGGACAACATTTAGACAACATTTGGACAACATTTGGACAACATTTAGACAACATTTGGACAACATTTGGACAACATTTGGACAATATTTAGACAACAGTTGGACAACATTTGGACAACATTTAGACAACATTTGGACAACATTTAGACAACATTTAGACAACATTTGGACAACATTTGGACAACATTTAGACAACATTTGGACAACATTTGGACAACATTTAGACAACATTTGGACAACATTTGGACAACATTTGGACAATATTTAGACAACAGTTGGACAACATTTGGACAACATTTAGACAACATTTGGACAACATTTAGACAACATTTGGACAACATTTGGACAACATTTAGACAACATTTGGACAACATTTGGACAACATTTGGACAATATTTAGACAACAGTTGGACAACATTTGGACAACATTTAGACAACATTTGGACAATATTTAGACAACATTTGGACATTTGGACAACATTTGGACGGTGACAGGACACATGATCTCAGGACAAATGATCTCAGGACAAATGATCTCAAAGACAAATGATCTCAAGGACAAAAGATACCAAGACAAAATATATCAGGACAAATGATACCCTGGACAATTGATCTCAGACAAAATATCTCACAGCCAAATTGTAATAGTCTATTGAATGATTTTAGTTGATTTGAACATATTTTATTCACTGCCATATCCTTTTGTTTACTATGTTTAATATTGTTTATAGGCCTATATAATAATTGTGAGAAATGTTTGCCGCATAAATTTGTCATATTGCACTAAACATTTGAAAATTAAGATTACTAATATAGAATGCGAAGATTAAAGAATTTTTTTTCGATAGAGTAGGTGGGCCTGACAAACATGAGACAATCCTACCATATCAGGTGGATGAAACTAGATCAAAGTGGATGAAATAACAATAAAGACACACCTTCGTATCATGGTGGCCGCCCGTTTTGATAGCAGAGACATTGCCTTTAGGGAACGACAACCGCCCTCCATTGACAATACAACTAGCACCGAAAGTCCATTGTTATGCGTCGTTCACACCTTAGTGATCAGGTGACAAAAGCTTAACTAAACGACAGTGGTCATCGCGGAGCCAAGTTCGCCATAGTGTATGCAAGCAAAGCAGTATTAGTGGTGATTACTCAGCTATGGCCTCTTTCGTTACCTCGCAGAAAGGGTATAGGACATTAGTTTCTGGTGAATTCATGTTTATAAAAGCCAGAACTGGAGCAGCAGGCAAAGAGGTTTAGAAATTGAAGTTAGGACATGTCGAGCAAGAGTTCATACAATACATGATCTCATAGTATTGGAGAGGTGTGATCATAACGATGTACATGCCAGCAAAAAAAACGTAAACGTTATGATGCTGCAATGAAAACAATAGTATTATGTTACAAACCTGAAGACCCTTTCACGTTTTTCAAAAAATATTTAGCGTGTTTTGAACATTAATGTTACTTAATATGTTTTATACACTATCATTTATTATACCTTTTAAATCAAATGCTACTATAAAGATTAAGTTTGATAAATCTTGAGATGCTTTGCTAAGTTTAAAAAATTTATTTTTATTCACAATTATTATGCGCAAAAAAGTAAACAAAACCATATTGATAGTAGAGGCGTAGCGACGGGGGGGGGGGGGGGGGGGGGCGGGGGGGACATATGTCCCCGGGCGCCGACCTTAAGGGGGGGGGCGCCAAATTGAAAGTTTGACGGGGGGGGGGGTGCAAATGAAAAGTTCGAGGGGGGGTGCAAATTGAAAGTTTGAGGGGGGGGGGGTGCAAATGAAAAGTTCGAGGGGGGGGGGGGTGCAAATCGAAAGTTTGAGGGGGGGGGTGCAAATGAAAAGTTCGAGGGGGGTGTGCAAATCGAAAGTTTGCTCGCGAGGGTGGCGCCAAATTGAAAGTATGTCCCCGGGCGCCGGGAAGGGTCGCTACGCCTCTGATTGATAGTCAATAAATAAAAAGTTCAAATCAACTAAATCTTCGTAAATAATATTAAAATTTTTCTGTGAGATATTTTGTCCGTGAGATCATTTGTCCTTGAGATCATTTGTCTTGAGATCATTTGTCCTGAGATCATTTGTCCGTGAGATATTTTGTCTGAGATATTTTGTCTGAGATCATTTGTCCTGAGATCATTTGTCATGGAACCCATTTGGACATTAGGACAACATTTGGACATTTGGACAACATTTAGACAACATTCGGACAACATTTAGACAACATTTGGACAATATTTAGACAACAGTTAGACCATATTTAGACAACATTTAGACAACATTTAGACAACATTTAGACAACATTTAGAGAACATTTGGACAATATTTAGACAACATTTAGACAACATTTGGACAACATTTGGACAACATTTAGACAACATTTAGACAACATTTAGACAACATTTGGACAACATTTGGACAACATTTGGACAACATTTGGACAACATTTGGACAATATTTGGACAATATTTGGACAACATTTAGACAACATTTGGACATTTGGACAACATTTGGACAACATTTAGACAACATTTGGACAACATGTGGACAGTATTTAGACAACATTTAGACAACATTTAGAGAACATTTGGACAATATTTAGACAACATTTAGAGAACATTTGGACAACATTTGGACAACATTTGGACAATATTTAGACAACATTTGGACAACATTTGGACAATATTTAGACAACATTTGGACAACATTTAGACAACATTTAGACAACATTTGGATAATATTTGGACAACATTTAGACAACATTTGGACAACATTTGGACAATATTTGGACAACATTTAGACAACATTTGGACAACATTTAGACAACATTTGGACAATATTTAGACAACATTTAGACAATATTTGGACAACATTTGGACAATATTTAGACAATATTTAGACAACATTTGGACAACATTTAGACAACATTGGGACCACATTAGGACCACATTTGGACAACATTTAGACAAAATTTAGACAACATTTAGACAACATTTAGACAACATTTAGACAACATTTAGACAACATTTAGACAACGTTTGGACAACAGATTGGACAACATTTGGACAACATTTGGACAACTTTCAGTCCTTTTATTCTTGAAGTGTTCACGTTTTGTTCGTGTCACGTCTAGACTGACCTTTGACGTGTCCAACAAAACCGAAAGGTCGCTGAACAAGTTTTTCACAGTTGTAGCCAACACCACCAATAGTTTCACTGTTATACAGTTAAACTGTTGAACTGTTTAACTGTTGAACTGTTTAACTGGTGAACTGTTTAACTGGTGAACTGTTTAACTGGTGAACTGTTTAACTGGTGAACTGTTTAACTGGTGAACTGTTTAACTGGTGAACTGTTTAACTGGTGAACTGTTTAACTGGTGAACTGTTTAACTGGTGAACTGTTTAACTGGTGAACTGTTTAACTGGTGAACTGTTTAACTGGTGAACTGTTAAACTGGTGAACTGTTTAACTATTGAACTGGTGAACTATTAAACTGTTAAACTTTGTAAACGTTTGAACAATTTAGTTAGTCGCACGTTAAAACTGTCAAACCTTGTCGACCTTGACTTGTGTTTCCCCAGCTCCATCTCTGACCGTGACCTAGAAATATTCAATTACGTCACATTCGTCATGCAGGTCAACGACAGGGATCACCTGCGTGTGGACGACACTCCTCTCAAGACGTAAGTCACGTGATCAGGTGCTCACGTGGTCCGTTAGTCACGTGATCGCATGGTCAAGTTGTCCGTCAGCCATTTAACAAAAAGTCTCTCCACACAGTCCTTCAACACAGTCCCTCCACACAGTCCCTCCACACATTCCCCCACACACAGTCCCTCCACACACTCCGCATATAGTTAGTTTCCATCTAATCACTTAACAAACGGTCAATTAGAAAAGTTAAAAGTTACCTGACAGTCACGTGATACCCGTCCTACATATTAACCCGTATTTTGTCTCCCTCCTCTTGAGCATCGAGTGGGCGAACGTTGAGGGCGACGCCGACTGGTCGGTGGGCGGCAGCTCCATGACCTACAACTATCACCGCGCCTACGCCACCACGGGGGCGTCGTTTGGCTGCTACGTGTATGGCCTGGCGCCCTCCATCAGCTACATCCACCCCGCTGGCTACATGGCTTCCCTCATTAACTCGGTAAACTCATGTGTTACAGATACAGGGTACGTCCGCCCCGGGCAGCTACCCTAGGGGCCGCCAAAAGGGGTAGAAATATTTTAAAATAAATTCGTCTGGAGTTGTTTTGTTCTGTTCCTCACCTGACGCCTGCCTGTCACCTGACGCCTGCCTTTCACCTGACGCCTGCCTATCACCTGTCTAACACCTGACGCCTGCCTATCACCTGTCTAACACCTGACGCCTGCCTATCACCTGTCTAACACATGACGCCTGCCTGTCACCTGACGCCTGCCTGTCACCTGTCTAACACCTGACGCCTACCTGTCACCTGTCTAACACATGACGCCTGCCTGTCACCTGACGCCTGCCTGTCACCTGTCTAACACCTGACGCCTGCCTATCACCTGTCTAACACATGACGCCTGCCTGTCACCTGACGCCTGCCTGTCACCTGTCTAACACCTGTCGCCTGCCTGTCACCTGACGCCTGCCTATCACCTGTCTAACACCTGACCCCTGCCTGTCACCTGACGCCTGCCTATCACCTGTCTAACACCTGACGCCTACCTGTCACCTGTCTAACACCTGACGCCTGCCTGTCACCTGACGCCTGCCTATCACCTGTCAAACACCTGACGCCTGCCTATCACCTGACGCCTGCCTGTCACCTGACGCCTGCCTGTCACCTGACGCCTGCCTGTCACCTGTCTAACACCTGTCACCTGTCAAACACCTGACGCCTGCCTGTCACCTGTCTAACACCTGACGCCTGCCTGTCACCTGTCAAACACCTGACGCCTGCCTATCACCTGTCTAACACCTGTCACCTGTCTAACACCTGACGCCTGCCTGTCACCTGTCTAACACCTGACGCCTGCCTATCACCTGTCTAACACCTGACGCCTGCCTGTCACCTGTCTAACACCTGACGCCTGCCTATCACCTGTCTAACACCTGACGCCTGCCTGTCACCTGTCTAACACCTGACGCCTGCATTGTCACCTGTCTAACACCTGACGCCTATCACCTGACGCCTGCCTGTCACCTGACGCCTGCCTGTCACCTGACGCCTGCCTGTCACCTGCAGCAATGCCAGCAGACGGTGAGCGACATGAAGGCGGGAGATTTGATCGACAACGACTGCGACAGTCACGTGGACGAGGAAATAAAAAACGGTCAAGGTCATTACGTTAAGTAATAATTATTTTTAAAGTCATTACGATAAGTAATAATTGTTCTCAAGGTCATTACGTTAAGTAATAATTGTTCCCAAGGTCATTACGTTTAGTAACTAATAGTCAAGGTCTTTATGTTTTGTTATTATTGGTCATGGTCTTGTACTTTTATGCCAAGGTCGTACAATTTGTCCTCGTTAGTGTAACGTTTGTGGCGGTATGTGTCACGTTTGTGGCAGATGTTGTCTCACGTTATACTTGTTGACCTCCAGATGACGACAACGATGGTCAAGCTGACGAGGATCTGGTCACAGGTAGAGTCGGAGCTTAATCTTAGCTCACAGTTACACAATTTAATCTTAGCTCACAGTTACATCAGCTTAATCTTAGCTCACAGTTACATCAGCTTAATCTTAGCTCACAGTTACATTATCTTAATCTTAGCTCACAGTTACACCAGCTTAATGTTAGCTCACAGTTACATTATCTTAATCTTAGCTCACAGTTACATCAGCTTAATGTTAGCTCACAGTTACATTTATCTTAATCTTAGCTCACAGTTACATCAGCTTAATGTTAGCTCACAGTTACATTTATCTTAATCTTAGCTCACAGTTACATCAGCTCAGAGGCGTAGCGAGGGGGGCGGGGGGAACATATGTCCCCGGGCGCCGACGTTAGGGGGCGCCAAATTGAAAGTTTGAGGGGGGGGTGCAAATGCAAAGTTCGAGGGGGGGGTGCAAATCGAAAGTTTAAGGGGTGGGTGCAAATGAAAAGTTTGAGGGGGGCGCAAATCGAAAGTTTGTCCCCGGGCGCCGGGAAGGGTCGCTACGCCTCTGCATCAGCTTAATCTTAGCTCACAGTTACATCTTATTCTTAGCTCACAGTTACATTATCTTAATCTTAGCTCACAGTTACATTATCTTAATCTTAGCTCACAGTTACACCAGCTTAATCTTAGCTCACAGTTACATCATCTTATTCTTAGCTCACAGTTACATTATCTTAATCTTAGCTCACAGTTACACCAGCTTATTCTTAGCTCACAGTTACACCATCTTAATCTTAGCTCACAGTTACACATCTTAATCTTAGCTCACAGTTACACCAGCTTAATCTTAGCTCACAGTTACACCATCTTAATCTTAGCTCACAGTTACACATCTTAATCTTAGCTCACAGTTACACCAACTTAATCTTAGCTCACAGTTACATCATCTTAATCTTAGCTCACAGTTACATTTATCTTAATCTTAGTTCACAGTTACATTTATCTTAATCTTAGCTCACAGTTACACCAGCTTAATCTTAGCTCACAGTTACACCAGCTTAATCTTAGCTCACAGTTACACCAGCTTAATCTTAGCTCACAGTTACACCAGCTTAATCTTAGCTCACAGTTACACCAGCTTAATCTTAGCTCACAGTTACACCAACTTAATCTTAGCTCACAGTTACATCATCTTAATCTTAGCTCACTGTTACATTTATCTTAATCTTAGTTCACAGTTACATTTATCTTAATCTTAGCTCACAGTTACACCAGCTTAATCTTAGCTCACAGTTACACCAGCTTAATCTTAGCTCACAGTTACACCAGCTTAATCTTAGCTCACAGTTACACCAGCTTAATCTTAGCTCACAGTTACACCAGCTTAATCTTAGCTCACAGTTACACCAGCTTAATCTTAGCTCACAGTTACACCAGCTTAATCTTAGCTCACAGTTACACCAGCTTAATCTTAGCTCACAGTTACATCAGCTTAATGTTAGCTCACAGTTACATTATCTTAATCTTAGCTCACAGTTACATCAGCTTAATCTTAGCTCACAGTTACACCAGCTTAATCTTAGCTCACAGTTACACCAACTTAATCTTAGCTCACAGTTACATCATCTTAATCTTAGCTCACAGTTACATTTATCTTAATCTTAGTTCACAGTTACATTTATCTTAATCTTAGCTCACAGTTACACCAGCTTAATCTTAGCTCACAGTTACACCAGCTTAATCTTAGCTCACAGTTACACCAGCTTAATCTTAGCTCACAGTTACACCAGCTTAATCTTAGCTCACAGTTACACCAGCTTAATCTTAGCTCACAGTTACACCAGCTTAATCTTAGCTCACAGTTACATCAGCTTAATGTTAGCTCACAGTTACATTATCTTAATCTTAGCTCACAGTTACATCAGCTTAATCTTAGCTCACAGTTACACCAGCTTAATCTTAGCTCATAGTTACACCAACTTAATCTTAGCTCACAGTTACATCATCTTAATCTTAGCTCACAGTTACATTTATCTTAATCTTAGTTCACAGTTACATTTATCTTAATCTTAGCTCACAGTTACACCAGCTTAATCTTAGCTCACAGTTACACCAGCTTAATCTTAGCTCACAGTTACACCAGCTTAATCTTAGCTCACAGTTACACCAGCTTAATCTTAGCTCACAGTTACACCAGCTTAATCTTAGCTCACAGTTACACCAGCTTAATCTTAGCTCACAGTTACATCAGCTTAATCTTAGCTCACAGTTACATCAGCTTAATCTTAGCTCACAGTTACACCAGCTTAATCTTAGCTCACAGTTACACCAGCTTAATCTTAGCTCACAGTTACACCAGCTTAATCTTAGCTCACAGTTACATCAGCTTAATCTTAGCTCACAGTTACACCAGCTTAATCTTAGCTCACAGTTACACCAGCTTAATCTTAGCTCACAGTTACACCAGCTTAATCTTAGCTCACAGTTACACCAGCTTAATCTTAGCTCACAGTTACACCAGCTTAATCTTAGCTCACAGTTACACCAGCTTAATCTTAGCTCACAGTTACACCAGCTTAATCTTAGCTCACAGTTACACCAGCTTAATCTTAGCTCACAGTTACACCAGCTTAATCTTAGATTTAGAACGGTTGCATTTAACCTCGGGGTTACACCAACTCAATCCTAGTTCATATTTACACCAATCCTAGTACATATTTACACCAATCCCAGTTCATATTTACACCAATCCTAGTACATATTTACACCAATCCTAGTTCATATTTACACCAATCCTAGTACATATTTACACCAATCCTAGTTCATATTTACACCAATCCCAGTTCATATTTACACCAATCCTAGTACATATTTACACCAATCCTAGTTCATATTTACACCAATCCTAGTACCTATTTACACCAATCCTAGTACCTATTTACACCAATCCTAGTACATATTTACACCAATCCTAGTACATATTTACACCAATCCTAGTACCTATTTACACCAATCCTAGTACATATTTACACCAATCCTAGTACCTATTTACACCAATCCTAGTACATATTTACACCAATCCTAGTACATATTTACACAAATCCTAGTACCTATTTACACCAATCCTAGTACATATTTACACCAATCCTAGTACATATTTACACCAATCCTAGTTCATATTTACACCAATCCTAGTTCATATTTACACCAATCCCAGCACATATTTACACCAATCCTAGTTCATATTTACACCAATCCTAGTACCTATTTACACCAATCCTAGTACCTATTTACACCAATCCTAGTTCATATTTACACCAATCCTAGTACATATTTACACCAATCCTAGTACCTATTTACACCAATCCTAGTACATATTTACACCAATCCTAGTACCTATTTACACCAATCCTAGTACATATTTACACCAATCCTAGTACATATTTACACCAATCCTAGTACCTATTTACACCAATCCTAGTACATATTTACACCAATCCTAGTACATATTTACACCAATCCTAGTACCTATTTACACCAATCCTAATACATATTTACACCAATCCTAGTACCTATTTACACCAATCCTAGTACATATTTACACCAATCCTAGTACATATTTACACCAATCCTAGTACCTATTTACACCAATCCTAGTACATATTTACACCAATCCTAGTACATATTTACACCAATCCTAGTTCATATTTACACCAATCCTAGTTCATATTTACACCAATCCTAGAACATATTTACACCAATCCTAGTTCATATTTACACCAATCCTAGTTCATATTTACACCAATCCTAGTTCATATTTACACCAATCCTAGAACATATTTACACCAATCCTAGTTCATATTTACACCAATCCTAGAACATATTTACACCAATCCTAGTTCATATTTACACCAATCCTAGAACATATTTACACCAATCCTAGTTCATATTTACACCAATCCTAGTTCATATTTACACCAATCCTAGTTCATATTTACACCAATCCTAGTTCATATTTACACCAATCCTAGTACATATTTACACCAATCCCAGTTCATATTTACACCAATCCTAGTACATATTTACACCAATCCTAGTTCATATTTACACCAATCCTAGTACATATTTACACCAATCCTAGTTCATATTTACACCAATCCCAGTTCATATTTACACCAATCCTAGTACATATTTACACCAATCCTAGTTCATATTTACACCAATCCTAGTACCTATTTACACCAATCCTAGTACCTATTTACACCAATCCTAGTACATATTTACACCAATCCTAGTACATATTTACACCAATCCTAGTACCTATTTACACCAATCCTAGTACATATTTACACCAATCCTAGTACCTATTTACACCAATCCTAGTACATATTTACACCAATCCTAGTACATATTTACACCAATCCTAGTACCTATTTACACCAATCCTAGTACATATTTACACCAATCCTAGTACATATTTACACCAATCCTAGTTCATATTTACACCAATCCTAGTTCATATTTACACCAATCCTAGTTCATATTTACACCAATCCCAGCACATATTTACACCAATCCTAGTTCATATTTACACCAATCCTAGTACATATTTACACCAATCCTAGTACCTATTTACACCAATCCTAGTTCATATTTACACCAATCCTAGTACATATTTACACCAATCCTAGTACCTATTTACACCAATCCTAGTACATATTTACACCAATCCTAGTACCTATTTACACCAATCCTAGTACATATTTACACCAATCCTAGTACATATTTACACCAATCCTAGTACCTATTTACACCAATCCTAGTACATATTTACACCAATCCTAGTACATATTTACACCAATCCTAGTACCTATTTACACCAATCCTAATACATATTTACACCAATCCTAGTACCTATTTACACCAATCCTAGTACATATTTACACCAATCCTAGTACATATTTACACCAATCCTAGTACCTATTTACACCAATCCTAGTACATATTTACACCAATCCTAGTACATATTTACACCAATCCTAGTTCATATTTACACCAATCCTAGTTCATATTTACACCAATCCTAGAACATATTTACACCAATCCTAGTTCATATTTACACCAATCCTAGTTCATATTTACACCAATCCTAGTTCATATTTACACCAATCCTAGAACATATTTACACCAATCCTAGTTCATATTTACACCAATCCTAGAACATATTTACACCAATCCTAGTTCATATTTACACCAATCCTAGAACATATTTACACCAATCCTAGTTCATATTTACACCAATCCTAGAACATATTTACACCAATCCTAGTTCATATTTACACCAATCCTAGTTCATATTTACACCAATCCTAGTTCATATTTACACCAATACTAGTTCATATTTACACCAATCCTAGAACATATTTACACCAATCCTAGTTCATATTTACACCAATCCTAGTACCTATTTACACCAATCCCAGCACATATTTACACCAATCCTAGTTCATATTTACACCAATCCTAGTTCATATTTACACCAATCCTAGTTCATATTTACACCAATCCTAGTTCATATTTACACCAATCCTAGTTCATATTTACACCAATCCTAGTTCATATTTACACCAATCCAAGTTCATATTTACACCAATCCCAGCACATATTTACACCAATCCTAGTTCATATTTACACCAATCCTAGTTCATATTTACACCAATCCTAGTTCATATTTACACCAATCCTAGTTCATATTTACACCAATCCTAGTGAATATTTACACCAGTCCTAGTGAATATTTACACCAATCCTAGTTCATATTTACACCAATCCTAGTTCATATTTACACCAATCCCAGCACATATTTACACCAATCCTAGTTCATATTTACACCAATCCTAGTACATATTTACACCAATCCTAGTGAATATTTACACCAATCCTAGTACATATTTACACCAATCCTAGTTCATATTTACACCAATCCTAGTTCATATTTACACCAATCCTAGTTCATATTTACACCAATCCCAGCACATATTTACACCAATCCTAGTTCATATTTACACCAATCCTAGTTCATATTTACACCAATCCTGGTTCATATTTACACCAATCCTAGTTCATATTTACACCAATCCTAGTGAATATTTACACCAATCCTAGTTCATATTTACACCAATCCTAGTTCATATTTACACCAATCCCAGCACATATTTACACCAATCCTAGTTCATATTTACACCAATCCTAGTTCATATTTACACCAATCCTAGTTCATATTTACACCAATCCTATTTCATATTTACACCAATCCTAGTTCATATTTACACCAATCCCAGCACATATTTACACCAATCCTAGTTCATATTTACACCAATCCTAGTTCATATTTACACCAATCCTAGTTCATATTTACACCAATCCTAGTTCATATTTACACCAATCCTAGTGAATATTTACACCAATCCTAGTTCATATTTACACCAATCCTAGTTCATATTTACACCAATCCCAGCACATATTTACACCAATCCCAGTTCATATTTACACCAATCCTAGTTCATATTTACACCAATCCTAGTTCATATTTACACCAATCCTAGTTCATATTTACACCAATCCTAGTGAATATTTACACCAATCCTAGTACATATTTACACCAATCCTAGTACCTATTTACACCAATCCTAGTTCATATTTACACCAATCCTAGTTCATATTTACACCAATCCTAGTTCATATTTACACCAATCCTAGTTCATATTTACACCAATCCTAGTTCATATTTACACCAATCCTAGTTCATATTTACACCAATCCCAGTACCTATTTACACCAATCCTAGTTCATATTTACACCAATCCTAGAACCTATTTACACCAACCCTAGTACCTATTTACACCAATCCTAGTACCTATTTACACCAATCCTAGTTCATATTTACACCAAACCTGATTCATATTTACACCAATCCTATTACATATTTACACCAATCCCAGTCCCTATTTACACTAATCCCAGTCCCTATTTGCACCAATTCCAGTACATATTTACACCAATCCCAGTACCTATTTACACCAATCCCAGTACCTATTTACACCAATCCCAGTACCTATTTACACCAATCCTGATTCATATTTACACCAATCCTATTACATATTTACACCAATCCCAGTCCCTATTTACACTAATCCCAGTCCCTATTTGCACCAATTCCAGTACCTATTTACATTAATCCCAGTACCTATTTACACCAATCCTAGTACCTATTTACACCAATCCCAGTACCTATTTACACTATTCCCAGTACCTATTTACATCCATTACTTTCTGCTGCTAGACGCTTGTCGTGAGAATCAGGGGACCGACTGTGCAGAAGTGGTGATACAGCAACCAGTGGTGACACAACCACCAGTGGTGACACAACCGGATGTGGTGACACAGCAGCCAGGTAGATACACTGCAGCATATCTACAGGGGAACTAACTGTGTCAGTCATGTGCTCTAGCTGGTGTAGAGTAGCGACCCCTGATGTCATGTGCTCTAGCTGGTGTAGAGTAGCGGCCCCTGATGTCATGTGCTCTAGCTGGTGTAGAGTAGCGGCCCCTGATGTCATGTGCTCTAGCTGGTGTAGAGTAGCGGCCCCTTGTGTCATTAACTATATCACGTGACCGGGGTTGTCAAATGTCATCTAGGCAACAACCCGTGAGGTCAACTAAATGTTGGAGATTTCATGATGTGTACAAACTATGTGATACATGTCATCTGGTTTATGTCATCTGGTATTTGTCATAATATGTCGTGTCATTTGGTATCGGTGATCTAATATCTGTCATTTGGTCTGTGTCATCTGATATTTGGCATCTGGTAGTTGTCATCTGGTATGACGTGTACACGTGTTGACTTCGTATAATGTGTACTAAAATTTGACTTTTGAAATGTGTAAAAAAGGTACCTTTATGTAAGGTGTACGCGAGTTGTGATGTTGTGTGTAATGTGTAGAAAAGTTGACGTGTGTAATGTGTAGAAAAGTTGACGTGTGTAATGTGTAGAAAAGTTGACGTGTGTAATGTGTAGAAAAGTTGACGTGTGTAATGTGTAGAAAAGTTGACGTGTGTAATGTGTAGAAAAGTTGACGTGTGTAATGTGTCCACGAGTTGACGTGTGTAATGTGTCCACGAGTTGACGTGTGTAATGTGTCCACGAGTTGACGTGTGTAATGTGTAGAAAAGTTGAAGTGTGTAATGTGTAGAAAAGTTGACGTGTGTAATGTGTAGAAAAGTTGACGTATGTAATGTGTACACACTTGTGACGTGTGTAATGTGTAGAAAAGTTGACGTGTGTAATGTGTAGAAAAGTTGACGTGTGTAATGTGTAGAAAAGTTGACGTATGTAATGTGTACACACTTGTGACGTGTGTAATGTGTAGAAAAGTTGACGTGTGTAATGTGTAGAAAAGTTGACGTGTGTAATGTGTAGAAAAGTTGACGTATGTAATGTGTACACACTTGTGACGTGTGTAATGTGTAGAAAAGTTGACGTGTGTAATGTGTAGAAAAGTTGACGTGTGTAATGTGTAGAAAAGTTGACGTGTGTAATGTGTAGAAAAGTTGACGTGTGTAATGTGTAGAAAAGTTGACGTGTGTAATGTGTAGAAAAGTTGACGTGTGTAATGTGTCCATTGATTTATTTCAGCACCGTGTGAGGGAGGGGACTGTGCCACTACCCAAGCTAGTAAGTACACGTGTACACCAGGCAGGTGTACAAACATTACAGGTGTACACACATTACAGGTGTACAAACATTACACGTGTACACCAGGCAGGTGTACAAACATTACAGGTGTACAAACATTACAGGTGTACAAACATTACACGTGTACACCAGGCAGGTGTACAAACATTACAGGTGTACAAACATTACAGGTGTACAAACATTACAGGTGTACAAACATTACAGGTGTACAAACATTACAGGTGTACAAACATTACAGGTGTACAAACATTACAGGTGTACAAACATTACAGGTGTACAAACATTACAGGTGTACAAACATTACAGGTGTACAAACATTACAGGTGTATAAACATTACAGGTGTACAAACATTACAGGTGTATAAACATTACAGGTGTACAAACATTACAGGTGTATAAACATTACAGGTGTACAAACATTACAGGTGTACAAACATTACAGGTGTATAAACATTACAGGTGTACAAACATTACAGGTGTATAAACATTACAGGTGTACAAACATTACAGGTGTATAAACATTACAGGTGTACAAACATTACAGGTGTACAAACATTACAGGTGTACAAACATTACAGGTGTATAAACATTACAGGTGTACAAACATTACAGGTGTACAAACATTACAGGTGTATAAACATTACAGGTGTACAAACATTCAGTCGCACAGAAACTCATGAGTGCAAGTGTGACGACTCTGTTTAACAGTGAACGAAAAAAAAAAGTCACAGGAAAAAAACACAGAAAAAAGTCACAGATTTTGCTAGGAAAAAAAGTCCCAAAAATATTTTAAGAAATATTTTGATTTAATTGCTGATAATTGTAAAATTTTGGGTGTTTATTACTGTGCTTGGTGATTTTTTCGGTAAACTTTAAAAGCATTATGATTCATAACAAGAACAAGTTAAAATACTGTGAGATAACGTACAACGCAATGTAAACATTTGTTACATATTTAGTTAAATTCACCGTGGAAAATTATTATAAAATACATTTAGGCTCATCAGTTTGTTTGCGTATGTTTTTGCCGTAGGCTTTATCTTGGTCGGCTTCTCCTCAGTCGGCTTTGTCTGTCCATATTGTGTGTTGTTTACGTTTTGCTTCAATCACAGCCCTTGTACCGTGTCGGCTTTCTGTTTTGATCCTGTGCTTTGTTATGTAAAGAGCGTGATATATACGTAGACAGTACAGATGGTTGAATTATTGTTGTGATTAGTTGAAGTCAGCAAGTGACACTAACTATGTCTTTATGCTATTTCACGCTAATTTAAAGTTAGTATTAAAATAACACTATGGAAACCGAGAAAGTTCGAACATTATATTAAATTCTATAAAATATTATAAGTAAAACAGAATTACAATTAACACCTACAAACTTTACACTAAAATCTTTTATGTGTGTTATAAATATTACTATATGTATACAAACCACGCATATATATCTAAAATATTTACATTTCATTAAATTAATCGTAAGTTGATTAGCATAATACATAAAAGTATTAACAATTACCATGCAAATACACATTTGTGACTTTTTTTCTGTGTTTTTTTTTCCTGTGACTTTTTCCTACAATCTTTTCAACATGTCTTTTAGTTAGGCTGTTTGCTGGTCAAGCTAATATCTGTTGTATGTCTGACAAGTTGTCCAACATATGTTGTTTGTCTGACAGGCTATCCAACACATGTTGTATGTATGACAGGCTATCCAACATATGTTGTATGTCTGACAGGCTGTCCAACATATGTTGTATATCTGACAGGCTATCCAACATATGTTGTATATCTGACAGGCTATCCAACATATGTTGTATGTATGACAGGCTATCCAACATATGTTGTATGTATGACAGGTTGTCCAACATATGTTGTATATCTGACAGGCTATCCAACATATGTTGTATGTATGACAGGCTATCCAACATATGTTGTATGTCTGACAAGTTGTCCAACATATGTTGTATGTCTGACAGGCTGTCTAACATATGTTGTATGTCTGACAGGCTGTCCAACATTTGTTGTATGTATGACAGGTTGTCCAACATATGTTGTATGTCTGACAAGTTGTCCAACATATGTTGTATGTCTGACAAGCTATGCAACATATGTTGTATGTATGACAGGCTATCCAACATATGTTGTATGTCTGACAGGTTGTCCAACATATGTTGTATGTCTGACAGGCTATCCAACATATGTTGTATGTATGACAGGCTATCGAACATATGTTGTATGTCTGACAGGCTGTCCAACATATGTTGTATATCTGACAGGCTATCCAACATATGTTGTATATCTGACAGGCTATCCAACATATGTTGTATGTATGACAGGCTATCCAACATATGTTGTATGTATGACAGGTTGTCCAACATATGTTGTATATCTGACAGGCTATCCAACATATGTTGTATGTATGACAGGTTGTCCAACATATGTTGTATATCTGACAGGCTATCCAACATATGTTGTATATCTGACAGGCTATCCAACATATGTTGTATGTATGACAGGCTGTCCAACATATGTTGTATGTCTGACAGGCTGTCCAACATATGTTGTATGTCTGACAGGCTGTCCCGCAGGCAAGTACGGCGATAACTGCGAGAAAGCCTGCAGCAACTGTGCCACAGCCTGCGACAGGCGGACAGGCGCCTGCAGGGAGTGTAAGCCTGGCTGGCGCTTCCCACAGAGCTCCTGCAAGACCCGTAAGTCACGTGGTCATGTCAAGTTGTCCTGTTGTCACGTGGTCCTGGTGTCACGTGGTCCTGGTGTCACGTGGTCCTGTTGTCACGTGATCCTGTTGTCACGTGATCCTGTTGTCACGGGGTCCTGCTGTCACGTGGTCCTGGTGTCACGTTCTATTTTGTCATATTATTATGTTGATTTGTTTTTAAAAGCAAATTTAAACTACTTTAGAACCATGTTCAGTGAAATTACCCCCCCCCCTCCCGTCTCCCCCCTCTCTCCCCACTCAGCCTGCCCTGTCATGACCTTTGGCAGCAGATGTTCGGGTTCCTGCGACAGCAAGTGTAGCGGTCAAGACTGTCTAGACCGTGTGGAGGGCAAATGTCAAGGTCAGTTAAACATCAGACTGACTTAAGTCAAACATCAGACTGACTTAAGTCAAACATCAGACTGACTTAAGTCAAACATCAGACTGACTTAAGTCAAACATCAGACTGACTTAAGTCAAACATCAGACTGACTTAAGTGAAACATCAGACTGACTTAAGTCAAACATTAGATGTGACTTAAGTCAACCATCAGATGTGACTTAAGTCATCCATCAGACGTGACTTAAGTCAAACACCTGTCCAACCTAACTCCCTGCTGTTTACCTGTCGCAGGTGCTTCCTTCAACTGGCTGTACCTGCTGTTGCTGTTTGCGGCTGTACCCATTGGCCTGATGCTGTACCTCTTCAGCAAGTGAGTCACAAGCATTATCTAGTTGTTTCTTATGGATGTACAGTGGCTGGGTAGTTTTGTAGTCCTGGGGATGGTTGGTGGGTAGGTGGGTGGGTGGGTGGGGCAGGTGGATGGGTAAACACATGTGTAGTGTTGTGTTGGTCTGGGGTGGATGTTCATACAAACATACATACATACATACATACATACATACATACATACATACATACATACATACATACATACATACATACATACATACATACACGTCTGTCTTCATGTCTGACTACATGTCTGCCTACATGTCTTCCTACATGTATGTCTAAATGTCTGCCTATATGTCTGCCTACATGTCTGCCTACATCACATGTCTGTCTACATTTCTGCCTACATGTCTGCCTACATCACATGTCTGCCTACATGTCTGCCTACATGACATGTCTGCCTACATGTCTGCCTACATGTCTGCCTACATGTCTGTCTAAATGTCTGCCTACATGTCTGCCTACATCACATGTCTGTCTACATTTCTGCCTACATGTCTGCCTACATCACATGTCTGCCTACATGTCTGCCTACATGTATGTCTAAATGTCTGCCTATATGTCTGCCTACATGTCTGCCTACATCACATGTCTGCCTACATGTCTACCTACATGTCTGCCTGCATCACATGTCTGCCTGAATGTCTGCCTACATTTCTGCCTACATGTCTGCCTACATGTCTGCTTGAATGTCTGCCTACATGTCTGCCTACATGTCTGCTTGAATGTCTGCCTACATGTCTGCCTACATGTCTGCCTACATGTCTGCCTACATGTCTGCCTACACGTCTGCCTACGCGTCTGCCTACACGTCTGTCTACATGTCTGCCTACATGTCTGCCTACATGTCTGCCTACATCATATGTCTGCCTACATGTCTGCCTACACGTCTGCCTACATGTCTGCCTACATGTCTGCCTACACGTCTGCCTACACGTCTGTCTACATGTCTGCCTACATCACATGTCTGTCTACATGTCTGCCTACACGTCTGCCTACACGTCTGTCTACATGTCTGCCTACATGTCTGCCTACATGTCTGCCTACATCATATGTCTGCCTACATGTCTGCCTACACGTCTGCCTACATGTCTGCCTACATGTCTGCCTACACGTCTGCCTACACGTCTGTCTACATGTCTGCCTACATCACATGTCTGTCTACATGTCTGCCTACATGTCTGCCTACATCACATGTCTGTCTACATGTCTGCCTACATCACATGTCTGTCTACATGTCTGCCTACATGTCTGCCTACACGTCTGCCTACACGTCTGTCTACATGTCTGCCTACATCACATGTCTGTCTACATGTCTGCCTACATGTCTGCCTACATCACATGTCTGTCTACATGTCTGCCTACATCACATGTCTGTCTACATGTCTGCCTACATGTCTGCCTACATATCTGCCTACATGTCTTCCTACATCACATGTCTGCCTATATGTCTGCCTACATGTCTGTCTACATGTCTGTCTACATGTCTGTCTACATGTCTGCCTACACGTCTGCCTACATGTGACGTGTGCCGGTAGCTGACGTCACCTTTCCTCCCCAGGGTCAAGAAACGCGGCGGGTACCAGTTTGGTGAGAGCGAAATGCCGGAGGAGAAAGTTCCAGAGCCAGTGGCACCTGAGGTGGCTCCAGACACGGAGGAGGGGGGCGAGGAGGAGGAGGACTAGGGATGACGTCATGGGAGGGGGCGGAGTGTTGCTGTATATGTACGACATGACACACAATTGTGTATTAAACTTGAAGTCAACTGGAAGCTTGTTTCCTGCTATTTCTTCCAATGGAAAATTTAACACGAATAAACGTCAGACAAGTAAATTGTCAGTGTCAGTGATATGGTTAGGGTCAGTGATATGGTTAGGGTTAGGGTCAGGGTTAGAGTCAAGGTCAGCGTCAGTGATATTGTTGGGGTCAGTGATATGGTCAGGGTCATGGTTAGCGTCATTGATATGATAGGGTCAGGGTTAGGGTCAGGGTCAGGGTCAGGGTCAGTGATATTGTTGGGGTTAGGGTCAGGGTTAGGGTCAGGGTTAGGGTCAGTGATATTGTTGGGGTTAGGGTCAGTGATATTGTTACGGTTAGGATTGTATTTGTTGTTAGAGAAAAACTGTAGTAAACAAAATCTGATCAAAAGCTAACACGTTTTATTTGCAATAGACTGGGGACAATAGATTTGGGACAATAGACTGGACAATAGATTTAGGACAAAAGACTGGACAATAGATTTAGGACAATAGACTGGGTACAATAGATTTAGGACAATAGACTGGACAATAGATTTGGGACAAAAGACTGGACAATAGATTTGGGACAAAAGATTGGATACAATAGATTTGGGACAAAAGACTGGATACAATAGATTTGGGACAAAAGATTGGACAATAGATTTGGGACAAAAGACTGGACAATAGATTTAGGACAAAAGACTGGGTACAATAGATTTGGGACAAAAGACTGGACAATAGATTTAGGAAAAAAGACTGGGTACAATAGATTTGGGACAATAGACTGGACAATAGATTTAGGACAATAGACTGGACAATAGATTTAGGACAATAGACTGGGTACAATAGATTTAGGACAATAGACTGGACAATAGATTTGGGACAAAAGACTGGACAATAGATTTGGGACAAAAGATTGGATACAATAGATTTGGGACAAAAGACTGCATACAATAGATTTGGGACAAAAGATTGGACAATAGATTTGGGACAAAAGACTGGACAATAGATTTAGGACAAAAGACTGGGTACAATAGATTTGGGACAAAAGACTGGACAATAGATTTAGGACAAAAGACTGGGTACAATAGATTTGGGACAAAAGACTGGACAATAGATTTAGGACAAAAGACTGGGTACAATAGATTTGGGACAAAAGACTGGGTACAATAGATTTGGGACAAAAGACTGGGTACAATAGATTTGGGACAAAAGACTGGGTACAATAGATTTGGGACAAAAGACTGGGTACAATAGATTTGGGACAAAAGACTGGGTACAATAGATTTGGGACAAAAGACTGGGTACAATAGATTTGGGACAAAAGACTGGGTACAATAGATTTGGGACAAAAGACTGGGTACAATAGATTTGGGACAAAAGACTGGGTACAATAGATTTGGGACAAAAGACTGGGTACAATAGATTTGGGACAAAAGACTGGACAATAGATTTAGGACAAAAGACTGGGTACAATAGATTTGGGACAAAAGACTGGGTACAATAGATTTGGGACAAAAGACTGGGTACAATAGATTTGGGACAAAAGACTGGACAATAGATTTAGGACAAAAGACTGGGTACAATAGATTTGGGACAAAAGACTGGGTACAATAGATTTGGGACAAAAGATTGGACAATAGATTTGGGACAAAAGACTGGGTACAATAGATTTGGGACAAAAGACTGGACAATAGATTTAGGACAAAAGACTGGGTACAATAGATTTGGGACAAAAGACTGGGTACAATAGATTTGGGACAAAAGACTGGGTACAATAGATTTGGGACAAAAGACTGGGTACAATAGATTTGGGACAAAAGACTGGGTACAATAGATTTGGGACAAAAGACTGGGTACAATAGATTTGGGACAAAAGACTGGGTACAATAGATTTGGGACAAAAGACTGGACAATAGATTTAGGACAAAAGACTGGGTACAATAGATTTGGGACAAAAGACTGGACAATAGATTTAGGACAAAAGACTGGGTACAATAGATTTGGGACAAAAGACTGGGTACAATAGATTTGGGACAAAAGACTGGGTACAATAGATTTGGGACAAAAGACTGGGTACAATAGATTTGGGACAAAAGACTGGGTACAATAGATTTGGGACAAAAGACTGGACAATAGATTTGGGACAAAAGACTGGACAATAGATTTGGGACAAAAGACTGGACAATAGATTTGGGATAAAAGACTGGACAATAGATTTGGGATAAAAGACTGGACAATAGATTTGGGATAAAAGACTGGACAATAGATTTGGGATAAAAGACTGGACAATAGATTTGGGACAAAAGACTGGACAATAGATTTGGGACAAAAGACTGGACAATAGATTTGGGACAAAAGACTGGACAATAGAGCCACATATGTCTTATCACTGGGACGTTCAAGCCCTAATCAAACAATAACAAGATACATACAGCTGATGGTGTTTTAACACAAACACACACATATGATGGTGTGTTATCACACACACACACATATGGTGTGTTATCACACACACACACACATATGGTGTGTTATCACACACACACACAGCTGAAGGTGTTTTAACCCAGACCCAACACAACCATATTTTACACCTGCACTACTTGCATGAAAGACACATAGCCCAGACCGCCCGTAAGTACCCCTGCCCCGGGTCTAGTCCTCACACCCCTGACCCCCGGGGTTAGTCCTCCCACCCCTGACCCTCGGGTCTAGTCCTCACACCCCTGACCCCCGGGTCTAATCCTCACACCCCTGACCCCCGGGTCTAGTCCTCACACCCCTGATCCCCGGGTCTAGTCCTCACACCCCTGACCCCCGGGTCTAGTCCTCACACCCCTGACCCCCGGGTCTAGTCCTCCCACCCCTGACCCCCAGGTCCTCCCACCCCTGATTCCCGGGTCCTCACACCCCTGACCCCCGGGTCTAGTCCTCACACCCCTGACCCCCGGGTCTAGTCCTCACACCCCTGACCCCCAGGTCCTCACACCCCTGACCCCCGGGGTTAGTCCTCCCACCCCTGACCCTCGGGTCTAGTCCTCACACCCCTGACCCCCGGGTCTAGTCCTCACACCCCTGATCCCGGGGTTAGTCCTCACACCCCTGACCCCCGGGTCTAGTCCTCACACCCCTGACCCCCGGGTCTAGTCCTCACACCCCTGACCCCCGGGTCTAGTCCTCACACCCCTGACCCCCGGGTCTAGTCCTCACACCCCTGACCCCCGGGTCTAGTTCTCACACCCCTGACCCCCAGGTCCTCACACCCCTGACCCCCGGGTCTAGTCCTCACACCCCTGACCCCCGGGTCTAGTCCTCACACCCCTGACCCCCGGGTCTAGTCCTCACACCCTGACCCCCGGGTCTAGTCCTCACACCCCTGACCCCTGGGTCTAGTTCTCACACCCCTGAACCTCAGGTCCTCACACCCCTGACCCCCGGGTCTAGTCCTCACACCCCTGACCCCCGGGTCTAGTTCTCACACCCCTGACCCCCAGGTCCTCACACCCCTGACCCCCGGGTCTAGTCCTCACACCCCTGACCCCCGGGTCTAGTCCTCACACCCCTGACCCCCGGGTCTAGTTCTCACACCCCTGACCCCCAGGTCCTCACACCCCTGACCCCCGGGTCTAGTCCTCACACCCCTGACCCCTGGGTCTAGTCCTCACACCCCTGACCCCCGGATCTAGTTCTCACACCCCTGACCCCCAGGTCCTCCCACCCCTGACCCCCGGGTCTAGTCCTCACACCCCTGACCCCCGGGTCTAGTCCTCACACCCCTGACCACCGGGTCTAGTCCTCCCACCCCTGACCCACGGGTCCTCACACCCCTGACCCACGGGTCCTCACACCCCTGACCCCCGGGTCTAGTCCTCACACCCCTGACCCCCGGGTCCTCACACCTCTGACCCCCGGATCTAGTCCTCACACCCCTGACCCCCGGGTCTAGTCCTCCCACCCCTGACCCACGGGTCCTCACACCTCTGACCCCCTGGTCTAGTCCTTACACCCCTGACCCCCGGGTCTAGTCCTCCCACCCCTGACCCCCGGGTCTAGTCCTCCCACCCCTGATCCACGGGTCCTCACACCTCTGACCCCCGGGTCTAGTCCTCCCACTCCTGACCCCCGGGTCTAGTCCTCACACCCCTGACCCCCGGGTCTAGTCCTCCCACCCCTGACCCCCGGGTCTAGTCCTCCCACCCCTGACCCCCGGGTCTAGTCCTCACACCCCTGACCCCCGGGTCTAGTCCTCCCACCCCTGACCCACGGGTCCTCACACCTCTGACCCCCGGATCTAGTCCTCACACCCCTGACCCACGGATCTAGTCCTCACACCCCTGACCCCGGGGTCTAGTCCTCCCACCCCTGACCCACGGGTCCTTACACCTCTGACCCCCGGGTCTAGTCCTTACACCCCTGACCCCCGGGTCTAGTCCTCCCACCCCTGACCCCCGGGTCTAGTCCTCCCACCCCTGACCCACGGGTCCTCACACCTCTGACCCCCGGGTCTAGTCCTCCCACTCCTGACCCCCGGGTCTAGTCCTCACACCCCTGACCCCCGGGTCTAGTCCTCCCACCCCTGACCCCCGGGTCTAGTCCTCACACCCCTGACCCCCAGGTCCTTACACCCCTGACCCCCGGGTCTAGTCCTCACACCCCTGACCCCCAAGTCCTCACACCCCTGACCCCCGGGTCTAGTCCTCACACCCCTGACCCCCGGGTCTAGTCCTCACACCCCTGACCCCCGGGTCTAGTCCTCACACCCCTGACCCCCTAGTACCTATTTACACCAATCCTAGTTCATATTTACACCAATCCTAGTGAATATTTACACCAATCCTAGCACATATTTACACCTATCCTAGTACTCACACCCCTGACCCCCGGGTCTAGTCCTCCCACCCCTGACCCCCGGGTCTAGTCCTCACACCCCTGACCCCCGGGTCTAGTCCTCACACCCCTGACCCCGGGTCTAGTCCTCCCACCCCTGACCCCCGGGTCTAGTCCTCCCACCCCTGACCCCCGGGTCCTCCCACCCCTGACCCCCGGGTCTAGTCCTCCCACCCCTGACCCCCGGGTCTAGTCCTCCCACCCCTGACCCCCAGGTCCTCCCACCCCTGACCCCCGGGTCCTCCCACCCCTGACCCCCGGGTCCTCCCACCCCTGACCCCCGGGTCTAGTCCTCACACCCCTGACCCCCGGGTCTAGTCCTCACACCCCTGACCCACGGGTCTAGTCCTCACACCCCTGACCCCCAGGTCCTCCCACCCCTGACCCCCGGGGTTAATCCTCACACCCCTGACCCCCAGGTCCTCCCACCCCTGACCCCCGGGTCTAGTCCTCACACCCCTGACCCACGGGTCTAGTCCTCACACCCCTGACCCATGGGTCTAGTCCTCACACCCCTGACCCACGGGTCTAGTCCTCACACCCCTGACCCACGGGTCTAGTCCTCACACCCCTGACCCCCGGGTCCTCACACCCCTGACCCCCGGGTCTAGTCCTCACACCCCTGACCCCCGGGTCTAGTCCTCCCACCCCTAACCCCCGGGTCCTCACACCCCTGACCCCCGGGTCTAGTCCTCACACCCCTGACCCCCGGGTCTAGTCCTCCCACCCCTAACCCCCGGGTCCTCACACCCCTGACCCCCGGGTCTAGTCCTCACACCCCTGACCCCCGGGTCTAGTCCTCCCACCCCTAACCCCCGGGTCCTCACACCCCTGACCCCCGGGTCTAGTCCTCACACCCCTGACCACCGGGTCTAGTCCTCCCACCCCTAACCCCCGGGTCCTCACACCCCTGACCCCCGGGTCTAGTCCTCACACCCCTGACCCCCGGGTCTAGTCCTCCCACCCCTAACCCCCGGGTCCTCACACCCCTGACCCCCGGGTCTAGTCCTCACACCCCTGACCACCGGGTCTAGTCCTCCCACCCCTAACCCCCGGGTCCTCACACCCCTGACCCCCGGGTCTAGTCCTCACACCCCTGACCCCCGGGTCTAGTCCTCATATCCCGCCCCGCTGTAGTTGAGCTGCCCGTTGAAGCCGCTGTGTACGGGCGCGTGCCACCTGAACCACCATCTGCCCAGCTTGTACACCGGTGCCCCGCTGCTGCCCGGGCATGTACATGTGGTGTACGTGTACGTGGTCTCGTTGTCCGCCACGGTCTGGCACCCGGTCCACCGGCCCACAGACACCTGCTTGATGGAGCCGTGGGGGTGGGACACGATCACCGTCAGCCTCTGGCCGTCACGTGACTCCCGGAACTTCTCCGTGACCCTGCGGCGCAGCAAGTCGAAGAGTTCCAGTTTTCTCTGAAGGTCGTCTGCTAGCTGCATGTCGTGCGTCGCGCAGGAAAACTCACAGCGGTCGGTTTTGACAATGTCAAGGTCATTGTCTGTGGCCAACCTCCAGCCGTCGATGTTGACAGGTGTGTCCGTGTCCGTGTCCGTGTTGTAGTCGAGTCTACACACCGTGTTGGCCACCTCTGTGTTGTCGTACACCACGTGTGTCGCCGTGTAGACCTTGACCTCACGGAACCCAGTGCAGCAGGAACCGGAAGTCTTGCAGAGCGGACATACGGTGTAGATTTTCTTGCTAACACTCCGTATCCTGCCCGACCCCATGCTACTGCCCTGACTGCCGTGCCCGGGGTAGGGCTGGCTGGTGCCGGGGACGTACTCCGGCCTGTGGGGGCTGAGGGTGGTGACGTAGATCCGGACCGTCAGGTCAGCCAGCGCCAGGATCAGACGGTACACGTCATCGTCCCTGACGTCATCAGGCAGGTGATGTAACCGGAAGTTGGGGACTGGAATAAATTTCTTGTGGCCAGGATTTTTCTTACAGTTGGCCAGGCAGGACTTTACTTGACCTTCGCCTTGACCCTTCTCAAACTCCTGGATTTCGAAATTGCCTGTAGAGAAAAGCAGAAATTGATGACGTCATTTACATTTGTTATCATTAATTAAGTCACCACATATATTACCATTAATTAAGTCACCACTTTTCTTACCATTAATTAAGTCACCACTTTTGTTACCAGTAATTAAGTCACCACTTTTGTTACCATTAATTAAGTCACCACTTTTGTTACCAGTAATTTAGTCACCACTTTTGTTACCATTAATTAAATCACCACTTTACATTTCCTTAACAATTTGTGTCAAGAGCTCAGTGTCTATGGAGATGAGGAATCTCAGCTTTAAAGTTTTCCCAGCAATAATTGGACGCTGGCCAGACGTGAAAGAATTCACCTAACAACTGGCGTTCACGATGTTCCAGTCATGTCTGGCCTTGACCTTCTGAGACAGTTTGTCTAGCTCTTGAACCTTGACCCTTGACCCACAGACCTTTTAAACATGGGGGAGGGGAGTCGTGTCAGTTGAAGGGGGTCTCAGACCTATCTATTGGTTGAGGCACCAAAACACGAAATGGAATTTTGCTATTTCAGGTTGGCGACAAATTAACGTCACTAATTAGTGAAACATTAATTAAGTGTCAATCAGCAGCTGGCGATGACCGCTCGGCAGTTGGTGACGTCACGGTGCAGACAGGAAGAGAAAATACCAGCATTTTTGGTCAGGTGATCAAACCTGTGGCAGGTACCCGCTGTCTATTGTGTGTACTCACGTGGTACAACACATCACGTGGTACAACACACCTGGTCACATGGTACAACACACCTGGTCACGTGGTACATGACACCTGGTCACGTTGTACAACACACCTGGTCACGTGGCACAACACATCTGGTCACGTGGTACAACATACCTTGTCACGTGGTACAACACACCTGCTTGTCTTACCCCCAGGATGTTTACCCGTGTCATGATAGTGGGGGGGGGGGGGCAGAGATATCAGGACGTGCATGTTTACCTGTGTCTCACGTCTGCTACTGGTACACACACACACACACTTACACACACACACTTACATACACACTTACACACACTTACACACACACTTACACACTCACTTACACACACACATACACACAGACATACACACAGACATACACACAGACATACACACAGACATACACACATACACACAGACATACACACAGACATACACACAGAATTACACACAGACATACACACAGACATACACACAGACATACACACAGACATACATAAATACATACAAACACTTAAACACAAAAACACAATTACATACACCCAGATCTGATCAGTGTTTGTCTTATGTTGTGTCTTATGTTGTGTCTTATGTTGTGTCTTATGTTGTGTCTTATGTTGTGTCTTATGTTGTGTCTTATGTTGTGTCTTATGTTGTGTCTTATGTTGTGTCTTATGTTGTGTCTTATGTTGTGTCTTATGTTGTGTCTTATGTTGTGTCTTATGTTGTGTCTTATGTTGTGTCTTATGTTGTGTCTTATGTTGTGTCTTATGTTGTGTCTTATGTTGTGTCTTATGTTGTGTTTTATGTTGTGTCTTACCGTGAAAATTTTGTGCCATCTCTGTCTCATCCATCTTTTAGCTGAAAATAAAAACAAAAAGCTGAAAAATTAAATGGCTGAAAATAAAAACAAAAAGCTGAAAAATTAAATGGCTGAAAATAAAAACAAAAAGCTGAAAAATTAAATGGCTGAAAATAAAAACAAAAAGCTGAAAAATTAAATGGCTGAAAATAAAAAAAAAAGCTGAAAAATTAAATGGCTGAAAATAAAAACAAAAAGCTGAAAAATTAAATGGTTGAAAATAAAAACAAAAAGCTGAAAAATTAAATGGTTGAAAATAAAAACAAAAAGCTGAAAAGTTAAATGGTTGAAAATAAAAAAAAAAGCTGAAAAATTAAATGGTTGAAAATAAAAACAAAAAGCTGAAAAATTAAATGGTTGAAAATAAAAACAAAAAGATGAAAAATTAAATGGTTGAAAATAAAAACAAAAAGCTGAAAAATTAAATGGTTGAAAATAAAAACAAAAAGATGAAAAATTAAATGGTTGAAAATAAAAACAAAAAGCTGAAAAATTAAATAGGTGAAAATAAAATTAAAAAGATGAGAATAAAAACAAAAAGCTGAAAAATTAAAAAGATGAGATTGTTATATATTGGCAAAATCTCTCACTATAATTCAAGCAGAAGGCACTGAGAACAATTCCACCCCTCGTGTTATAGAACAATCTATATATATATATATATATAATTCTCTTCTGGGAGACGCTAGAAAACAAGCTGTAAGCGCGCTCACTACCATCCCCACCCCTACATGGTCTGGTGAGCTGTGGTTCACGCAATGTTTACATTCGTGGATTCGGGTTTAGTGACGGCTATTAGGTGCAGATAATTTAGTTTGAAACGATTTTAAGAGGAGGCTGCTTTCACGGGGGGGGGGTAGTGTTTTAAAGCAAAAATTTTCAGTGGCAGCATTGGTACTGTCGAATTCACAAATTATGAATTACTGACAAGTAGAAAAAAAAACAAATAGCGGCGTATGATATGCCACGGGTCAGCTCGTGCCACAGACTCCACGGGTCAATACAACCCCCGGTCTAGACATCCAGTCAAGAAATAGTTATCCATATCAAACCATTACATACTTGCAGTTATCGATATATCAAACCATTACACACTTACTATATTATTTGTCCATATCAAAACATTACACACTAAATGTGCTAGTTATCCATATCAAAAGATTACACTCTTAATGTGTTAGTTATCCATTTGAAAACATTACACGCTAAATGTGTTAGTTATCCATATCAAAACATTACACACTAAATGTGTTAGTTATCCATATCAAAACATTACACACTAAATGTGTTAGTTATCCATATCAAAACATTACACGCTAAATGTGTTAGTTATCCATTTGAAAACATTACACACTAAATGTGTTAGTTATCGATATCAAAACATTACACGCTAAATGTGTTAGTTATCCATTTGAAAACATTACACACTAAATGTGTTAGTTATCCATATCAAACCATTACACACTAAATGTGTTAGTTATCCATATCAAAACATTACACACTAAATGTGTTAGTTATCCATATCAAAACATTACACACTAAATGTGTGAGTTATCCATATCAAAACATTACACACTAAATGTGTTAGTTATCCATATCAAAACATTACACACTAAATGTGCCCTTACCGTCTGCTGTCGTCCCTCACGATTTATGGCCCTTGTGTATCGATCACAGATGTCCGAAGTTGGCCTAGATTTATCTGCTCACGAACTGACCACGTGATGCCCGCTATCCAGGTCATCAGACAGCGACCTTGGTGTACCGAAATGATGACATAATTTATGGCTGACCAGGAGAAATTCTACTCACTGACAAGACAGGAGAAATTCTACTCACAAGACAGGAGAAATTCTACTCACAAGACAGGAGAAATTCTACTCACAAGACAGGAGAAATTCTACTCACAAGACAGGAGAAATTCTACTCACTCACAAGACAGGAGAAATTCTACTCACTTACAAGACAGGATAAATTCTACTCATTCACAAGACAGGAGAAATTCTACTCACAAGACAGGAGAAATTCTACTCACAAGACAGGAGAAATTCTACTCACAAGACAGGAGAAATTCTACTCACTCACAAGACAGGAGAAATTCTACTCACAAGACAGGAGAAATTCTACTCACCCACAAGACAGGAGAAATTCTACTCACAAGACAGGAGAAATTCTACTCACAAGACAGGAGAAATTCTACTCACTCACAAGACAGGAGAAATTCTACTGACAAGACAGGAGAAATTCTACTCACAAGACAGGAGAAATTCTACTCACTCACAAGACAGGAGAAATTCTACTCAAAAGACAGGAGAAATTCTACTCACAAGACAGGAGATATTCTACTCACTCACAAGACAGGAGAAATTCTACTTACAAGACAGGAGAAATTCTACTCACTCACAAGACAGGAGAAATTCTACTCACAAGACAGGAGAAATTCTACTCACTCACAAGACAGGAGGAATTCTACTCACTCACAAGACAGGAGAAATTCTACTCAAAAGACAGGAGAAATTCTACTCACAAGACAGGAGATATCCTACTCACAAGACAGGAGAAATTCTACTCACAAGACAGGAGAAATTCTACTCACTCACAAGACAGGAGAAATTCTACTCACCCACAAGACAGGAGAAATTCTACTTACAAGACAGGAGAAATTCTACTCACAAGACAGGAGAAATTCTACTCACAAGACAGGAGAAATTCTACTTACAAGACAGGAGAAATTCTACTCACAAGACAGGAGAAATTCTACTCACAAGACAGGAGAAATTCTACTCTAAAGACAGGAGAAATTCTACTCACTTACAAGACAGGAGAAATTCTACTCACAAGACATGAGAAATTCTACTCACAAGACAGGAGAAATTCTACTCACAAGACAGGAGAAATTCTACTCACTCACAAGACACGAGAAATTCTACTCACTTACAAGACACGAGAAATTCTACTCACTTACAAGACAAGAGAAATTCTACTCACAAGACAGGAGAAATTCTACTCACAAGACAGGAGAAATTCTACTCACCCACAAGACAGGAGAAATTCTACTGACAAGACAGGAGAAATTCTACTGACAAGACAGGAGAAATTCTACTCACAAGACAGGAGAAATTCTACTCACCCACAAGACAGGAGAAATTCTACTCACAAGACAGGAGAAATTCTACTCACCCACAAGACAGGAGAAATTCTACTCACAAGACAGGAGAAATTCTACTCACAAGACAGGAGAAATTCTACTCACCCACAAGACAGGAGAAATTCTACTCACAAGACAGGAGAAATTCTACTCACCCACAAGACAGGAGAAATTCTACTCACAAGACAGGAGAAATTCTACTAACAAGACAGGAGAAATTCTACTCACCCACAAGACAGGAGAAATTCTACTCACAAGACAGGAGAAATTCTACTCACCCACAAGACAGGAGAAATTCTACTCACCCACAAGACAGGAGAAATTCTACTCACAAGACAGGAGAAATTCTACTCACCCACAAGACAGGAGAAATTCTACTCACAAGACAGGAGAAATTCTACTCACCCACAAGACAGGAGAAATTCTACTCACCCACAAGACAGGAGAAATTCTACTGACAAGACAGGAGAAATTCTACTGACAAGACAGGAGAAATTCTACTCACAAGACAGGAGAAATTCTACTCACCCACAAGACAGGAGAAATTCTACTCACAAGACAGGAGAAATTCTACTCACCCACAAGACAGGAGAAATTCTACTCACAAGACAGGAGAAATTCTACTCACAAGACAGGAGAAATTCTACTCACCCACAAGACAGGAGAAATTCTACTCACAAGACAGGAGAAATTCTACTCACCCACAAGACAGGAGAAATTCTACTCACAAGACAGGAGAAATTCTACTAACAAGACAGGAGAAATTCTACTCACCCACAAGACAGGAGAAATTCTACTCACAAGACAGGAGAAATTCTACTCACCCACAAGACAGGAGAAATTCTACTCACCCACAAGACAGGAGAAATTCTACTCACCCACAAGACAGGAGAAATTCTACTCACCCACAAGACAGGAGAAATTCTACTCACAAGACAGGAGAAATTCTACTGACAAGACAGGAGAAATTCTACTCACAAGACAGGAGAAATTCTACTCACCCACAAGACAGGAGAAATTCTACTCACAAGACAGGAGAAATTCTACTCACCCACAAGACAGGAGAAATTCTACTCACAAGACAGGAGAAATTCTACTCACAAGACAGGAGAAATTCTACTCACCCACAAGACAGGAGAAATTCTACTCACAAGACAGGAGAAATTCTACTCACCCACAAGACAGGAGAAATTCTACTAACAAGACAGGAGAAATTCTACTCACCCACAAGACAGGAGAAATTCTACTCACAAGACAGGAGAAATTCTACTCACCCACAAGACAGGAGAAATTCTACTCACCCACAAGACAGGAGAAATTCTACTCACCCACAAAACAGGAGAAATTCTACTCACCCACAAGACAGGAGAAATTCTACTCACAAGACAGGAGAAATTCTACTCACAAGACAGGAGAAATTCTACTCACAAGACAGGAGAAATTCTACTCACAAGACAGGAGAAATTCTACTCACAAGACAGGAGAAATTCTACTCACAAGATAGGAGAAATTCTACTCACAAGACAGGAGAAATTCTACTCACCCACAAGACAGGAGAAATTCTACTCACCCACAAGACAGGAGAAATTCTACTCACCCACAAGACAGGAGAAATTCTACTCACAAGACAGGAGAAATTCTACTCACAAGACAGGAGAAATTCTACTCACAAGACAGGAGAAATTCTACTCACAAGACAGGAGAAATTCTACTCACAAGACAGGAGAAATTCTACTCACAAGACAGGAGAAATTCTACTCACAAGACAACAGAAATTCTACTCACAAGACAGGAGAAATTCTACTCACAAGACAACAGAAATTCTACTCACAAGACAGGAGAAATTCTACTCACAAGACAACAGAAATTCTACTCACAAGACAGGAGAAATTCTACTCACAAGACAACAGAAATTCTACTCACAAGACAGGAGAAATTCTACTCACAAGACAACAGAAATTCTACTCACAAGACAGGAGAAATTCTACTCACAAGACAACAGAAATTCTACTCACAAGACAGGAGAAATTCTACTCACAAGACAGGAGAAATTCTGCTCACAAGACAACAGAAATTCTACTCACAAGACAACAGAAATTCTACTCACAAGACAACAGAAATTCTACTCACAAGACAGGAGAAATTCTACTCACAAGACAGGAGAAATTCTACTCACAAGACAGCAGAAATTCTACTCACAAGACAGGAGAAATTCTACTCACAAGACAACAGAAATTCTACTCACAAGACAGAAGAAATTCTGCTCACCCACAAGACAGGAGAAATTCTACTCACAAGACAGGAGAAATTCTACTCACTCACAAGACAGGAGACATTCTACTCACTCACAAGACAGGAGAAATTCTACTCACAAGACAGGAGAAATTCTACTCACTCACAAGACAGGAGAAATTCTACTCACAAGACAGGAGAAATTCTACTCACTCACAAGACAGGAGAAATTCTACTCACTGACAAGACAGGAGAAATTCTACTCACAAGACAGGAGAAATTCTACTCACAAGACAGGAGAAATTCTACTCACAAGACAGGAGAAATTCTACTCACAAGACAGGAGAAATTCTACTCACAAGACAGCAGAAATTCTACTCACAAGACAGGAGAAATTCTACTCACAAGACAACAGAAATTCTACTCACAAGACAGAAGAAATTCTGCTCACCCACAAGACAGGAGAAATTCTACTCACAAGACAGGAGAAATTCTACTCACTCACAAGACAGGAGAAATTCTACTCACTCACAAGACAGGAGAAATTCTACTCACAAGACAGGAGAAATTCTACTCACTCACAAGACAGGAGAAATTCTACTCACAAGACAGGAGAAATTCTACTCACTCACAAGACAGGAGAAATTCTACTCACTGACAAGACAGGAGAAATTCTACTCACAAGACAGGAGAAATTCTACTCACAAGACAGGAGAAATTCTACTCACTGACAAGACAGGAGAAATTCTACTCACTCACAAGAGGGAGAAATTCTACTCACAAGATAGGAGAAATTCTACTCACTCACAAGACAGGAGAAATTCTACTCACTGACAAGACAGGAGAAATTCTACTCACAAGACAGGAGAAATTCTACTCACAAGACAGGAGAAATTCTACTCACAAGACAGGAGAAATTCTACTCACAAGACAGGAGAAATTCTACTCACTCACAAGACAGGAGAAATTCTACTCACAAGACAGGAGAAATTCTACTCACAAGACAGGAGAAATTCTACTCACAAGACAGGAGAAATTCTACTCACTCACAAGACAGGAGAAATTCTACTCACAAGACAGGAGAAATTCTACTCACAAGACAGGAGAAATTCTACTCACAAGACAGGAGAAATTCTACTCACTCACAAGACAGGAGAAATTCTACTCACAAGACAGGAGAAATTCTACTCACAAGACAGGAGAAATTCTACTCACAAGACAGGAGAAATTCTACTCACAAGACAGGAGAAATTCTACTCACAAGACAGGAGAAATTCTACTCACCCACAATTTGTTCTGGCAGAGAGACGCGTGCTGTGTGCTCGTGAGATAAACCAGGGAGAAATCTGACAGGCTGATAGATCTGGGTCAAGGTCACTAGCTCTCCCTCCAGCCGGTGGGTGGGGGGGATGTTGGATGATCGGATGACACTTGGTTTATTTTTGTTAATTAAAACAAACTGCCAATCAAGAAACAGTGTGTGTATACAAAGTCATTAGAACAATTAACAAAACAATTAACGAGATAATTAATTAATGACTGGATCAGTCTCATCTGGTGCAGGGTGAAGTCTTGTGATCGGCTCATTGATTGGTGGGCTTAACCCTAACAATGGTGGGCTTTAGTTTCATGATGGTGGGCTGGTGGGCTTTAGTTTCATAATGGTCGGCTTTAGTCTCATGATGGTGGGCTGGTGGGATGTAGTCTCATAATGGTGGGTTTTAGTTTCATGATGGTGGGCTGGTGGGCTTTAGTTTCATAATGGTCGGCTTTAGTCTCATGATGGTGGGCTGGTGGGCTTTAGTCTCGTGATGGTGGGCTTTAGTCTCGTGATGGTGGGCTGGTGGGCTGTAGTCTCATGATGGTGGGCTGGTGGGCTGTAGTCTCATAATGGTGGGCTTTAGTCTCATGATGGTGGGCTGGTGGGCTTTAGTCTCGTGATGGTGGGCTTTAGTCTCGTGATGGTGGGCTGGTGGGCTGTAGTCTCATGATGGTGGGCTGGTGGGCTTTAGTCTCGTGATGGTGGGCTGGTGGGCTTTAGTCAGACTAAAATGGGCGGGGGGAGGCTTCACGTTGACCAAGTGAACTGGCATGTACCATCTGGCATGTACCATCTGGCATGTACCATCTGGCATGTACCATCTGGCATGTACCATCTGGCATGTACCATCTGGCATGTACCATCTGGCATGTACCATCTGGCATGTACCATCTGGCATGTACCATCTGGCATGTACCATCTGGCATGTACCATCTGGCATGTACCATCTGGCATGTACCATCTGGCATGTACCATCTGGCATGTACCATCTGGCATGTACCATCTGGCATGTACCATCTGGCATGTACCATCTGGCATGTACCATCTGGCATGTACCATCTGGCATGTACCATCTGGCATGTACCATCTGGCATGTACCATCTGGCATGTACCATCTGGCATGTACCATCTGGCATGTACCATCTGGCATGTACCATCTGGCATGTACCATCTGGCATGTACCATCTGGCATGTACCATCTGGCATGTACCATCTGGCATGTACCATCTGGCATGTACCATCTGGCATGTACCATCTGGCATGTACCATCTGGCATGTACCATCTGGCATGTACCATCTGGCATGTACCATCTGGCATGTACCATCTGGCATGTACCATCTGGCATGTACCATCTGGCATGTACCATCTGGCATGTACCATCTGGCATGTACCATCTGGCATGTACCATCTGGCATGTACCATCTGGCATGTACCATCTGGCATGTACCATCTGGCATGTACCATCTGGCATGTACCATCTGGCATGTACCATCTGGCATGTACCATCTGGCATGTACCATCTGGCATGTACCATCTGGCATGTACCATCTGCCAACCAACGTGTGTTGGTGTGTGTGTGTGTGTGTCCGGTTAGTTGGACACATCCCTGGTCTGGTGTGTGTGTGTGTGTGTGTGTGTGTCCGGTTGGTTGGACACAACCCTGGTCTGGTGTGTGTGTGTGTGTGTGTGTTGGACACATCCCTGGGCTGGTGTGTTACAGCTAAGGTCGAGTGTGCTAAAGATGGCAGAAATGAGGTCACTATGTGTCTAGTGTTATGACAAGATCTGACCGTGTTGAGGGCAGGGGGGGGGGGACATCTCTTGTGACGTCATGGTCTGACTTCCCATGCAGAAAGTCCCCCTCTGTTCGGGTTCCTGTCGGCTGTGGCCTGCCTAGACCTCAGGGCGGTGGCCCGGGGCGGTGGGCTGCCTAGACCCCGGGGCGGTGGGCTGCCTAGACCCCGGGGCGGTGGGCTGCCTAGACCCCGGGGCGGTGGCCCGGGGCGGTGGGCTGCCTTGACCCCGGGGCGGTGGGCTGTGACCCACACGGACGTGTTACTGACGTCACGCTTACAAAAATTGTTTCATAAGACTTTCTAGATCCAAGTTTTTGTTTTCTTTTACAACACATCCAAAACTTTACACACGGAACAATATTTGATCACAATTTTCACCCCACCCAAACGGGAAGTTTTGTTTTTTAAGATGGTTGATGTTTATTTCCTCTTCAATGGTAGGTCTAGCGCGGCAATCAGCCTGACAATCTTGTGGTTTAGGTCTAGCACGGCAATCAGCCTGACAATCTTGTGGTTTAGGTCTAGCACGGCAATCAGCCTGACAATCTTGTGGTTTAGGTCTAGCGCGGCAATCAGCCTGACAATCTTGTGGTTTAGGTCTAGCGCGGCAATCAGCCTGACGATCTTGTGGTTTAGGTCTAGCGCGGCAATCAGCCTGACGATCTTGTGGTTTAGGTCTAGCAAGGCAATCAGCCTGACAATCTTGTGGTTTAGGTCTAGCACGGCAATCAGCCTGACAATCTTGTGGTTTAGGGAATGTTGGCAGATGTTTCTAATTACCGAGATGATAGTAGCAATAGATCTAACAACTTAATATTTGAATACATTTGAATCATTCAGGTTTATATTATATCGATAGATGTCGATAGATTTTGAGCTTTAGTAACGAAGATAGTTTTAAGATCAATCGCTAATTTATGAGTTAACTAAGATTTAGGTTAAACAAAATCTTTCATGAGTTAACTAAGATTTAGGTTAAACAAAATCTCTCATGAGTTATCTAAGATTTAGGTTAAACAAAATCTTTCATGAGTTAACTAAGATTTAGGTTAAACAAAATCTTTCATGAGTTAACTAAGATTTAGGTTAAACAAAATCTTTCATGAGTTAACTAAGATTTAGGTTAAACAAAATCTTTCATGAGTTAACTAAGATTTAGGTTAAACAAAATCTTTCATGAGTTAACTAAGATTTAGGTTAAACAAAATCTTTCATGAGTTAACTAAGATTTAGGTTAAACAAAATCTTTCATGAGTTAACTAAGATTTAGGTTAAACAAAATCTTTCAAGTTTTAAGTTGTCCTGGACCGCTGTGCTAGTCTACGTTGACCAAGATAGACGACATTCCTTCAGCTTGATGAGATGAGATCACTTAACTGGACATTTTGGTTGATGACATTTGGTTGATGACATTTGGTTGATGACATTTGGTTGATGACATTTGGTTGATGACATTTGGTTGATGACATTTTGGTTGATAACATTTGGTTGATGACATTTGGTTGATGACATTTAGTTGATGACATTTGGTTGATGACATTTGCCTTTAGTAGGCGGGGATGGGTGGGGTGGGGGGGGGCGTGACATTTGTAGTGGCATCTTGTCATGTTGATGTCATGAATGTCAGGTTGGCTGATCGGATGTCAGCAGTTTCTTCCAGACTTTTTTATCCGGGGGGGGTCTTTTGAAATTTTCGGGGGGGGGGGGGGGGACACTAGTAAAAGTGTATGTTTACTGTATAAAATCCATCTCATTCGGTGGGGGGGGGCCGTTTGAAAGAAACTCTGGATGTGAGTCTCTACGATGTTTACCTACGATGATTGTGTAATTATTGTTTAAAGATTTGAAACCCAATTATTTTTAAATTTTCAGGCGAGTTGTTTGGTGTACTTTCTTTTGTTTATGTTCTACGCCACACGTGTGTCAGGTAGGTATAGGTGTGTTCTACAGTGGTATGATCGTGTGTTATATGCATGTACATGTGTGTTCTACAGTGGTATGATCGTGTGTTATATGTACAGGTGTGTTCTACAGTGGTATGATCGTGTGTTATATGCCTATACAGGTGTGTTCTACAGTGGTATGATCGTGTGTTATATGGACAGGTGTGTTCTACAGTGGTATGATCGTGTGTTATATGCCTGTACAGGTGTGTTCTACAGTGGTATGATCGTGTGTTATATGCCTGTACAGGTGTGTTCTACAGTGGTATGATCGTGTGTTATATGTACAGGTGTGTTCTACAGTGGTATGATCGTGTGTTATATGCCTATACAGGTGTGTTCTACAGTGGTATGATCGTGTGTTATATGCCTATACAGGTGTGTTCTACAGTGGTATGATCGTGTGTTATATGTACAGGTGTGTTCTACAGTGGTATGATCGTGTGTTATATGCCTATACAGGTGTGTTCTACAGTGGTATGATCGTGTGTTATATGCCTATACAGGTGTGTTCTACAGTGGTATGATCGTGTGTTATATGCCTATACAGGTGTGTTCTACAGTGGTATGATCGTGTGTTATATGCCTATACAGGTGTGTTCTACAGTGGTATGATCGTGTGTTATATGTACAGGTGTGTTCTACAGTGGTATGATCGTGTGTTATATGCCTATACAGGTGTGTTCTACAGTGGTATGATCGTGTGTTATATGTACAGGTGTGTTCTACAGTGGTATGATCGTGTGTTATATGGACAGGTGTGTTCTACAGTGGTATGATCGTGTGTTATATGTACAGGTGTGTTCTACAGTGGTATGATCGTGTGTTATATGCCTGTACAGGTGTGTTCTACAGTGGTATGATCGTGTGTTATATGTACAGGTGTGTTCTACAGTGGTATGATCGTGTGTTATATGTACAGGTGTGTTCTACAGTGGTATGATCGTGTGTTATATGTATGTACAGGTGTGTTCTACAGTGGTATGATCGTGTGTTATATGTACAGGTGTGTTCTACAGTGGTATGATCGTGTGTTATATGTACAGGTGTGTTCTACAGTGGTATGATCGTGTGTTATATGCATGTACAGGTGTGTTCTACAGTGGTATGATCGTGTGTTATATGTACAGGTGTGTTCTACAGTGGTATGATCGTGTGTTATATGCCCATACAGGTGTGTTCTACAGTGGTATGATCGTGTGTTATATGCATGTACAGGTGTGTTCTACAGTGGTATGATCGTGTGTTATATGTATGTACAGGTGTGTTCTACAGTGGTATGATCGTGTGTTATATGCCCATACAGGTGTGTTCTACAGTGGTATGATCGTGTGTTATATGCATGTACAGGTGTGTTCTACAGTGGTATGATCGTGTGTTATATGGACAGGTGTGTTCTACAGTGGTATGATCGTGTGTTATATGGACAGGTGTGTTCTACAGTGGTATGATCGTGTGTTATATGTACAGGTGTGTTCTACAGTGGTATGATCGTGTGTTATATGTCTATACAGGTGTGTTCTACAGTGGTATGATCGTGTGTTATATGTACAGGTGTGTTCTACAGTGGTATGATCGTGTGTTATATGTACAGGTGTGTTCTACAGTGGTATGATCGTGTGTTATATGTCTATACAGGTGTGTTCTACAGTAGTATGATCGTGTGTTATATGTACAGGTGTGTTCTACAGTGGTATGATCGTGTGTTATATGTATGTACAGGTGTGTTCTACAGTGGTATGATCGTGTGTTATATGTACAGGTGTGTTCTACAGTGGTATGATCGTGTGTTATATGTACAGGTGTGTTCTACAGTGGTATGATCGTGTGTTATATGTCTATACAGGTGTGTTCTACAGTGGTATGATCGTGTGTTATATGGACAGGTGTGTTCTACAGTAGTATGATCGTGTGTTATATGGACAGGTGTGTTCTACAGTGGTATGATCGTGTGTTATATGCCTATACAGGTGTGTTCTACAGTGGTATGATCGTGTGTTATATGTATGTACAGGTGTGTTCTACAGTGGTATGATCGTGTGTTATATGTATGTACAGGTGTGTTCTACAGTGGTATGATCGTGTGTTATATGCCCATACAGGTGTGTTCTACAGTGGTATGATCGTGTGTTATATGTATGTACAGGTGTGTTCTACAGTGGTATGATCGTGTGTTATATGTATGTACAGGTGTGTTCTACAGTGGTATGATCGTGTGTTATATGTACAGGTGTGTTCTACAGTGGTATGATCGTGTGTTATATGCCAGTACAGGTGTGTTCTACAGTGGTATGATCGTGTGTTATATGGACAGGTGTGTTCTACAGTGGTATGATCGTGTGTTATATGTACAGGTGTGTTCTACAGTGGTATGATCGTGTGTTATATGTACAGGTGTGTTCTACAGTGGTATGATCGTGTGTTATATGTCTGTATAGGTGTGTTCTACAGTGGTATGATCGTGTGTTATATGGACAGGTGTGTTCTACAGTGGTATGATCGTGTGTTATATGTACAGGTGTGTTCTACAGTGGTATGATCGTGTGTTATATGTACAGGTGTGTTCTACAGTGGTATGATCGTGTGTTATATGTACAGGTGTGTTCTACAGTGGTATGATCGTGTGTTATATGTACAGGTGTGTTCTACAGTGGTATGATCGTGTGTTATATGCATGTACAGGTGTGTTCTACAGCAATGTGTCGTGTGGGACTGTATGGTATGATCGTGTGTTATATGCCTGTGTGCTATAATTTGTTAAAATCATATCTAGTAAATACAAATGCAACTCCTTTTAAGATATATCAACGACAGAACAAACTAATCAGAACAGCTCTGACAGTCACTGATTAGTCGCCCAAACTATAACATTTTCTATCTAACAATCAACTATAACCTCCAAACTATAACTTTCAACTAGCTAACAATCAACTGTAACCTCCAAACTATAACTTTCTACTAGCTAACAATCAACAGTAACCTCCAAACTATAACTTTCTCCTTGAAGCCAGACCCAGCAGCTTCGCCATATTTGACCAGCACACGTGACCGGTCACTTTAATTCCATTGGTTCTTCTTGACCAATAGCTAGATGACCTACTCTTTTCTCTCTGCTTTGTCGGCTGTTTTTTGTCTATTTTGTTAATGTTCCCTTACTGCGTCATCACATTTGACCTCACTTGTCTGACCTTGACCTCACTTGTCTGAACCTTGACCTCACTTGCCTGAACCTTGACCTCACTTGTCTGAACCTTGACCTCATTTGTCTGACCTTGACCTTATGTCCAAGCAGGGGTCAGCACGACGCTCGGGAAATATTTTGTCCTCCAGTTCCCGCCCTCCTCGGCCACGGTCAAGGTCGGCGACACAAGGCTGCTGGCCTTCACCTTGGCGAAAGAAAATGTCGATGTTAAGGTCAGGACGCCGTACGTCGTGAAAGGAAAGATCGAGAAAACTTTGGTCATTTCTAGGGGCAAGGTGGAGCAGGTCACATTAGGGGACAACTTTAGGTAGGTCACATTAGGGGACAACTTTAGGTCACATTAGGGGACAACTTTAGGTCACATTAGGGGACAACTTTAGGTAGGTCACATTAGGGGACAACTTTAGGTAGGTCACATTAGGGGACAACTTTAGGTAGGTCACATTAGGGGACAACTTTAGGTAGGTCACATAAGGGGACAACTTTAGGTAGGTCACATTAGGGGACAACTTTAGGTAGGTCACATTAGGGGACAACTTTAGGTAGGTCATATTAGGGGACAACTTTAGGTCACATTAGGGGACAACTTTAGGTCACATTAGGGGACAACTTTAGGTAGGTCACATTAGGGGACAACTTTAGGTCACATTAGGGGACAACTTTAGGTAGGTCACATTAGGGGACAACTTTAGGTAGGTCACATTAGGGGACAATTTTAGGTCACATTAGGGGACAACTTTAGGTAGGTCACATTAGGGGACAACTTTAGGTCACATTAGGGGACAACTTTAGGTCACATTAGGGGACAACTTTAGGTCACATTAGGGGACAACTTTAGGTAGGTCACATTAGGGGACAACTTTAGGTCACATTAGGGGACAACTTTAGGTAGGTCACATTAGGGGACAACTTTAGGTCACATTAGGGGACAACTTTAGGTCACATTAGGGGACAACTTTAGGTAGGTCACATTAGGGGACAACTTTAGGTAGGTCACATTAGGGGACAACTTTAGGTCACATTAGGGGACAACTTTAGGTAGGTCACATTAGGGGACAACTTTAGGTCACATTAGGGGACAACTTTAGGTAGGTCACATTAGGGGACAACTTTAGGTAGGTCACATTAGGGGACAACTTTAGGTAGGTCACATTAGGGGACAACTTTAGGTCACATTAGGGGACAACTTTAGGTCACATTAGGGGACAACTTTAGGTAGGTCACATTAGGGGACAACTTTAGGTCACATTAGGGGACAACTTTAGGTCACATTAGGGGACAACTTTAGGTAGGTCACATTAGGGGACAATTTTAGGTCACATTAGGGGACAGCTTTAGGTCACATTAGGGGTCAAGTTTAGGTCACATTAGGGGACAACTTTAGGTAGGTCAAAAACCTCATAATAAAATTAACCACTGGCCAGTGACGTCTCAAAAATATCACCCCCCATCTCCCTATAACACAGAGAACCGGAGGTGTACTGACTGTGTTCTAGATGTAAATTAAATATATGACCCCCCCCCCCCCCCCCCAGGATGAAGGTAAGCGGTAAATTCTCCACCGTGACACTGACCAGTTCCGGCACGTTCGGCGTGTGTGTGCAGCTCTACCCTGCCGGCACAGACATGGAGACCTTCCAGGCCCTGCCGGTTGCCGGCTTCGGTCTGACCTACATCGCCCTCACGTTAAGGTACAGGCGTCATTGTCTTGTCACGTTGTCACGTTGTCTTCTCACGTTGTCCCGTCACGTTATTACATTTCTCTCACATTGTCACCTTGTCACATTGTCACGCTGTCCTCTCACGTGGTCTTGACGTCTTTGTCACGTGACCACCCCACAGCCTAAGCCCCTCCATCGTGATCGTTGCTGCTGACGTCACTGACGTGGACATCCGCCTCAACATGCCGGGCCGGAAGTTCACGATGGTGATCCAGGGGCAAAACTACACGCATGGCGCCGTCATCAAGGTCACTCTCCGGAAGTAAGCTCCGCCATCTTGTTTTGTTGACGGTCACGTGATGAGGTAGATTAGCACGAGTTACCGCCCATGTCAAGTTGAACTGACCCAAACACTGACCAAAGATCTAGGTCAAGTCACCGTGACAATGATGTGACAAATGTCAAATATTACACGTGATAGATTATTGACATGACTTGCCTGAGATGACATGCCGACATGACAAATGCCTGACATGACATACGACTAACATGTCATGTCCTGTCACCAGGGAGGAGTCCTACTTTATCCAACAATGTCAGCAACAGATGTCAGATGACGAGGATTTAACAGGTCAGAGGTCATAAGGTCATTGAGGTCATAAGGTCATTGAGGTCATAAGGTCATTGAGGTCATAAGGTCATTGAGGTCATAAGGTCATTGAGGTCATAAGGTCATTGAGTTCAATAAAAAAATGTCTTAAAGAAAAATGTTTAGCTCTGAGCTCAAATAAACTGTATAAGAGATGGGGGGGGGGGTTGAAGCATCGATATTTACTATCCACCCCCTCCCCCCAATCCCCCCCCCCCCCCCCAACCTCATATGATAAAAATAACATAAAGAAACAGTGTAAGTTATGTAAGAAGTAATTTGTTAGTGACAAAACTCAATTTAAGAGTTCAAGTTGAACAAACCTCCCCACCAAACCTATAATGTAAACCTCCCCACTAAACCTCCCATGTAAACCTCCCCACTAAACCTCCCCACTAAACCTCCCCACTAAACCTACCATGTAAACCTCCCCAATAAACCTCCCCAATAAACCTCCCCTATAAACCTCCCCACTAAACCTATCATGTAAACCTCCCATGTAAACCTCCCCACTAAACCTCCCATGTAAACCTCCCCACTAAACCTACCATGTAAACCTCCCCAATAAACCTCCCCAATAAACCTCCCCTATAAACCTCCCCACTAAACCTATCATGTAAACCTACCATGTAAACCTCCCCACTAAACCTCCCATGTAAACCTCCCCACTAAACCTCCCATGTAAGCCTCACTACTAAACCTACCATGTAAACCTCCCCACTAAACCTCCCATGTAAACCTCCCCACTAAACCTCCCATGTAAGCCTCCCCACTAAACCTGTCATGTTAAAACCTCCCCACTAAACCTACCATGTAAACCTCCCCACTAAACCTCCCATGTAAGCCTCCCCACTAAACCTGTCATGTTAAAACCTCCCCACTAAACCTACCATGTAAACCTCCCCACTAAACCTCCCATGTAAACCTCCCCACTAAACCTGTCATGTTAAAACCTCCCCACTAAACCTACCATGTAAACCTCCCATGTAAACCTCCCCACCAAACCTCCCATGTAAACCTCCCCACTAAACCTACCATGTAAACCTCCCCACTAAACCTATGTGCAGGCACCAGACTGACGGGAACGAAACCTATCGGCGTTATCTCCGGCAGCTGTAGCGGCAGGACGTTAACCCCAGACTGTAAGAGTAACGTCACGTCACGCGGCGTCTTCGCTGGTAGGTCAAGGTTAGCCGTGGCCACGTGATGGCCAGATATTTGTTGGCCAGACATTTGTTGGCCAGACATTTGTTGGCCAGACATTTGTTGGCCAGACATTTGTTGGCCAGACATTTGTTGGCCAGACATTTGTTGGCCAGACATTTGTTGGCCAGACATTTGTTGGCCAGACATTTGGTGGCCAGACATTTGTTGGCCAGAGATTTGTTGGCCAGACATTTGTTGGCCAGACATTTGTTGGCCAGACATTTGTTGGCCAGACATTTGTTGGCCAGACATTTGGTGGCCAGACATTTGTTGGCCAGACATTTGTTGGCCAGACATTTGTTGGCCAGACATTTGTTGGCCAGACATTTGTTGGCCAGACATTTGGTGGCCAGACATTTGTTGGCCAGACATTTGTTGGCCAGACATTTGTTGGCCAGACATTTGTTGGCCAGACATATGATGGCCAGACATTTGATGTCAGCCACTCTAACAATTCCACCCCCCCCCCCCCCCCCCTGGTCTTCCAGAAATGCTGATGCCGCTTGAGACTCTGGGCACAGATTTCATCTTTATCGACACCATCGGCCGGAAAACTCGCGGCTACGTCATCGTGCTGGCGTCACAAGACAACACAGCCGTCACCGTGTTTGATGACGTCTCGCCCGACACGATCATCATTGAGCTAGCGGGCTCTACAACTGCGGTAGGCGCGGCTTGTATGGGCGGGGCTTTGGGTACTGTGGTAGGCGGGGCTTGTATGGGCGGGGCTTTGGGTACTGTGGTAGGCGGGGCTTTTGTGGGCGGGGCTTTGGGTACTGTGGTAGGCGGGGCTTTTGTGGGCGGGGCTTTGGGTACTGTGGTAGGCGGGGCTTGTGTTGGCGGGGCTTTGGGTACTGTGGTAGGCGGGGCTTTTGTGGGCGGGGCTTTGGGTACTGTGGTAGGCGGGGCTTGTGTTGGCGGGGCTTTGGGTACTGTGGTAGGCGGGGCTTTGGGTACTGCGGTAGACGGGGCTTATATGGGCGGGGCTTTGGATACTGTGGTAGGCGGAGCTTGTGTGGGCGGGGCTTTGGGTACTGTGGTAGGCGGGGCTTTGGGTACTGCGGTAGACGGGGCTTATATGGGCGGGGCTTTGGATACTGTGGTAGGCGGGGCATGTGTGGGCGGGGCTTTGGATACTGTGGTAGGTGGGGTTTTGTTTAGTTCTGGCTCTGTCCATATTTCCAAATAAAATGAATCAGATGTGTTTAGCACAGTATTAGAGATTTGTTTGTTGATTTTACTGTCACGTTACATGGTAGGAAACTAACATGGTGTATGAGAGATTTGTTTGTTGATTTTACTGTCACGTTACATGGTAGGAAACTAACATGGTGTATGAGAGATTTGTTTGTTGATTTTACTGTCACGTTACATGGTAGGAAACTAACATGGTGTATGAGAGATTTGTTTGTTGATTTTACTGTCACGTTACATGGTAGGAAACTAACATGGTGTATGAGAGATTTGTTTGTTGATTTTACTGTCACGTACATGGTAGGAAACTAACATGGTGTATGAGAGATTTGTTTGTTGATTTTACTGTCACGTTACATGGTAGGAAACTAACATGGTGTATGAGAGATTTGTTTGTTGATTTTACTGTCACGTACATGGTAGGAAACTAACATGGTGTATGAGAGATTTGTTTGTTGATTTTACTGTCACGTTACATGGTAGGAAACTAACATGGTGTATGAGAGATTTGTTTGTTGATTTTACTGTCACGTTACATGGTAGGAAACTAACATGGTGTATGTGAGATTTGTTTGTTGATTTTACTGTCACGTACATGGTAGGAAACTTACATGGTGTATGAGAGATTTGTTTGTTGATTTTACTGTCACGTACATGGTAGGAAACTAACATGGTGTATGAGAGATTTGTTTGTTGATTTTACTGTCACGTTACATGGTAGGAAACTAACATGGTGTATGAGAGATTTGTTTGTTTATTTTACTGTCACGTACATGGTAGGAAACTAACATGGTGTATGAGAGATTTGTTTGTTGATTTTACTGTCACGTACATGGTAGGAAACTAACATGGTGTATGAGAGATTTGTTTGTTGATTTTACTGTCACGTTACATTGTAGGAATTTAACATGGTGACCTTGACCTCCCCAGCTGACGACCTACAAGCGGAAGCCGCGAAAGATGATCTGCGACAAGCCAGTGGCCTGCTTCTACGTGCTGACGTCAAACTGTGGCGTCACAGAGACTGACGGTGACGCCGCTGTCTCCATCTTAGTTCCGACAACTCTCTTCTACAACCTGTATATGTGGATGTGAGACGTCACCTCATGCACACCAGCACGTCACGTCACACACACAACATTACGTTACACAGAACATCACGTGACACGTCACACAGAACATCACGTGGCACAGAACATAACGTCACACAGAACATCACGTCACACAGAACATAACGTCGCACAGAACATCACGTCACACAGAACATCACGTCACACAGAACATCACGTCACACAGAACATCACGTCACACAGAACATCACGTCACACGTCACACAGAACATCACCTCACACAGAACATCACGTCACACGTCACACAGAACATCACGTCACACGTCACACTGAACATCACGTCACACAGAACATCACGTCACACAGAACATCACGTCACACAGAACATCACGTCACACAGAACATCACGTCACACGTCACACAGAACATCACGTCACACGTCACACTGAACATCACGTCACACAGAACATCACGTCACACGTCACACAGAACATCACGTCACACGTCACACTGAACATCACGTCACACAGAACATCACGTCACACAGAACATCACGTCACACAGAACATCACGTCACACAGAACATCACGTCACACGTCACACAGAACATCACGTCACACGTCACACTGAACATCACGTCACACAGAACATCACGTCACACAGAACATCACCTCACACAGAACATCACCTCACACAGAACATCACGTCACACGTCACACAGAACATCACGTCACACGTCACACTGAACATCACGTCACACAGAACATCACGTCACACAGAACATCACGTCACACAGAACATCACCTCACACAGAACATCACCTCACACAGAACATCACGTCACACGTCACACAGAACATCACGTCACACGTCACACAGAACATCACGTGACACGTCACACAGAACATCACCTCACACAGAACATCACCTCACACAGAACATCACCTCACACAGAACATCACGTCACACGTCACACAGAACATCACGTCACACGTCACACAGAACATCACGTCACACGTCACACAGAACATCACGTGACACGTCACACTGAACATCACGTCACACAGAACATCACGTCACACAGAACATCACGTCACACAGAACATCACGTCACACGTCACACAGAACATCACGTCACACGTCACACAGAACATCACGTCACACGTCACACAGAACATCACGTCACACGTCACACAGAACATCACGTCACACGTCACACAGAACATCACGTCACACGTCACACAGAACATCACGTCACACGTCACACTGAACATCACGTCACACAGAACATCACGTCACACAGAACATCACGTCACACAGAATATCACCTCACACAGAACATCACGTCACACGTCACACAGAACATCACGTCACACGTCACACAGAACATCACGTCACACAGAACATCACGTGACACGTCACATCACTTAACCAACCATTAGACAAAGTTTGATAGAACACCCACGTCTGGTCTCTGTTACCAGATCTCTGTATGACAAGGACCGGACGTTGACCAATTACGTCACACTGGTCATACTGCTCAAGCACAAGAACTACCTGACGCTGGATGACGCAGCTCTAGACAAAAGGTAACGTCACAGGTAACGGGTCTTGTCTGAACACAATAATGATTGGATGAACACATGAATGATTGGGTGAACACGCGAATGATTGGGTGAATACATTAATGATTGGGTGAAAGCACGAATGATTGGGTGAAAGCACGAATGATTGGGTGAAAGCACGAATGATTGTATGAACACATGAATGATTGCTGCCGTCTTGACAGTGTAGTGTGGACCGAGGTCCAGGGCGCCTCCCTGTGGGGCGTGGGTAACCTGAAGGTGGGCTACCACTACCACCGCGCCTACGCCCTCACTGACGTCACGTTTGGCTGCTACGTGTACGGTGTGGCTACCTCCATCAGCTACATGCAGCCCGCAGGCTACATGGCGGCCTTCATCAATAAGGTACGTGTCATCTATGACATCTCGTGTCAACGTCATAAGCCCGTACTTGTCATATGATGTACGTCATGACATATTCACTTTTCCTAAATGGTTAATGTCATGCCATTTGGCATATGTCATCGCATGTCTGTTTTTATAAATGTCATGTTGTATGTGTAATGACACCTGCCTTTCTTGTCTAATGCCCATGATCTATAGACATGTCATATCATGTGGTCATTTCACATCAAATGTCATGTTAAATGCCATGTCACATGTCACATGTTTGACCCAATGCCGTGTCTAATGTCACATGTTTGACCCAATGCCATGTCAAATGTCACATGTTTGACCCCATGCCATGTCAAATGTCACATGTTTGACCCAATGTCATGTCAAATGTCACATGTTTGACCCAATGCCATGTCAAATGTCACATGTTTGACCCCATACCATGTCAAATGTCACATGTTTGACCCAATGCCATGTCAAATGTCACATGTTTGACCCAATGTCATGTCAAATGTCACATGTTTGACCCCATGCCATGTCAAATGTCACATGTTTGACCCAATGCCATGTCACATGTTTCACCCAATGTCATGTCAAATGTCACATGTTTGACCCAATGTCATGTCAAATGTCACATGTTTGACCCCATGCCATGTCAAATGTCACATGTTTGACCCAATGCCATGTCACATGTTTCACCCAATGTCATGTCAATTGTCACATGTTTGACCCCATGCCATGTCAAATGTCACATGTTTGATCCAATGCCATGTCAAATGTCACATGTTTGACCCCAGCCGTGCAGCACGAGCCAGATGACAGACGGAGATCTGATGGACAACGACTGCGACATGGTGGTGGACGAGGAACTACGTAACAACATTGGTAGGTGTGTGGGGGCATAGTGTGGGGCATCGTGTGGGGGCAGTGTGGGGCATTCTGTGGGGGCATCATGTGGGGCATATTGTAAGGGCATAATGTGGGGATATCGTGTGGGGGCATCGTTTGGGGTATAGTGTGTTCACTGTGTGAGTGGGGGGGGGGAGGGCTTGGGAGTTCAGTAAACTGCTGTCTTGTCTGTCTTCTGTGACGTCACATCCGTTGAAATCACGTGACCTACATTCCAGATGACGACCACGACGGCTCGGTCGATGAAGATCTGGCCACAGGTATCGATACTGTACAGTTATAGTTATACATTATAGTCGACTACGTTATTCCGTAAAATAAATGATAATAAATAACAATATATATATATATATATATATATATATATATATATATATATATATATATATGTATCCATGTGTATGTATGTGTGTGTATATCGAGCTGTCTACCACCAGAGGCGTGTACACTCAACAACGGGAGCAACTGCCACCCCAAGATCACAAAACCCACAGTTCGTACAACCACAGGACCAGCCAGTACACCCTCACCCGGCGCAGGTCAGGAGCTTAATCTTTGTTCATGTCAGGAGCTTAATCTTTGTTCATGTCAGGAGCTTAATCTTTGTTCGTGTCAGGAGCTTATTCTTTGTTTATGTCAGGAGCTTAATCTTTGTTCATGTCAGGAGCTTCTTTTTTGTTCATGTCATGAGCTTAATCTTTGTTCGTTTATGTCAGGAGCTTAATCTTTGTTCGTTTATGTCAGGAGCTTAATCTTTGTTCATGTCAGGAGCTTAATCTTTGTTCATGTCAGGAGCTTAATCTTTGTTCATTTCAGGAGCTTAATCTTTGTTCATGTCAGGAGCTTAATCTTTGTTCATGTCAGGAGCTTAATCTTTGTTTATGTCAGGAGCTTAATCTTTGTTCATGTCAGGAGCTTCATCTTTGTTCATGTCAGGAGCTTAATCTTTGTTCATGTCAGGAGCTTAATCTTTGTTCGTTGATGTCAGGAGCTTAATCTTTGTTCGTTGATGTCAGGAGCTTAATCTTTGTTCGTTGATGTCAGGAGCTTCATCTTTGTTCATGTCAGGAGCTTCATCTTTGTTTATGTCAGGAGCTTCATCTTTGTTCATGTCAGGAGCTTCATCTTTGTTCCCAAGATATTTGGCACAAATCTAAAAACATGTTCTGGTGTTGTTGATGTCTCACCGGCACAAATCTAAGAACATGTTGTGTTGTTGTTGATGTCCCACCGGCACAAATCTAAGAACATGTTGTGTTCTTGTCCCACCGGCACTAATCTAAGAACATGTTGTAGTGTTGTTGATGTCCCACCGGCACTAATCTAAGAACATGTTCTGGTGTTGTTGATGTCCCACCGGCACTAATCTAAGAACATGTTGTGATGTTGTTGTTGTCCCACTGGCACAAATCTAAGAACATGTTGTAGTGTTGTTGATGTCCCACCGGCACTAATCTAAGAACATGTTCTGGTGTTGCAGACTGCCCGAGGGGTAAGTACGGTGCCAAGTGTAAGCGGGACTGCAGCAAGTGTGACCCAGATTGTGACAAGACCACAGGCAAATGTCGCAGGTGCTTCAGTGGATGGAGGCATCCAGAGAGATCCTGCAAGGATGGTGAGTGTCACGTGGTACCCGGCGGTAACGTCAGGTGGTAGTGTCAGGTTGTCAGGTGGTAGTGTCAGGCTGTCAGGTGGTAGTGTCAGGTGGTAGTGTCAGGTGGTAGTGTCAGGCTGTCAGGTGGTAGTGTCAGACTGTCAGGTGGTAGTGTCAGGCTGTCAGGTGGTAGTGTCAGGCTGTCAGGTGGTAGTGTCAGGCTGTCAGGTGGTAGTGTCAGGCTGTCAGGTGGTAGTGTCAGGTGGTAGTGTCAGGTGGTAGTGTCAGGCTGTCAGGTGGTAGTGTCAGACTGTCAGGTGGTAGTGTCAGGCTGTCAGGTGGTAGTGTCAGGCTGTCAGGTGGTAGTGTCAGGCTGTCAGGTGGTAGTGTCAGGTGGTAGTGTCAGGCTGTCAGGTGGTAGTGTCAGGCTGTCAGGTGGTAGTGTCAGACTGTCAGGTGGTAGTGTCAGGCTGTCAGGTGGTAGTGTCAGGCTGTCAGGTGGTAGTGTCAGGCTGTCAGGTGGTAGTGTCAGGTGGTAGTGTCAGGTGGTAGTGTCAGGCTGTCAGGTGGTAGTGTCAGGCTGTCAGGTGGTAGTGTCTGGTGGTAGTGTCAGGCTGAAATGTGGTAGTGTCAGGTGGTAGTGTCAGGTTGTCAGGTGGTAGTGTCAGGCTGTCAGGTGGTAGTGTCAGGTGGTAGTGTCAGGCTGTCAGGTGGTCGTGTCAGGCTGTCAGGTGGTAGTGTCAGGCTGTCAGGTGGTAGTGTCAGGCTGTCAGGTGGTAGTGTCAGGCTGTCAGGTGGTAGTGTCAGGTGGTAGTGTCAGGCTGTCAGGTGGTAGTGTCAGGTGGTAGTGTCAGGTGGTAGTGTCAGGCTGTCAGGTGGTAGTGTCAGGCTGTCAGGTGGTAGTGTCTGGTGGTAGTGTCAGGCTGTCAGGTGGTAGTGTCAGGTGGTAGTGTCAGGCTGTCAGGTGGTAGTGTCAGGCTGTCAGGTGGTAGTGTCAGGTGGTAGTGTCAGGCTGTCAGGTGGTAGTGTCAGGTGGTAGTGTCAGGCTGTCAGGTGGTAGTGTCAGGCTGTCAGGTGGTAGTGTCAGGCTGTCAGGTGGTAGTGTCAGGCTGTCAGGTGGTAGTGTCAGGCTGTCAGGTGGTAGTGTCAGGCTGTCAGGTGGTAGTGTCAGGTGGTAGTGTCAGGTGGTAGTGTCAGGCTGTCAGGTGGTAGTGTCAGGCTGTCAGGTGGTAGTGTCAGGCTGTCAGGTGGTAGTGTCAGGCTGTCAGGTGGTAGTGTCAGGCTGTCAGGTGGTAGTGTCAGGCTGTCAGGTGGTAGTGTCAGGGGTAGAGTTAGAGTTTGGTTTTGACTTGTTGATAAAGTGGATTAGGTGGTCGTACTAGACTTCTACCAGTTCTTTAACACGTCTTTTTAATACGACTCGATCATTGGCCTCCCTGTACACAGCGGTATACACTGTACTGTTCAATATATATATATATATATATATATATATATATATATATATATATATATATATATATATATATATATATATATATATATATATATATATATATATATATATATATATATATATATATATACAGATGGTCCTTATTTACCGCCCACTTAATGTCCTGTTGAATGTCCTCAGCATGTCCTGCCATGACGTACGGTCCTAACTGCCGATTGTCCTGCTTACAGAAGTGTAAGGGAGAGGACTGCGCTGAGAGAGAACGTGGGGACTGTCACACGTCACTCTTTGGTAATTTAGGAAGTTACTGCCCCTTGTTGTCTTATGGTTACTGCCCCTTGTTGTCTTAAGGTTACTGCACCTTGTTGTCTTATACTGCCCTTGTTGTCTTATGGTTACTGCCCCTTGTTGTCTTATGGTTACTGCCCTTGTTGTCTTATAGTTACTGCCCTTGTTGTCTTATAGTTACTGCCCTTGTTGGCTTATGGTTACTGCCCCTTGTCTTATGGATACTGTCATACAATTGTGAGACGACTATATCGGACATGATTTGTCACTTCATGACAGACAAACAAAATCTCATGACGTCTGACAAAATGTGACGCAAGAATCTTAAAATGTGACAAAATGTGACAAAATGTGACGCCAACATGTGTTCCCAGGCAGGTTCGGCTACCTGTTCTACGCTCTGTGGCTGCTGGTTTTGATACCCGTGTGTGTGATGATCGTTATCTTCAGAAAGTAGGTCAAGTAGAGTTTTACTAATACTTCTCCAAAGATTACATTGCATTCTTTCAAATCAATATAACCAACCACACCAACCACACTAACCCTAACCATATCACACCACACCAACCCTAACCACACTAGCCCTAACCACACCAAACCTAAACACACCACACCAAACCTAGCCACATCAAACCTAACCACACCAACCCTAACCACACCAAATCTAACCACACCACACCAAACCTAGCCACACCAAACATAACCACACCAACGCCAACCACATCACGTCAACCCTAACCACACCACACCAACCCTAACCACACCAACCCTAACCACATCAACCCTAACCATAGCAACCCTAACCACATCAACCCTAACCATAGCAACCCTAACCACACCAACCCTAACCACACCAACCCTAACCACTCCAACCCTAACCACCAACCCTTACCACACCAACCCTAACCACACCAACCCTAACCATAGCAACCCTAACCACACCAACCCTAACCACACCAACCCTAACCACACCAACCCTAACCACACCAACCCTAACCACACCAACCCTAACCACACCAACCCTAACCACACCAACCCTAACCACACCAACCCTAACCACACCACGTCAACCCTAACCACACCAACACTAACCACACCAACCATAACCACACCAACCCTAACCACACCAACCCTAACCACACCAACCCTAACCACACCACGTCAACCCTAACCACACCAACCCTAACTACACCAACCCTAACCACACCACACCAACCCTAACCTAACCACACCAACCCTAACCACACCAACCCTAACCACACCAACCCTAACCACACCACACCAACCCTAACCACACCAACCCTAACCACACCACACCAACCCTAACCACACCAACCCTAACCACACCAACCCTAACCACACCAACCCTAACCACACCAACCCTAACCACACCAACCCTAACCACTCCAACCCTAACCACACCAACCCTAACCACACCAACCCTAACCACACCACACCAACCCTAACCACACCAACCCTAACCACACCACACCAACCCTAACCACACCAACCCTAACCACACCAACCCTAACCACACCAACCCTAACCACACCAACCCTAACCACACCAACCCTAACCACACCAACCCTAACCACACCAACCCTAACCACACCAACCCTAACCACACCAACCCTAACCACACCAACCCTAACCACACCAACCCTAACCACACCAACCCTAACCACACCAACCCTAACCATAGCAACCCTAACCACACCAACCCTAACCACACCAACCCTAACCACACCAACCCTAACCATAGCAACCCTAACCACACCAACCCTAACCACACCAACCCTAACCACACCAACCCTAACCACACCAACCCTAACTACACCAACCCTAACCACACATCAACCAACCACACATCAACCAACCACCCCATCCTTTCCCCTCTTGTAACTCAGGCGTAAGAAAAAATCAAAGGAAGATGAAGACGACGATGACGATCACCATGATGATGATCACCATGACGACGAACATCACGATGATGACGACGAACATCATGACGATGACGAACATCACGATGACGATGATGTAGAGGACCGACCCGCGTCACGTGGCTCAGCCAGGCCGTCCTTAGCGTCAGTCAAGAGTCAGAAATCCAAGAAGTAGTTGGCGTCAGTCATCTAAGTCACGGGCGTCAGTCGTGTTATCGAAGCATGACGTCACAAGACAACAGGTCCCCACAGGTCGACCTGAAGGGTAGCCCGTCAAGGTAGCACTGTTATGGTGACCGACAGGCTACAGTCAGGGTGTCAGTGGCTACCTGTGCTGCATTGGCTACCGTAAGTGTGGGGGCGATAGAATCAGCCAATTTTTGTGAGGTTACATGTGTGTGGGGCAAATGTTGTGTGGTGATAAATGGTGTGTGGGGGCCACACTGTGTGGGGTTGAATGTTGTGTGGTGATAAATTTTGTGCGGGGTAACACACTGTGGGGTTGAATGGTGTGTGGGGGCCATACTGTGTGGTGTGAGTTCACACGTTTGGTGCTGTACATTTACTTGACAATCATTACATGTAATCTGCCGATGTAATCAATAAATATGTTTCACATTGAGCCTGATGTTCATTTGTATGATAGAACTAGTTCAATTTTAATTGGACTCACAAACTTTGCAAACATTTGTTTTTACCACATTTTGAATTTGTTATCAATTAAAGTGTAAACAAAATCTTTCATTTAATTAATGTAAGAACTAATTAGTCTTAATTCCTACACAGCACTACCACTGTGTTGTTCCAGTCACGCTTATGTCCCTTGATATTGCTAAATATAGTAACATTTTGTTTGGTCAGGTTAAACAGCCAGTGTGCTCTAATGAGAGGTTTGTTTCCTGCAAGTATAAAATGTTGCATGCTGCAAGAATAAAATGTTGCATGCTGCAAGTATAAATGTTGGATGCTGCAAGTATATAACGTTGGATGCTGCAAGTATAAAATGTTGCATGCTGCAAGTATAAAATGTTGCATGCTGCAAGTATAAATGTTGGATGCTGCAAGTATAAAATGTTGGATGCTGCAAGTATAAAATGTTGGATGCTACAAGTATAAAATGTTGCATGCTGCAAGTATAAAATGTTGGATGCTGCAAGTATAAAATGTTGCTGCTGCAAGTATAAAATGTTGGATGCTGCAAGTATAAAATGTTGGATGCTGAAAGTATAAAATGTTGCATGCTGCAAGTATAAAATGTTGCATGCTGCAAGTATAAAATGTTGGATGCTGCAAGTATAAAATGTTGCATGCTGCAAGTATAAAATGTTGGATGCTGAAAGTATAAAATGTTGCATGCTGCAAGTATAAAATGTTGCATGCTGCAAGTATAAAATGTTGGATGCTGAAAGTATAAAATGTTGCATGCTGCAAGTATAAAATGTTGCATGCTGCAAGTATAAAATGTTGGATGCTGCAAGTATAAAATGTTGCATGCTGCAAGTATAAAATGTTGGATGCTGCAAGTATAAAATGTTGGATGCTGCAAGTATAAAATGTTGCATGCTGAAAGTATAAAATCATGGATGCTGCAAGTATGAAGATGTATGATGAAGATATATGATGAAGATGTGTGATGAAGATGTTTGTAGAATGTAAATTAGAAGAATGGTGACGTAGAAAAGTGACGTAGTCACAAATATATCACACGCAGGAAATCAAAACTACAGGACACAAACTATAGGACCAGGACACACGGTATGTCACAAACTATAGGACCAGGACAAACGGATGCCACAAACTATAGGACCAGGATACACAGAATACCACAGGACAATTACTGTAGGACAAGAGCCAACAACAAACACAAATCCCACGTGACCCGGCTGCTACCAGCACGGAGTATCACGTTTCAAACATCTTGTACAACCACAGTTGTCCCCTCTCCCCTCCACATTAGACCACAGTTGTCCCCCCTCCCCATTAGACCACAGTTGTCCCCCCTCCCCATTAAACCACAGTTGTCCCCTCTCCCCTCCCCATTAGACCACAGTTGTCCCCCCTCCTCATTAGACCACAGTTGTCCCCCCTCCCCATTAGACCACAGTTGTCCCCCCTCCCCATTAGACCACAGTTGTCCCCCCTCCCCTCTCCATTAGACCACAGTTGTCCCCCCCCTCCCCATTAGACCACAGTTGTCCCCCCTCCCCATTAGACCACAGTTGTCCCCCCTCCCCATTAGACCACAGTTGTCCCCCCCTCCCCATTAGACCACAGTTGTCCCCCCTCCCCATTAGACCACAGTTGTCCCTCCTCCCCATTAAACCACAGTTGTCCCCCCTCCCCTCCCCATTAGACCACAGTTGTCCCCCCTCCCCATTAGACCACAGTTGTCCCCCCTCCCCATTAGACCACAGTTGCCCCCCCCCCCCCTTCCCCCTAGACCACAGTTGTCCCCCCCCCCCTGCCCATCTTGTACAATATTGTCGCTTGTCTCCCCTGGTTGTCTAACTGCGACAGGCCATGTTGTGACGTCACTTAGACGTTACAACTGTATGTTACAAGGCTGGTAACTCAAAGCTTTATTCAGAGGCAGTGTTTCTTCCAGACATCTAACCCCCCCCCCCCACACGTGTATGAAATAGAAGCGTACGTAGTAGGTAGGTCAGGTCAGTGTTTAGGTCAGGTCAGTGTTTAGGTCAGGTCAGTGTTTAGGTCTGGTCAATGTTTAGGTCAGGTCAGTGTTTAGGTCAGGTCAGTGTTTAGGTCAGGTCAGTGTTTAGGTCAGGTCAGTGTTTAGGTCAGGTCATGTCAGTGCTTAGGTCATGTCAGTGCTAAGGTCAGGTCAGTGTTTAGGTCAGGTCAGTGTTTAGGTCAGGTCAGTGTTTAGGTCAGGTCAGTGTTTAGGTCAGGTCAGTGTTTAGGTCAGGTCAGTGTTTAGGTCAGGTCAGTGTTTAGGTCAGGTCAGTGTTTAGGTCATGTCAGTGTTTAGGTCAGGTCAGTGTTTAGGTCAGGTCATGTCAGTGCTTAGGTCATGTCAGTGCTAAGGTCAGGTCAGTGTTTAGGTCAGGTCAGTGTTTAGGTCAGGTCAGTGTTTAGGTCAGGTCAGTGTTTAGGTCAGGTCAGTGTTTAGGTCAGGTCAGTGTTTAGGTCAGGTCAGTGTTTAGGTCAGGTCATGTCAGTGCTTAGGTCATGTCAGTGCTTAGGTCAGGTCAGTGTTTAGGTCAGGTCAGTGTTTAGGTCAGGTCAGTGTTTAGGTCAGTCAGTGTTTAGGTCAGGTCAGTGTTTAGGTCAGGTCAGTGTTTAGGTCAGGTCAGTGTTTAGGTCAGGTCAGTGTTTAGGTCAGGTCAGTGTTTAGGTCAGGTCAGTGTTTAGGTCAGGTCAGTGTTTAGGTCAGGTCATGTCAGTGCTTAGGTCATGTCAGTGCTTAGGTCAGGTCAGTGTTTAGGTCAGGTCAGTGTTTAGGTCAGGTCAGTGTTTAGGTCAGTCAGTGTTTAGGTCAGGTCAGTGTTTAGGTCAGGTCAGTGTTTAGGTCAGGTCAGTGTTTAGGTCAGGTCAGTGTTTAGGTCATGTCAACTATGTCTCGTTAGGTCATGACCTGACTGTTATAAAATTCCTTTCATCACTGTTGCAACATTCATAATTTGCATGGTCTGCCATGTCACCCCACCCCCACCACAACAGCCCCTTCAACACCAACCCCCAAGACACCAACCAGTTTCAGACCCCACCTCCCCCATTCCCCCCCCCCCCCCTGCCCCCACCGGCACGACATCCAACGGTAGAATTCCGTTTAGCATTACCTGGACCTCGGCAGACGAGACAACGCCAGACGACAGCAAACCACGGCGGACGACAGAACTCAACGGCAGACGTCAGAACTCAACGAATTTCAGCCAAGTTCAAATCATGAAGTGGCTGATAGCTGTAACGATATTAGGAGGTAAGTTTTTTGTGACGTTATTCGAAATGATTGTGCTTGTTGTGACGTTATTCGAAAGAATTGTGTTTTTTGTGACGTTATTCGAAATGATTGTGTTTGTGACGTTTACTTTATTCAAAATTATATATATATATATATATATATATATATATATATATATATATATATATATATATATATACATATATATATATATATATATATATATATATATATATATATATATATATATATATATATATATATATATATATGACCAAAAATGCTTTCTATTTCAAAATTTGTCTCATTTAATGTACCTTGGCTTTTCAAAAACAAAAATTCTTTTTATTTTGGTCTACAAAAATGTTGGCTAAATAAAATTTTAAAAGCTAAAACCTATGAAGAATTTGTCAGAGTATTGTACAAGTCAGAATGTAGTGTATTACATTCCTATTCTCAACCAACGTGTTTCATTTTAACATGTTTTTGTTATCGAAATCGTTCCACCTCCCCCCCCCCCCCCATCCCAACTCCCCAACCATTTTTGATTGTCGCGTGACGCCATCGTAAGGAACAAAACACAATGAAACATGTTTACCAGCTAGGTATTGCATAACAAACAACAACATAAGAAAAGAAAAAGATGTTTCAGGCAGAAAGTTGACGACACACAGCTTCCCCCCCCCCCCCCCCCTCGTGTCGAGTCTGACGTAATCAGGCACAACAGGAAACATATGTCTTGGCTTTATGGCCAAATTTTTGGCACGTTTCGGTAAATCTTTTCCTGTTCTTGACAAGTCACTTTCATGTCGGCAACACGACGAATTTGTTGATTTCAAGAAGTCACTAATTAATCTCATTAATTAGCTAATTAATTAAAGTAATAAAAACAACGATTTGTTTGCTGTTTACAAACTTTCACTCAAGCCAAAATGGGCGTGTAATTATTTACGGGGTCAAGTTTGGCCACTCAGTCTAAACATTTTTATAGGGTCAAGTCTGGCCACTCAGTCTAAACATTTTTATAGGGTCAAGTTCGGCAACTCAGTCTAAACATTTCTTGAATAGATCAAAGTGAACCGCAGCTGATCCTGTCGTCTAACAAGATTAAAATATTTAAATGGCCTCAAGGTCGACACACCCGTACCAACCCCACCCGCCGGTTGCCATATATTAATGCTGTTAAAACACGTGTATTATGTATTGTGTATTATGTATTGTGTATTATGTATTGTGTATTATGTATTGTGTATTAGGTATTTTGTATTGTGCATTGCGTATTGTGTACTGTGTATTATGTAGGCCTATTGTGTATTGTGAATTGTGTATTATGTATTGTGTGCTGTGTATCGTTTATTGTTGAAAACTTAATAATTTAGATTCACATATGTATCCAATTAGTACAATATTATCATTTGATTGAACAGAACAAAAATTTGATTTCATTTGAGATGTTTTAAATCGTTATATATATATATATATATATATATATATATATATATATATATATATATATATATATATATATATATATAAAATTTTTGCGGGGGGGGGGGGGGGAGATTATTATTTAATTTATGTAAGTTCAAACTTAACCAACCCCGCCCCCTCCTTGAATTCTGAAGAAGTCACACTCACATATCACGTGGATGTTATAAATACATGACCCAGATAGAATGCGGATAGAATGTCAGAAAATTGAGTTCCTTTTATGGTGAAGAGCTTTTACAGGATGGGCGCAGTGGGATATTGTTTTGTGTAGCGCGGTGTTGTCAGTCGACTGACCGTTTTCCAACGGGAAACCGAGTCGCCTAGAATATTGTAAAATTTCGATGTTTTTATGAGGCATTTTAGATGAATCCATTTTCAGTGGGAAAATTCTTTTCCTCTTATAAATCTTAAATATACAAAACAGATAACGTTATAAATAACGCTACTCCCCCCTCCCCCCCCCCCTCCACACATACCCACAACAAGCTTCGAATTAAACGTTAACAAGCTACACCGTCATGTTGATATTTTGATTTAACCGGATAAAAATAGACGGGAGCACCGTAAGCCGGACTGGCGGATGATTTCAAACATTCGCGAGTCGAGTGAACAAATGGTCAGGTATTTTGTTCATTGGATGCGTTAATTAGGTTAAGTATTTTAATATCATAGCAATCTTAACGAACGTAAGTTGGTTGATAAATTCACTTTCACATTCCAATTTTGCCCGTAGTGCTGTGTGTTTGTCGGTCTGTCTCGCGATGTTTACTGCAGACATTTTAGGTGGTGTTTACTGCAGACATTTCTAGTGGTGTTTGATGCAGACATTTCTAGTGTAGTATCCACCGAGATTCTGAACTTTGCCAGATTGTGTCGTGTTATTCTACCTGGCCATATATTCCCCACTGAGCCGTCTTCGAATAAATTTTGCCGTCTGCCTTGAATAATGACAAACCTCATCCCTCCCGAACCCCTTTCACCTGTAGTATATCACCAGGATATAACCCTGAAACCCAGGATATAACCATGACCCCAGGATATAACCATGACCCCAGGATAAAACCCTGACCCCAGGATATAACCCTGACCCTGACCCCAGGATATAACCCTGACCCCAGGATATAACCCTGACCCCAGGATAAAACCCTGACCCCAGATATAACCCTGACATCAAGGTATAACCTTGACCCTGACCCCACTAAAGCAGCTACCCTGCTGGCCCATGAGAGAACACGATTTGTGGATGTCTCAGGGTTGTCTCAGGATGTCTCAGGGTGGTCCAGTGAACATGTGCCCCCCCCCCCCATGGCACCTCAGTAAGGCGTGCCTCGTCTAAACCATGTCTATACCACCCCACACCTCCCCTAGACCATGTCTATACCACCCCACACCTCCCCTAGACCATGTCTATACCACCTCACACCTCCCCTAGACCATGTCTATACCACCCCACACCTCCCCTAGACCATGTCTATACCACCCCACACCTCCCCTAGACCATGTCTATACCACCCCACACCTCCCCTAGACCATGCCCATACCACCCCACACCTCCCCTAGACCATGTCTATACCACCCCACACCTCCCCTAGACCATGTCTATACCACCCCACACCTCCCCTAGACCATGTCTATACCACCTCACACCTCCCCTAGACCATGTCTATACCACCCCACACCTCCCCTAGACCATGCCCATACCACCCCACACCTCCCACTTAAAAAACCGCTGACTTAGGCATCCTGAGTCAGGGCGAAATTTGTTGTGACAAAAATAAATACGTCACCGGAAACGTGTGTGACAACCAAGACAACTGGTCTTAAGATAGTCACGTGACAAAATATTGTCTACCTTCGTCACGTCTCAGCAGAGCCACTCTACTGCACCTGGTGGCCAGACTTCATGAGATTCTTTCCTCGTTGCCAGGTGGGTCTGCTGCCAAGTTCTAAACATCTACTTTTTTAAGTCCCGTCAACCAGAAGCGACCCGATTCTGGGTCAGCGGCGACCCGTATGTGGGTCAGATCGTGAGAGGAAGCGACCGGACGATATTTCATAACACGTCAACCTCCAGGTGGACTAATGAATTGCCGGCTATTTTTAGCCTAGACGGGAGAGAAGTTCTCATGAAACAATTTGCATATCAAAGTGTCTTAGTGCGGGCTAGAATGTGCCATTTGGGTGGCACGCAACAGACATAATTGTCTCACACAAGACACATGTCTCACACAAGACACATATCTCACATAAGTGTTTGAAAATGTGCTCTCAAATCTTTTAAATCTCTCTCTCTCTTTCTCTCTATCTCTCTCTCAATCTTATAGATATAATACTAGCTGCATACCTTTGCACCGCCACGGTAAATCTTTTTTAAATGTACCAACTTGGGAACAGAACAAAACTAAACATTACACAAACACAACACAAACGAAAACACAAAAACAATGCTAAAAACACAAACGAAAACACAAATGCAACAAACAAACACAAAAGAAAAAAAGAAAAGCAAATAAAAATACAATGAAAACACAAACACAATGCATGCACAAATGCAGACGCAAAAAAAAAACACAAAAGAAAGAACAAACACAACACTCATAACATAAACACAACTTAAATGCAAACATAAACGCATAGTTCTCACAGTCTAGTCCGTGGCGCCAAATCGCATCCTGTCCGAGCGTCGGCGGACGCGCCTGATTCAGTGAATGTGTATAAAAACCCCAGCTTGTCCGCAAACCGAAAGATAGAATAATAATTAGTAAACATTACGTTCAGTGTATAAAATAAATAAAAGGCAGTATTTAAAACATTAATGTCACACCTAAGTATACGCTGGGTAGGATAATTGACCTAAAGTGACCGGACCGCGGTGAATGAAGTTAACCCCCCTCCCCCCCCCCCCCCCTCCAAACCCACCCCACCTGATCTGTTGGTACATTTGGGAAAACCCGTAATGTCGTACCAAAGTACCTTGCCGCCAGAGTTATAGCTTTTGAAACAGGTAAAACTCTGTGAATATTGTTTTTGCAATTACCAGTAAAGAGGTGTGTGATCAATACAGTGATCTAACCCATACCTTATCATCTATCTATCTATCTATATACTACTAAAACTCAAGTTTGTTTACATGTTTGAATATTTGTTTTTGTTTGTTTGTCTGATTTCTTACTGTAAGGAAACTGCTTAATATGGGGGGCTGTCAAATAGTATGTAGGTAGAGAACAATTTTTGATTGCAGACAGACTGTTAATCACACATTTATTTAAAGACGTTAATTTATTGATTTATTCATAGGTAGATTAACCACATTTTTTTTAAAAGATTAGAACAAACCACTACACACGACGGAACCGCGACGTCACAGTTTTTTGTTTACTTTTTAGTACAATAAAATGGCGGCTCCCATCATAGGCCCATTCAAAAGTTTAACGCGTTCTAAATCTAATATTCTGTCGGCCATAACTTTAACGATAAGTCCGTTTGCTGTATTTATTACGTTCCAACACATATAAATTTTCAACTGTCTTTTTCATTTAGTTTTACAATAAATTTCTCTTGCTCTACAATCTGTCCAAGAAAGTTTTTTATAGATCTAGATCTAGAATGTAGGTCAAAACAAAGATTTATTAGTTATAAATAAAATAAAAAAAAAAAAACAACTTTACTAGATTTAAGCAAACCAGTCGTAGATCTAGAATATAGATAAACTATTTCAGACCTATATTATTTTATATAAATCTTTGTTTGGAATATGCTAATTTTGAAATGCTCGATCCAGGGCCATTAGCGTAGCTAATGATTAGATCTAGATTCTAGATCTAGCAAGAGTTACGCAAAAACTACACTTAAGACTTAAGTAAACGAGTCGTAGAATCTAGATCTAGATAATTCTATCTAGATCTAGATAATTTTAAACCTTCATTATTTTATATAAATCTTTGTTTGGCTAATTTAAGATAAAATTTAATTTGAAAGTTACAAATACTAGACTTAGATCTAGATCTATGCGCGTAAATCAAGTTGCATAAGGAGACTCAAAGTATTAAAGTATAGTATAAAAATACATCTGTGACGTAAGAGTTAAATAGCTAAGTTGTTAGTGTGATCGGCTTGCATGCGGATGGCACGGGTTCTAGACCAATACGCTAAGGATTTTTTTTTTCAATTTTTTTTTTATTTTTTAGATGTGAATGATAAAGTTGCCTATCTGAACTTGGCGGGATATAGGGCAGGTGAACTAGAGTTCATCTGTTTCTTTGTCCTAAGCATATGAAGGGATAGTATTGTCAGAGACATGCTCGGCTGGAATCGTTTTTTTAAACGATAAAAACATATTGTCTCAGACTTAGCGGGACACTGGGCAGGCGAAGTAGAGTTGAGTAAGTCACCTGTGACGTCAGTATATGAAGGGGTAGTCCGAAATCGGTGTTTTCGGTGTTTTTAAAAGATAAAAAACATCTTTTTGAATGTGGGGTCTGTTTTTTTGTGACGATAAGTGACACTGCAGTAGCGTAGCGAGGGGGGGGGGGAACATATGTCCCCGGGCGCCGAACTTAGGGGGCGCCAAAATGGGTTGGAAAAATAAATTGAAAGGTTGAGGGGGGGTGCACATCGAAATTTTGAGGGGAGGGGTGGGGTTCAAATCGAAAAGTTTGTCCCCGGGCGCAGGAAGGGTCGCTACGCCTCTGAGTGACAGACGTGATGTTTTTTATGGATGACCCCCGAAACCCACAGTTATCCAACGGATGACGGGTAGTCTAGTTATCTTAAAAATTATCTTTAAAGAACACAAAAAGCAGTAGCTTATTAGAAAATGTGTGAAATGAACTGTAAGACCAACGAATTAGTTACATGTAGGCAACTATTTAAAATGTCCCACCTATTAGATTTAGTTTTAATATAATATAAAATCGAAAAGCGTGATTTATACCAACTCTGATTTTTTTAAAACTTACATTATGCTGTAAGATTTTAGCATTTATGATGACAATATATTTAATTCTAATTGTAGACAACAAATTTTTGTAAAAACGAATAAAGTAGTTTCTTTACCACATGCCAAAATAATTAGTTGTATGTTTTGACATTTACAATTAAATTTGTAGAAGTATAAATATTTATATTAAGAGAGTGATTATTTTCCCTAGTTCGTTTGTCTTAATATTCTAGGAATCATTATTTCAAAATGGTTTTTACAATGATTGTGTTGCGTTCATTGTGTGTATTTTTTGTTTGTTTATTAATTAGAGTGATAAATTGTTTTTTTATCGGCCAACATCGTGTTTTTTTTTCTTATTTCTTCAGAGTACTTATTTTACATCAGGGGTCTCCAAACTTTTCAGTCCGAGGGCCGCATTAACTATCAAATTTCAGTTCGGGTGCCAGTTTCTTCCAGGCATGTCTTTGATTTTTCTGGGCAAAGTTCCTCAGCCATCAGCAACAAACGTTTTTTCCGTGGACAAAAAGATCGCCGCGGGCCGGATGAGAGGACTTCGCGGGCCGCATCCGGCCCGCGGGCCGTAGTTTGGAGACCCCTGTTTTACATCATAGCGAAGCAATGACATACAGCTATATATATATATATATATATATATATATATATATATATATATATATATATATATATATATATATATATATATATATATATATATATATATATATATATTATTTATTTATATATATATATATATATATATAATGCTGGAAAACATTTGAACCCCCCATGAGACGATCCAGGCTACGCCACTGAACCTAACTAACCCTGGTTTAACATTTGTTTCAGCTGTATGTGCGGCCCCACAATTTAACAACGCTCCGTCGCCAGGTGAGTGAGTTCAACTTTTACTCTCCCCTTTTTCCCCCTCACTAGCTCTCTCACTTCCGCTCCCCTCCCTCCTTTCTCCCTCTCTCCCCCTCACTCCCCCCCCCCTCCCCCCTCTGACCACCTATTCTCCCACTCTCTTATGTCCGTTTTGTCACCAGTCAGCATGCAGGGTAACCCTAACACATTGACGGGGTAGGGTTATGGTTAGGGGGGGGGGGTAGTTCTATTAACCTCACAACTAACTCGATCCTTGATGTTGGCTAACTGAATAACTGATATAACCTCAGCACAACATGCAAACACTGACCACTGACACATGCAACACTGACCACTGACACGTGTCACACTGACCACTGACACATGCAACACTGACCACTGACACGTGTCACACTGACCACTGACACATGCAACACTGACCACTGACACGTGTCACACTGACCACTTACACATACAACACTGACCACTGACCACTGACACATACAACACTGACCACTGACACGTGTCACACTGACCACTGACCACTGACACATGCAACACTGACCACTGACACGTGTCACACTGACCACTGACCACTGACACATGCAACACTGACCACTGACACGTGTCACACTGACCACTGACACATGCAACACTGACCACTGACACGTGTCACACTGACCACTGACACATGCAACACTGACCACTGACCACTTACACATACAACACTGACCACTGACACATGCAACACTGACCACTGACACGTGTCACACTGACCACTCACACATGCCAACACTGACCACTTACACATACAACACTGACCCTTGACATATGTCAGCCTGACTACTAATGCCAGCCCTACCGATTACCCTACCCAACAGTTTCATCGCTGGGGGAGTCGGACATTAAACCACACCTTTAGAATATTCACGTATCAGTCGCACTCGATTATACTACACTGGTCAAATAAGGAGGTATCGATACATTTAAGTATCGTTATAACTTGGACATATGCCAACTGACATTTGGTAATTTGTCACTTGAGATTTACATCGTGGCATGGTTTATTTGCAATTAGACATTTCACAATGTCAGTTGACATCTGTATAATGTCATTCGTGATTTGACACTGTCCCTTGACATTTGTCATTTGACATTGTCACATGACATGTGTCACTTTCTTCTCTTTCAGCCATGAGCGCGATATTAGCCGATATGATAAAAAACATGATGACTCAATCAGGTGAGACAGACTTTTAGAGGCAGACAATTTTAGAGGCAGACAATTTTAGGGGCAGACAATTTTAGAGGCAGATAGATGATTTTAAAGACAGAAAAGAATAAGATTGAAGATTTAAATATTTAGAAAAAACATTGACATTAAATCAGCACAGAAATAAACTAAACACGTAATGTCAACAAATGACATGTGACATCAGCACATGACATGGGACATCAGCACATGACATGTGACATCAGCACATGACATGTGACATCAGCACATGACATGTGACATCAGCATGTGACATCATCACATGACATGTGACATCATCACATGACATGTGACATCAGCACATGACATGTGACATCAGCACATAACATGTGACATCAGCACATGGCATGTGACATCAGCACATGACATGTGACATCAGCACATGACATGTGACATCAGCACATCAAGATGTTGGCCTTTTATTCTGTCAGCAGCCACCCGACCCAAGCTTGACGTCAAGCCTCCACCACTCTTCCCCCTACCCACGCTGGGGACGTTCAAACCGACACCCCCATGTGAGTCGCCTTTATAGCACCCCACCCCCCATAAACAGGCACCCCACCACCCATGTAAACAGGCACCCCACCCCCCATGTAAACAGGCACCCCACCCCCCATGTAAACAGGCACCCCACCCCCATGTAAACAGGCACCCCACCCCCCATGTAAACAGGCACCCCACCCCCATGTAAACAGGCACCCCACCCCCCATGTAAACAGGCATCCCACCCCTCATATAAACAGAGGCATCCCCCCCAAAGTAAACAGGCACCCCACCCCCCCCCCCCATGTAAACAGGCATCCCGCCCCATTTTCATGGAACCAGAGTTAGGACAAAGAGGTAAACAACCCCCACCCACTACCACCCACTAACTCCCCACTCACTTTCTACCCCACCACCCCCACCCACTAACTCCCCCTCCACCCCCACCCACTAACTCCCCCTCCACCCCTACCCACTAACTCCCCCTCCACCCCCACCCACTAACTCCCCCACTATTAACACGTTCACCAAACACCCTCATGATAAACACATAACCTTAACCACTTTGGTGCCTGTTAGCTGGAACTCATCACGTGACCTAACAGACTAGAGCTTTGTTATAGAAACACTAATCCTAATCCTAATCCTAATCCTAATCCACTAAGTTAGATTTAACACGCAACAACAAACCAAACTTTGAAATCAGGTAGTTGCATGTTTTTTTTAAATGTCTGATTTCATTGAAAGCCTTTCTTTAGGCCACACTGTCTGTGTGTTTGTAACAAATGAAGTTTTTGTGTTTCAAAGACTTAAAGCAGATTTTACAGCGTTGTAAAAATAATTTTACTACAAGACAAGATAAAAACATGAATTCAGTTTGATATCGTAGGCTGTGGCTCAATCAAGTTAAGAAAAGAAAAAAGATTCCCTTTATATCGTTATGAATAAAGAAAAAAAAAACATTTTATTAAACACGTTATATGACCGTTTAGTTTGTATTAAACACATATGTTAGATAACTGTATAGCCTTTTTAAACTGTTATATAAACACATATGTTAGATAACTGTATAGCCTTTTTAAACTGTTATATAAACACATATGTTAGATAACTGTACAGCCTTTTTAAACTGTTATATAAACACATATGTTAGATAACTGTATAGCCTTTTTAAACTGTTATATAAACACATATGTTAGATAACTGTACAGCCTTTTTAAACTGTTATATAAACACATATGTTAGATAACTGTATAGCCTTTTTAAACTGTTATATAAACACATATGTTAGATAACTGTACAGCCTTTTTAAACTGTTATATAAACACATATGTTAGATAACTGTACAGCCTTTTTAAACTGTTATATAAACACATATGTTAGATAACTGTATAGCCTTTTTAAACTGTTATATAAACACATATGTTAGATAACTGTACAGCCTTTTTAAACTGTTATATAAACACATATGTTAGATAACTGTACAGCCTTTTTAAACTGTTATATAAACACATATGTTAGATAACTGTACAGCCTTTTTAAACTGTTATATAAACACATATGTTAGATAACTGTACAGCCTTTTTAAACTGTTATATAAACACATATGTTAGATAACTGTACAGCCTTTTTAAACTGTTATATAAACACATATGTTAGATAACTGTACAGCCTTTTTAAACTGTTATATAAACACATATGTTAGATAACTGTATAGCCTTTTTAACTGTTATATAAACACATATGTTAGATAACTGTATAGCCTTTTTAAACTGTTATATAAACACATATGTTAGATAACTGTATAGCCCTTTTAAACTGTTATATAAACACATATGTTAGATAACTGTATAGCCTTTTTAAACTGTTATATAAACACATATGTTAGATAACTGTACAGCCTTTTTAAACTGTTATATAAACACATATGTTAGATAACTGTATAGCCTTTTTAAACTGTTATATAAACACATATGTTAGATAACTGTACAGCCTTTTTAAACTGTTATATAAACACATATGTTAGATAACTGTACAGCCTTTTTAAACTGTTATATAAACACATATGTTAGATAACTGTATAGCCTTTTTAAACTGTTATATAAACACATATGTTAGATAACTGTACAGCCTTTTTAAACTGTTATATAAACACATATGTTAGATAACTGTACAGCCTTTTTAAACTGTTATATAAACACATATGTTAGATAACTGTACAGCCTTTTTAAACTGTTATATAAACACATATGTTAGATAACTGTACAGCCTTTTTAAACTGTTATATAAACACATATGTTAGATAACTGTACAGCCTTTTTAAACTGTTATATAAACACATATGTTAGATAACTGTACAGCCTTTTTAAACTGTTATATAAACACATTTGTTAGATAACTGTATAGCCCTTTTAAACTGTTATATAACCATATTTTGTCTTTCAGTTTTCCCACCCCGCCCCCTGCCCCCTATGCTACCCAACCCCATGGGGCCAACGCCCCCCGCAGGAATGGGCGGGCCTCAGGGACCATTTATGGACTTGCCAAGTAAGTGATTGACAGATGGAGTGACAGTACCTACCTACCTCCCCCACAGTATAGTACCCCCTCCCCATCTCTACAGTAGAGCTTTTCTTTCACTCAGCGAAACATTATATGTAAAACATGTCCATTAAGGGAAAAAAGTGTTGCGTATATTTTACAACCATTTTAACAAAAACATTTTAAATAAACCGAGAGTGATCTCCCCTAAACTTTCTTGAATATATTTATCTATCTGAAATAGTACTCAAGTTATAGGGTTTTGAAAAATTCAAAGTAGAAAAAGTTCCACTTCCGGTTATCGGAAATCGCTCAAAAACTGATACGGATCTACGATTTTGATATAATATTTACAAATGAAATTTCATCAACCTAGCTGTAACGGTACTAAAGTTATCGTGTTTACACACACATACACACACACAGACATACGGACAAGATTGCAAAACTATTTTTTTCCGACTCAGGGAGGTGTAAAATTGCAAATCTCGATTTTTTTTTCGCACGATTACAATACTTTCCCTATACTTTGTATATACGAGAAAGTAAAAATAGGCGGCTTAATAAAAAGGAAATCTCTAGAAAGATCACGCAAAATTTCAATTTCTAGACGGTATTGTTACGTTTATATGATGTTAGACCTTCGAGTTATATTGAGTAATACACTTCTGGTTCGACCTTGACCTTCAATATCTGACCTTTGACCCCAGACACCGGTGCCGGCGCCCACCAGCCGTACATGCCCATGAGAAGTTTCCAGTTCTGTCCGCCCGGTCCCACCACAAGTGACCACTGTAAAGGTAAGGTCTGACCACGTGACATATGTCTGACCAATGTCTGACTTCGTGACCACTGTCTGACCACGTGACCAATGTCTGACCACTGTCTGACCACGTGACCAATGTCTGACTTCGTGACCACTGTCTGACCACGTGACCAATGTCTGACCACTGTCTGACCACGTGACCAATGTCTGACCACGTGACCACTGTCTGACCACGTGACCAATGTCTGACCACGTGACCAATGTCTGACCACGTGACCAATGTCTGACCACTGTCTGACCACGTGACCAATGTCTGACCACGTGACCAATGTCTGACCACGTGACCAATGTCTGACCACGTGACCAATGTCTGACCACATGTCTGACCACGTGACCACTGTCTGACCACGTGACCAATGTCTGACCACGTGACCAATGTCTGACCACGTGACCAATGTCTGACCACTGTCTGACCACGTGACCAATGTCTGACCACGTGACCAATGTCTGACCACGTGACCAATGTCTAACCACGTGACCAATGTCTGACCACGTGACCAATGTCTGTCCACGTGACCAATGTCTGACCACGTGACCAATGTCTGACCACATGTCTGACCACGTGACCAATGTCTGACCACGTGACCAATGTCTGACCACTGTCTGACCACGTGACCAATGTCTGACCACGTGACCAATGTCTGACCACGTGACCAATGTCTGACCACGTGACCAATGTCTGACCACGTGACCAATGTCTGACCACGTGACCAATGTCTGACCACTGTCTGACCACGTGACCAATGTCTGACCACGTGACCAATGTCTGACCACGTGACCAATGTCTGACCACTGTCTGACCACGTGACCAATGTCTGACCACGTGACCAATGTCTGTCCACGTGACCAATGTCTGACCACGTGACCAATGTCTGACCACGTGACCAATGTCTGACCACGTGACCAATGTCTGTCCACGTGACCAATGTCTGACCACGTGACCAATGTCTGACCAATGTCTGACCACGTGACCAATGTCTGACCACGTGACCAATGTCTTACCACGTGACCAATGTCTGACCACGTGACCAATGTCTGACCACGTGACCAATGTCTGTCCACGTGACCAATGTCTGACCACGTGACCAATGTCTGACCACGTGACCAATGTCTGACCACGTGACCACTGTCTGTCCACTGTCTGACCACGTGACCAATGTCTGACCACGTGACCAATGTCTGTCCACGTGACCAATGTCTGACCACTGTCTGACCACGTGACCAATGTCTGACCACGTGACCAATGTCTGACCACGTGACCAATGTCTGACCACTGTCTGACCACGTGACCAATGTCTGACCACGTGACCAATGTCTGACCACGTGACCAATGTCTGACCACTGTCTGACCACGTGACCAATGTCTGACCACGTGACCAATGTCTGACCACGTGACCAATGTCTGACCACTGTCTGACCACGTGACCAATGTCTGACCACGTGACCAATGTCTGACCACGTGACCAATGTCTGACCACGTGACCAATGTCTGACCACGTGACCATTGTCTGACCAATGTCTGACCACGTGACCAATGTCTGACCACGTGACCAATGTCTGACCACGTAACCACTGTCTGACCACGTGACCACTGTCTGACCACGTGACCAATGTCTGACCACGTGACCAATGTCTGACCGCGTGACCAATGTCTGACCACTGTCTGACCACGTGACCAATGTCTGACCACGTGACCAATGTCTGACCACGTGACCAATGTCTGACCGCGTGACCACAATTAGGGCAATAAATGTTTGTCTCGAGTTATATTGCTAAACTAGTGTGTAATTCGACCAATTTAATGATGACCTCTGTATTGATGACCTCTGTATTGATGACCTCTGACCTTTCAGACCAAAAGCTGCAGGAAGCGCTGTACCATCCTGATGGCACCCCAAGTGAGTTTTGATGTTTAACGCAACACTCTCACAGCTTACATCAACACTCTCACAGCTTACATCAACACTCTCACAGCTTACATCAACACTCTCACAGCTTACATCAACACTTACATCAACACTTACACAAACACTCACACAATAACTTACATGAACACTCACACAGCTTACATCAACACTTACACCAACACTTACACAAACACTCACACAATAACTTACATGAACACTCACACAGCTTACATCAACACTTACACAAACACTCACACAATAACTTACATGAACACTCTCACAGCTTACATCAACACTTACACAACAACTTACATAAACACTCACACAATAACTTACATCAACACTTACACCAACAACTTACATCAACACTTACACCAACAACTTACATAAACACTCACACAATAACTTACATCAACACTTACACCAACAACTTACATCAACACTTACACCAACACTTACACCAACACTTACACAACAACTTACATCAACACTTACACCAACAACTTACATCAACACTTACACCAACAACTTACATCAACACTTACACCAACAACTTACATCAACACTTACACCAACAACTTACATCAACACTTACACCAACAACTTACATCAACACTTACACCAACAACTTACATCAACACTTACACCAACAACTTACATCAACACTTACACCAACAACTTACATCAACACTTACACCAACAACTTACATCAACACTTACACCAACAACTTACATCAACACTTACACCAACAACTTACATCAACACTTACACAAACACCAACACTTACACCAACACTTACACAAACAACTTACATCAACACTCACACAACAACTTACATCAACACTTACACAGCTTACATCAACACTTACACAGCTTACATCAACACTTACATCAACAACTTACATCAACACTTACACAAACACCAACACTTACTCCAACACTTACACAAACACTTATAACAAAACTTACATAAACACTTACAACAACACTTACACAAACACTTACAACAAAACTTACATAAACACTTACACCAACACTTACACCAACACTTACACCAACACTTACACCAACACTTACACCAACACTTACACCAACACCAACACTTACAACAACACTTACAACAACACTTACACCAACACTTACACCAACACTTACACCAACACTTACACCAACACTTACACCAACACTTACACCAACACTTACACCAACACTTACACCAACACCAACAAGGGTACATATCTGTTGTATCATGAGGGAGGGGGTTAGGCCCCTAGCGGGGTCATGGCTACCTAACGACCCCTACTGGGGTCATGGCTACCAAACGACCCCTACAACCAAACATGTTTTGCAGGATACAACTGGGTACCTCCAAGAAACCCGTGGGACACAAGTCTACCTGACACAGTGAAAGGTAAACCCTGACACAGAGGTAACACCTGACACAACTAGAGGTAACACCTGACACAACTAGAGGTAACACCTGACACAGTGAAAGGTAAACCCTGACACAGAGGTAACACTTGACACAACTAGAGGTAACACCTGACACAACTAGAGGTAACACCTGACACAGTGAAAGGTAAACCCTGACACAGAGGTAATACCTGACACAGAGGTAACACCTGACACAACTAGAGGTAACACCTGACACAGTGAAAGGTAAACCCTGACACAGAGGTAAAACCTGACACAACTAGAGGTAAAACCTGACACAGTGAGAGGTAATACCTGACACAGAGGTAACGCCTGACACAACTAGAGGTAACACCTGCCACAGTGAAAGGTAATACCTGACACAGTGAAATATAACACCTGACATAGAGATAACACCTGACACAGTGAAATGTAATACCTGACACAGCTAGAGGTAACACCTGACACAACTAGAGGTAACACCTTACACAACTAGACATAGTAAATGGGAACACCTGACTCAATTAGAGGTAACACCTGATTCAGTTAGAGGTAAAATGATGTAATCTACCTGTAACACCCCACAATGACCTAATACACCTGTAACACCCCAAACTGACCTTATCTACCTGTAACACCCCACAATGACCTAATCTACACGTAACGCCCCCACAATGACCTTATCTACCTGTAACGCCCCACAATGACCTTATCTACACGTAACAACCCAGAATGACCTAATCTACCTGTAACACCCCAAACTGACCTAATCTACCTGTAACACCCCACAATGACCTAATCTACCTGTAACACCCCACAATGACCTAATCTACCTGTAACGCCCCAACAATGACCTAATCTACCTGTAACACCTCACAATGACCTAATCTACCTGTAACGCCCCCACAATGACCTAATCCACCTCTAACACCCCACAATGACCTAATCTATCTCTAACACCACACAATGACCTAATGACCTCCACATTTTGTTCCAGACACAGCTTTGAATGTGCTGATGATGAAGATAAACTCCCGGCCAGGTAGGTCAAGGTCATATGTATAAATTGTACACACCTGGACACAGACTTGGTAGATGGACACTTATCAAATGACACATGTCAGATGACACTTTATAAATGACACATGTAGATTGTAAGACTTATCAAATGACACATGTCAGATGACACTTTATAAATGACACATGTAGATTGTAAGACTTATCAAATGACACATGTCAGATGACACTTTATAAATGACACATGTAGATTGTAAGACTTATCAAATGACACATGTCAGATGACACTTTATAAATGACGCATGTAGATTGTAAGACTTATCAAATGACACATGTCAGATGACACTTTATAAATGACACATGTAGATTGTAAGACTTATCAAATGACACATGTCAGATGACACTTTATAAATGACACATGTAAATTGTGAGACTTATCAAATGACACATGTCAGACGACACTTTATAAATGACACATGTAGATTGTAAGACTTATCAAATGACACATGTCAGATGACACTTTATAAATGACACATGTAGATTGAAAGACTATTCAATGACACATGTCAGATGACACTTTATAAATGACACATGTAGATTGTAAGACTTATCAAATGACACATGTCAGATGACACTTTATAAATGACGCATGTAGATTGTAAGACTTATCAAATGACACATGTCAGATGACACTTTATAAATGACACATGTAGATTGTAAGACTTATCAAATGACACATGTCAGACGACACTTTATAAATGACACATGTAGATTGTAAGACTTATCAAATGACACATGTCAGATGACACTTTATAAATGACACATGTAGATTGTAAGACTTTTCTAATGACACATGTCAGATGACACTTTATAAATGACACATGTAGATTGTAAGACTTATCAAATGACACATGTCAGATGACACTTTATAAATGACACATGTAGATTGTAAGACTTATCAAATGACACATGTCAGATGACACTTTATAAATGACGCATGTAGATTGTAAGACTTATCAAATGACACATGTCAGATGACACTTTATAAATGACGCATGTAGATTGTAAGACTTATCAAATGACACATGTCAGATGACACTTTATAAATGACACATGTAGATTGTAAGACTTATCAAATGACACATGTCAGACGACACTTTATAAATGACACATGTAGATTGTAAGACTTATCAAATGACACATGTCAGATGACACTTTATAAATGACACATGTAGATTGTAAGACTTATCAAATGACACATGTCAGATGACACTTTATAAATGACGCATGTAGATTGTAAGACTTATCAAATGACACATGTCAGATGACACTTTATAAATGACACATGTAGATTGTAAGACTTATCAAATGACACATGTCAGATGACACTTTATAAATGACACATGTAAATTGTGAGACTTATCAAATGACACATGTCAGACGACACTTTATAAATGACACATGTAGATTGTAAGACTTATCAAATGACACATGTCAGATGACACTTTATAAATGACACATGTAGATTGAAAGACTTTTCTAATGACACATGTCAGATGACACTTTATAAATGACACATGTAGATTGTAAGACTTATCAAATGACACATGTCAGATGACACTTTATAAATGACGCATGTAGATTGTAAGACTTATCAAATGACACATGTCAGATGACACTTTATAAATGACACATGTAGATTGTAAGACTTATCAAATGACACATGTCAGATGACACTTTATAAATGACACATGTAGATTGTAAGACTTATCAAATGACACATGTCAGATGACACTTTATAAATGACACATGTAGATTGTAAGACTTATCAAATGACACATGTCAGATGACACTTTATAAATGACACATGTAAATTGTGAGACTTATCAAATGACACATGTCAGACGACACTTTATAAATGACACATGTAGATTGTAAGACTTATCAAATGACACATGTCAGATGACACTTTATAAATGACACATGTAGATTGAAAGACTTTTCTAATGACACATGTCAGATGACACTTTATAAATGACACATGTAGATTGTAAGACTTATCAAATGACACATGTCAGATGACACTTTATAAATGACGCATGTAGATTGTAAGACTTATCAAATGACACATGTCAGATGACACTTTATAAATGACACATGTAGATTGTAAGACTTATCAAATGACACATGTCAGATGACACTTTATAAATGACACATGTAGATTGTAAGACTTATCAAATGACACATGTCAGACGACACTTTATAAATGACACATGTAGATTGTAAGACTTATCAAATGACACATGTCAGATGACACTTTATAAATGACACATGTAGATTGTAAGACTTTTCTAATGACACATGTCAGATGACACTTTATAAATGACACATGTAGATTGTAAGACTTATCAAATGACACATGTCAGATGACACTTTATAAATGACACATGTAGATTGTAAGACTTATCAAATGACACATGTCAGATGACACTTTATAAATGACGCATGTAGATTGTAAGACTTATCAAATGACACATGTCAGATGACACTTTATAAATGACACATGTAGATTGTAAGACTTATCAAATGACACATGTCAGATGACACTTTATAAATGACACATGTAGATTGTAAGACTTATCAAATGACACATGTCAGACGACACTTTATAAATGACACATGTAGATTGTAAGACTTATCAAATGACACATGTCAGATGACACTTTATAAATGACACATGTAGATTGTAAGACTTATCAAATGACACATGTCAGATGACACTTTATAAATGACACATGTAGATTGTAAGACTTATCAAATGACACATGTCAGACGACACTTTATAAATGACACATGTAGATTGTAAGACTTATCAAATGACACATGTCAGATGACACTTTATAAATGACACATGTAGATTGTAAGACTTTTCTAATGACACATGTCAGATGACACTTTATAAATGACACATGTAGATTGTAAGACTTATCAAATGACACATGTCAGATGACACTTTATAAATGACACATGTAGATTGTAAGACTTATCAAATGACACATGTCAGATGACACTTTATAAATGACGCATGTAGATTGTAAGACTTATCAAATGACACATGTCAGATGACACTTTATAAATGACACATGTAGATTGTAAGACTTATCAAATGACACATGTCAGATGACACTTTATAAATGACACATGTAGATTGTAAGACTTATCAAATGACACATGTCAGACGACACTTTATAAATGACACATGTAGATTGTAAGACTTATCAAATGACACATGTCAGATGACACTTTATAAATGACACATGTAGATTGTAAGACTTATCAAATGACACATGTCAGATGACACTTTATAAATGACGCATGTAGATTGTAAGACTTATCAAATGACACATGTCAGATGACACTTTATAAATGACACATGTAGATTGTAAGACTTATCAAATGACACATGTCAGATGACACTTTATAAATGACACATGTAAATTGTGAGACTTATCAAATGACACATGTCAGACGACACTTTATAAATGACACATGTAGATTGTAAGACTTATCAAATGACACATGTCAGATGACACTTTATAAATGACACATGTAGATTGAAAGACTTTTCTAATGACACATGTCAGATGACACTTTATAAATGACACATGTAGATTGTAAGACTTATCAAATGACACATGTCAGATGACACTTTATAAATGACGCATGTAGATTGTAAGACTTATCAAATGACACATGTCAGATGACACTTTATAAATGACACATGTAGATTGTAAGACTTATCAAATGACACATGTCAGATGACACTTTATAAATGACACATGTAGATTGTAAGACTTATCAAATGACACATGTCAGACGACACTTTATAAATGACACATGTAGATTGTAAGACTTATCAAATGACACATGTCAGATGACACTTTATAAATGACACATGTAGATTGTAAGACTTTTCTAATGACACATGTCAGATGACACTTTATAAATGACACATGTAGATTGTAAGGCTTATCAAATGACACATGTCAGATGACACTTTATAAATGACACATGTAGATTGTAAGACTTATCAAATGACACATGTCAGATGACACTTTATAAATGACGCATGTAGATTGTAAGACTTATCAAATGACACATGTCAGATGACACTTTATAAATGACACATGTAGATTGTAAGACTTATCAAATGACACATGTCAGATGACACTTTATAAATAACACATGTAGATTGTAAGACTTATCAAATGACACATGTCAGACGACACTTTATAAATGACACATGTAGATTGTAAGACTTATCAAATGACACATGTCAGACGACACTTTATAAATGACACATGTAGATTGTAAGACTTTTCTAATGACACATGTCAGATGACACTTTATAAATGACACATGTAGATTGTAAGACTTTTCTAATGACACATGTCAGATGACACTTTATAAATGACACATGTAGATTGTAAGACTTATCAAATGACACATGTCAGATGACACTTTATAAATGACACATGTAGATTGTAAGACTTATCAAATGACACATGTCAGATGACACTTTATAAATGACACATGTAGATTGTAAGACTTATCAAATGACACATGTCAGATGACACTTTATAAATGACACATGTAGATTGTAAGACTTATCAAATGACACATGTCAGATGACACTTTATAAATGACGCATGTAGATTGTAAGACTTTCTAATGACACATGTCCGATGACACTTTATAAATGACACATGTAGATTGTAAGACTTATCAAATGACATATGTCAGATGACACTTTATAAATGACACATGTCACTTAACACTTTGTTACAGGGAGACAACCAACGCCGAAAGAAGCTGAGCTCATATGTAAGTAATGTCAGACCTTGACACCATATGTAATACACCATGACACCATCTGTAAGACACCATGACACCAACTGTAAGACACCATGACACCAACTGTAAGACACCATGACACCAACTGTAAGACACCATCTGTAAGACACCATGACACCATCTGTAAGAAACCATGATACCATCTGTAAGACACAATGACACCAACTGGAAGACACCATGACACCAACTGTAAGACACCATGACACCATCAGTAAGACACCATGTGTTAAAGCGTGTTTCCTACCCACAGCTTACCTGGGCGACCCTAAAGACTACCATATGATGGGCGGTCCACAGTTCGGCATGGGTGAGTACTGGTCACACGGGGGGGGGGGTCAGATAGTCAATGGGGGTCGGCTGGTCACATAGGGGTCAGATGGTCAATGGGGGTCAGCTTGTCACATGGGGGTCAGCTGGTCACATAGGGGTCAATGGGGGTCGGCTGGTTGCTTAGGGGAAGCACAGAATATATATATATATATATATATATATATATATATATATATATATATATATATATATATATATATATATATATATATATATATATATATGTCAACAAAATCTGGCCACCTATACAACCGTGTTAGCTAGACCAAACGTGCGGCAACAAGGAAAAACATCAAATATTTTAGCCACGTTTTTCTCGGTATGTTGTGAACAAAGCTAACAACAGTTTCACGGTTTAATGTTTAACAGCAATTAGTGGAAGCTTAATGAACCTGTTAATTATGTCTTTGTGTTTGTACCTGGTCTATGTACTTTTATCTGAGACCAGTTGGTCAGGTCTTGGCTGATGACGTCATACCACGTGACCGCGCAACATCTGTGAAGTCAACAAATTGTAACCGCCAGCCACAAATCTCGTGGTGCTATTTTTAGTCCAAAATTTGCCTGTCATTAATTAATTTGTTTTTCTCACCAGCTGGCTAAAGCAGCCCGAGGAGTCACGTCATCAGTGACGTCACACTGTGTTCACACATACGTCATCAAGTTGGGCTTGAGTGGAGTCACAGCCAGTTGTTATAAATAGTGCCCAGAACATTCGCTACATCTTAATAAAATATTTTTTACTTTGAATGTTGGGCTGTTGCTGTTGTCCTTGGTGTGGAATGGTGTGCTGTTGGTGAATAGCTGTTTGTTGGCCGTCAGTTTTGCCCTGCCCCCCCCCCCCCCACCAGAAAAACTCTGAAAGCACCAACATGTTTTGTATGTCAGTGATTGTGTGCTCCGTGTTGCTAGTGTGTAGCTACCGGTTGCTATGGCAACACGACACGCTCATTAACCACATACAACTTTGATGTTTCAGTTTTTTTATTGGTAGACAAAAAATAATCACATTTTTCAGAAAATAATCAGAAAAAAAGGCGCAAAATAATTTTATTTCAAGTTTTTATGGACACTGGATGGTGACACGACCCAACCAAACTGGATAGTGACAAACACCATCTAACTGTATGGTGACACCATCTCACAGCCTGAATATATCAGAAGAAAATCACAGATTGCACAAGGTCAACATAAACAATGTGGTCAGATGTCATGTAGTCAGATGTCATGTGGTCAGATGTCATGTGGTCAGATGTCATGTGGTCAGATGTCATGTGGTCATATGTCAAGTGGTCAGATGTCAAATGGTCAGATGTCAAGTAGTCAGATGTCAAATGGTCAAATGTCAAGTAGTCAGATGTCAAGTGGTCAGATGTCATGTGATCAGATGTCATGTGGTCAGTCAAGTAGTCAGATGTCATGTGGTCAGATGTCAAGTGGTCAGATGTTATGTGATCAGATGTCATGTGGTCAGATGTCATGTGGTCAGTCAAGTAGTCAGATGTCATGTGGTCAGATGGCATGTGGTCAGATGTCACGTGGTCAGTCAAGTAGTCGGATGTCATGTGGTCAGATGTCATGTGGTCAGATGTCATGTGGTCATATGTCAAGTGGTCATATGTCAAGTGGTCATATGTCAAGTGGTCATATGTCAAATGGTCAGGTGTCAAGTGGTCAGATGTCAAATGGTCAAATGTCAAGTAGTCAGATGTCAAGTGGTCAGATGTCAAGTGGTCAGATGTCAAGTGGTCAGATGTCAAATGGTCAGAAGTCATGTGGTCCAGGTCAAGTGGTCAGATGTCATGTAGACAGAGCTGGTCAGTTCTCTTGTGGTCCCATGTGGCTGGTCAGAATCTCGTGACATTTCCCAGATGTCATGTCAAAAGGAATTCATTTTTGTCAGATGACATGTCATTACAACATGTGAAACACAAAACATACAACATTTGTCATACAACATTTGTCATACAACATTTGTCGTACAACATTTGTCATACAACATTTGTCGTACAACATTTGTCGTACAACATTTGTCATACAACATTTGTCGTACAACATTTGTCGTACAACATTTGTCGTACAACATTTGTCGTACAACATTTGTCGTACAACATTTGTCGTACAACATTTGTCGTACAACATTTGTCGTACAACATTTGTCATACAACATTTGTCATACAACATTTGTCATACAACATTTGTCATACAACATTTGTCATACAACATTTGTCATACAACATTTGTCATACAACATTTGTCATACAACATTTGTCATACAACATTTGACATAAAGTTTAAAAGCTGGATACAATTTTTAAAGCAAATTGTAAAGGAAATCGTCTATCACTAGATCAATAAATTTTTTTAAAGCAAATTGTAAAAGAAATCGTCTATCACTAGATCAATAAAAATTTTTAAAGCAAATTGTAAAAGAAATCGTCTATCACTAGATCAATAACAATTTTTAAAGCAAATTGTAAAAGAAATCGTCTATCACTAGATCAATAAAATTTTTTAAAGCAAATTGTAAAACAAATCGTCTATCACTAGATCAATAAAAAATTTTAAAGCAAATTGTAAAAGAAATCGTCTATCACTAGATCAATAAATTTTTTTAAAGCAAATTGTAAAAGAAATCGTCTATCACTAGATCAATAAAAATTTTTAAAGCAAATTGTAAAAGAAATCGTCTATCACTAGATCAATAAAATTTTTTAAAGCAAATTGTAAAAGAAATGGTCTATAACTAAATCAATGAAAATTTAATGTAAGGTTCTGACCCGGCTTCTACAGAGCGGGTCATAAAAATGTCATATAACATGACATCTATGACATACAGATGTCAACTTACTATTGCAGCTCAACACGGCCAAATAACTCATTCAAAATAGAGTTACTGTCCATTTCTTCAAAAATGATCCAAAGGCAACGTAAAATTCATAAGTGTTAGGCTACTTCAGACAATGCCAACAAAATGTGTATGTGATGGCAAAATGTTGCAGCTCCATTGTATTCAAGGCTTCAATACACCAAGGAAAACATAGAAAAACTTTTAAATAAAAACTTTTAATTACGATAATCTTTTTCAAAAGCTCTGAGAAAAATATCTTAAAAGATAGATCTGAGAAAATATCTTTAAAGATAGATCTGAGAAAAATATTTTTAAAGATAGATCTGAGAAAAATATTTTTAAAGATAGATCTGAGAAAAATATTTTTAAAGATAGATCTGAGAAAAATATCTTTAAAGATAGATCTGAGAAAATATCTTTAAAGATAGATCTGAGAAAATATCTTTAAAGATAGATCTGAGAAAAATATTTTTAAAGATAGATCTGAACACAAACTATGCCACAGTGGGCGAGTGTGTTATTTACTCAACCGTCACATAGACAAGGTTAGCTAGTAGAAGTTTCATGTGGGTCAGCCTGATGGTCAATCAGGTGTGACACAAGGTGTGACATGACACAAGGTGTGACATGACACAAGGTGTGACATGACACTAGGTGTGACATGACACTAGGTGTGACATGACACTAGGTGTGACATGACACTAGGTGTGACATGACACTAGGTGTGACATGACACTAGGTGTGACATGACACTAGGTGTGACATGACACTAGGTGTGACATGACACTAGGTGTGACATGACACTAGGTGTGACATGACACTAGGTGTGACATGACACTAGGTGTGACACTAGGTGTGACATGACACCAAGTGTGACATGACACCAAGTGTCATGATAGGTGTGACATATTTTCTCGACTTGATACAAATCACAATAATCAGATGATGCAAAAAAATGTCTCGACCCCATGGTGACAAAATTGTTGTCATCTCTCATCCTGACAGTGGATTACATTACATGTCATAATGACATGTCATATTGACATTTTTGATGACACTTGGCTGCCAGGTCCCACTAGCAAGGGCAGCCGTCCCCCTTGTGGGGGTGTTGTTGCCTGGGGTGGGGGGTGTTGGGGCCGCCATTTTTAGGCTGCTGGTACAGGTCCACCGACTTCTCCATCCTGACCATGACCTTGTCCAGCAGACAGTCCACGGCCTTGACCACGTTCTGACCCGTGGCCGCGCTTGTCTCAAAGTAGGTCAACCTGGGACAGTCACAGACAAACATTGGCTCAGCTTAGGTTGAACATAGCAGGACATTATAGGACATTATATTATATATATATATATATATATATATATATATATATATATATATATATATATATATATATATATATATATATTATATTTTGGGAAATTATAGGACCAATCAAAGACTGACTTAACCAACCAATCAAAGACTGACTTAACCAACCAATCAAAGACTGACTTAACCAACCAATCAAAGACTGACTTAACCAACCAATCAAAGACTGACTTAACCAACCAATCAAAGACTGACTTAACCAACCAATCAAAGACTGACTTAACCAACCAATCAAAGACTGACTTAACCAACCAATCAAAGACTGAGTTAACCAACCAATCAAAGACTGACTTAACCAACCAATCAATGACTGACTTAACCAACCAATCAAAGACTGACTTAACCAACCAATCAAAGACCGACTTAACCAACCAATCAAAGACCGACTTAACCAACCAACCAAAGACTGACTTAACCAACCAATCAAAGACTGACTTAACCAACCAATCAAAGACTGACTTAACCAACCAATCAAAGACTGACTTAACCAACCAATCAAAGACTGACTTAACCAACCAATCAAAGACTGACTTAACCAACCAATCAAAGACTGAGTTAACCAACCAATCAAAGACTGACCTAACCAACCAATCAAAGACTGACTTAACCAACCAATCAAAGACTGACTTAACCAACCAATCAAAGACTGAGTTAACCAACCAATCAAAGACTGACTTAACCAACCAATCAAAGACTGACCTAACCAACCAATCAAAGACTGACTTAACCAACCAATCAAAGACTGACTTAACCAACCAATCAAAGACTGACTTAACCAACCAATCAAAGACTGACTTAACCAACCAATCAAAGACTGACTTAACCAACCAATCAAAGAATGACTTAACCAACCAATCAAAGACTGACTTAACCAACCAATCAAAGACTGACTTAACCAACCAATCAAAGACTGACTTAACCAACCAGTCAAAGACTGACTTAACCAACCAATCAAAGACTGACTTAACCAACCAATCAAAGACTGACTTAACCAACCAATCAAAGACTGACTTAACCAACCAATCAAAGACTGACTTAACCAAACAATCAAAGACTGACTTAACCAACCAATCAAAGACTGACTTAAACAACCAATCAAAGACTGACTTAACCACCAATCAAAGACTGACTTAACCAACCAATCAACGACTGACTTAAACAACCAATCAACGACTGACCTAACCAACCAATCAAAGACTGACTTAACCAACCAATCAAAGACTGACTTAACCAACCAATCAACGACTGACTTAAACAACCAATCAACGACTGACCTAACCAACCAATCAACGACTGACTTAAACAACCAATCAACGACTGACCTAACCAACCAATCAAAGACTGACTTAACCAACCAATCAAAGACTGACTTAACCAACCAATCAAAGACTGACTTAACCAACCAATCAAAGACTGACTTAACCAACCAATCAAAGACTGACTTAACCAACCAATCAAAGACTGACTTAACCAACCAATCAAAGACTGACCTAACCAACCAATCAAAGACTGACTTAACCAACCAATCAACGACTGACTTAACCAACCAATCAAAGACTGACCTAACCAACCAATCAAAGACTGACTTAACCAACCAATCAACGACTGACTTAACCAACCAATCAAAGACTGACTTAACCAACCAATCAGACTGACTTAACCAACCAATCAGACTGACTTAACCAACCAATCAAAGACTGACTTAACCAACCAATCAAAGACTGACTTAACCAACCAATCAGACTGACTTAACCAACCAATCAAAGACTGACTTAACCAACCAATCAGACTGACCTAACCAACCAATCAAAGACTGACTTAACCAACCAATCAAAGACTGACTTAACCAACCAATCAAAGACTGACTTAACCAACCAATCAGAGACTGACCTAACCAACCAATCAGAGACTGACCTAACCAACCAATCAAAGACTGACTTAACCAACCAATCAAAGACTGACTTAACCAACCAATCAAAGACTGAGTTAACCAATCAATCAAAGACTGACTTAACCAACCAATCAAAGACTGACTTAACCAACCAATCAGACTGACCCAAACTTGTCCGCCATGTCCCTGGCCCGGTCCTCCGACACACGTCTGACGTCATCAAGGTCAGCCTTGTTGCCACACAGCACAACATCCGGGTTCTCGCAGTAGGCGTGCGTCTGGTCAAACAGAAAAGTTGCTCATGAGTAGGTCTGTGACCTTACATACATGAGTAGGTCTGTGACCTTATATACATGAGTAGGTCTGTGACCTTACATGAGTAGGTCTGTGACCTTACATGAGTAGGTCTGTGACCTTACAATACATGAGTAGGTCTGTGACCTTATATACATGAGTAGGTCTGTGACCTTACATGAGTAGGTCTGTGACCTTACATACATGAGTAGGTCTGTGACCTTACATGAGTAGGTCTGTGACCTTACATGAGTAGGTCTGTGACCTTACAATACATGAGTAGGTCTGTGACCTTACATACATGAGTAGGTCTGTGACCTTACATGAGTAGGTCTGTGACCTTACAATACATGAGTAGGTCTGTGACCTTACATACATGAGTAGGTCTGTGACCTTACATGAGTAGGTCTGTGACCTTACAATACATGAGTAGGTCTGTGACCTTACATGAGTAGGTCTGTGACCTTACAATACATGAGTAGGTCTGTGACCTTACATACATGAGTAGGTCTGTGACCTTACAATACATGAGTAGGTCTGTGACCTTACATACATGAGTAGGACTGTGACCTTATATACATGAGTAGGTCTGTGACCTTACATACATGAGTAGGTCTGTGACCTTATATACATGAGTTGGTCTGTGACCTTACATGAGTAGGTCTGTGACCTTACAATACATGAGTAGGTCTGTGACCTTACATACATGAGTAGGACTGTGACCTTATATACATGAGTAGGTCTGTGACCTTACATACATGAGTAGGTCTGTGACCTTATATACATGAGTAGGTCTGTGACCTTACATGAGTAGGTCTGTGACCTTACAATACATGAGTAGGTCTGTGACCTTACATACATGAGTAGGTCTGTGACCTTACATACATGAGTAGGTCTGTGACCTTACATACATGAGTAGGTCTGTGACCTTATATACATGAGTAGGTCTGTGACCTTACATACATGAGTAGGTCTGTGACCTTATATACATGAGTAGGTCTGTGACCTTACATGAGTAGGTCTGTGACCTTACAATACATGAGTAGGTCTGTGACCTTACATGAGTAGGTCTGTGACCTTACATGAGTAGGTCTGTGACCTTACATGAGTAGGTCTGTGACCTTACATACATGAGTAGGTCTGTGACCTTACATACATGAGTAGGTCTGTGACCTTACATGAGTAGGTCTGTGACCTTACAATACATGAGTAGGTCTGTGACCTTACATGAGTAGGTCTGTGACCTTACATGAGTAGGTCTGTGACCTTACATGAGTAGGTCTGTGACCTTACATACATGAGTAGGTCTGTGACCTTACATGAGTAGGTCTGTGACCTTACATGAGTAGGTCTGTGACCTTACATGAGTAGGTCTGTGACCTTACATACATGAGTAGGTCTGTGACCTTACATACATGAGTAGGTCTGTGACCTTACATACATGAGTAGTTCTGTGACCTTACAATACATGAGTAGGTCTGTGACCTTACATGAGTAGGTCTGTGACCTTACATACATGAGTAGGTCTGTGACCTTACATACATGAGTAGGTCTGTGACCTTACATGAGTAGGTCTGTGACCTTACATACATGAGTAGGTCTGTGACCTTACATGAGTAGGTCTGTGACCTTACAATACATGAGTAGGTCTGTGACCTTACATGAGTAGGTCTGTGACCTTACATACATGAGTAGGTCTGTGACCTTACATGAGTAGGTCTGTGACCTTACATGAGTAGGTCTGTGACCTTACATGAGTAGGTCTGTGACCTTACATACATGAGTAGGTCTGTGACCTTACATGAGTAGGTCTGTGACCTTACATGAGTAGGTCTGTGACCTTACAATACATGAGTAGGTCTGTGACCTTACATACATGAGTAGGTCTGTGACCTTACATACATGAGTAGGTCTGTGACCTTACATGAGTAGGTCTGTGACCTTACATGAGTAGGTCTGTGACCTTACAATACATGAGTAGGTCTGTGACCTTACATACATGAGTAGGTCTGTGACCTTATATACATGAGTAGGTCTGTGACCTTACATGAGTAGGTCTGTGACCTTACAATACATGAGTAGGTCTGTGACCTTATATACATGAGTAGGTCTGTGACCTTACATACATGAGTAGGTCTGTGACCTTACATGAGTAGGTCTGTGACCTTACAATACATGAGTAGGTCTGTGACCTTACATACATGAGTAGGTCTGTGACCTTACATACATGAGTAGGTCTGTGACCTTACATACATGAGTAGGTCTGTGACCTTACATGAGTAGGTCTGTGACCTTACAATACATGAGTAGGTCTGTGACCTTACATACATGAGTAGGTCTGTGACCTTACATACATGAGTAGGTCTGTGACCTTACATGAGTAGGTCTGTGACCTTACAATACATGAGTAGGTCTGTGACCTTACAATACATGAGTAGGTTTGTGACCTTACATACATGAGTAGGTCTGTGACCTTACATGAGTAGGTCTGTGACCTTACATGAGTAGGTCTGTGACCTTACAATACATGAGTAGGTCTGAGGTGTGACCTTACAGAAAACTCACTAGGACCTTCTTTGTAACTTAAATGTAACTGACTGAACCTGTAGCCGTGTCATGACCTTATCTGTAGCTGTGCCATGACCTTACCTGTAGCTTTGTCATGACCTTATCTGTAGCTGTGCCATGACCTTACCTGTAGCTGTGTCATGAACTTACCTGTAGCTGTGCCATGACCTTACCTGTAGCTGACTGTGTCATGACCTTACCTGTAGCCGTGCAATGACCTTACCTGTAGCTGAGTGAGCCAGTTCCTTGTGTTGACCAAAGACTCCTCATTGGTCAGATCAAAGAGCAGCAGGAAGCCCATGGCGTCCCTGAAGAAAGCTGTCGTCAGGCTGCGGAACCTAGGGGTGGTTGTCATAGCAACGGCTGGCGTTAAGCTGTACATTACTAGGGAAATACGAGCTAGATTTAATATGCACAACTCATGACCTTAACAGTGGTCTTACCAGTGGTCCTACCAGCGGCCCTACCAGTGGTCCTACCATTTGACCAGTGGTCCTACCATCTAGCCAGTGGTCCTACAAACTGACCAGTTGCCCTACAACCTGACCAGTTGTCCTACCACCTGACCAGTGGTCCTACCAGTGGTCCTACCACCTGACCAGTGGTCCTACCAGTGGTCCTACCATCTGACCAGTGGTCCTACCAGTGGTCCTACCAGTGGTCCTACCATCTGACCAGTGGTCCTACCATCTGACCAGTGGTCCTACCATCTGACCAGTGGTCCTACCAGTGGTCCTACCACCTGACCAGTGGTCCTACCAGTGGTCCTACCATCTGACCAGTGGTCCTACCAGTGGTCCTACCATCTGACCAGTGGTCATACCAGTGGTCCTACCATCTGACCAGTGGTCCTACCAGTTGTCCTACCTCTCTTGTCCTGCAGTGTCCCACAACTGAAGATGTACTCTATGACTCCGTCCCATGGTGCCATCAGGATTGGAGGTTCTGTGGACCTGTTAGAATACATCACTCAAAGTACATCACTCAAAATACATCACTCAAATACATCACTCAAAAACATCACACAAAGTACATTACTAAAAAAAAAATTACACAAAATACATCACTCAAAGTACATCACTCAAAATACATCACTCAAATACATCACTCAAAAACATCACACAAAGTACATTACTAAAAAAAAAATTACACAAAATACATCACTCAAAGTACATCACTCAAAATACATCACTCAAATACATCACTCAAAAACATCACACAAAGTACATTACTCAAAAAAAAATTACACAAAATACATCACTCAAGGTCAGCTGTGTCAACCAATCAATAAGCAGCTACCGTGAGCTGTATCAACCAATCAGACAGCAGCTACCGTGAGCTGTATCAACCAATCAGACAGCAGCTACCGTCAGCTGTGTCGACCAATCAGACAGCAGCTACCGTCAGCTGTGTCGACCAATCAGACAGCAGCTACCGTCAGCTGTATCAACCAATCAACAAGCAGCTACCGTGAGCTGTATCAACCAATCAACAAGCAGCTACCGTGAGCTTTGTGAACCAATCAGACAGCAGCTACCGTCAGTTGTATCAACCAATCAACAAGCAGCTACCGTCAGCTGTATCAACCAATCAACAAGCAGCTACCGTGAGCTGTATCAACCAATCAACAAGCAGCTACCGTCAGCTGTGTCAACCAATCAACAAACAGCTACCGTGAGCTGTGTCAACCAATCAACAAGCAGCTACCGTCAGCTGTGTTAACCAATCAACAAGCAGCTACCGTCAGCTGTGTTAACCAATCAACAAGCCTGACGCCCACGACTTGACAAGCTGAGACAAGTGTTAATCCCTTGATCCAACACTATCTTGGAATTTTATGTTATAATCTATGTAGCAGCAATCCATCTCATTTAAATAACATTGGGATGTTCCGATATACCTTAATCTTACCAAACCTACCAGACCTTTCTCTATACACCTAACAAATTTCTCCCTAAACCTACCAAACCTTTCTCCCTAAACCTACCAAACATTTCTCCCTAAACCTAAACCTACCACACGTTTCTCCCTAAACCTAAACCTACCACACGTTTCTCCCTAAACCTGAACCTACCACACTTTTCTCCCTAAACCTACCACACGTTTTTCCCTAAACCTACCACACGTTTCTCCCTAAACCTACCAAACCTTTCTCCCTAAACCTACCACACGTTTCTCCCTAAACCTAAACCTACCACACGTTTCTCCCTAAACCTAAACCTACCACACGTTTCTCCCTAAACCTAAACCTACCACACTTTTCTCCCTAAACCTAAACCTACCACACGTTTCTCCCTAAACCTAAACCTACCACACGTTTCTCCCTAAACCTAAACCTACCACACGTTTCTCCCTAAACCTACCACACGTTTCTCCCTAAACCTACCACACGTTTCTCCCTAAACCTACCACACGTTTCTCCCTAAACCTACCACACGTTTCTCCCTAAACCTGAACCTACCACACTTTTCTCCCTAAACCTACCACACGTTTTTCCCTAAACCTACCACACGTTTCTCCCTAAACCTACCAAACCTTTCTCCCTAAACCTACCACACGTTTCTCCCTAAACCTAAACCTACCACACGTTTCTCCCTAAACCTAAACCTACCACACGTTTCTCCCTAAACCTAAACCTACCACACGTTTCTCCCTAAACCTAAACCTACCACACTTTTCTCCCTAAACCTAAACCTACCACACGTTTCTCCCTAAACCTAAACCTACCACACGTTTCTCCCTAAACCTAAACCTACCACACGTTTCTCCCTAAACCTACCACACGTTTCTCCCTAAACCTACCACACGTTTCTCCCTAAACCTACCACACGTTTCTCCCTAAACCTACCACACGTTTCTCCCTAAACCTGAACCTACCACACTTTTCTCCCTAAACCTTCCACACGTTTCTCCCTAAACCTACCACACGTTTCTCCCTAAACCTACCAAACCTTTCTCCCTAAACCTACCACACGTTTCTCCCTAAACCTACCACACGTTTCTCCCTAAACCTAAACCTACCACACGTTTCTCCCTAAACCTAAACCTACCACACGTTTCTCCCTAAACCTAAACCTACCACACGTTTCTCCCTAAACCTAAACCTACCACGCTTTTCTCCCTAAACCTAAACCTACCACACGTTTCTCCCTAAACCTAAACCTACCACACGTTTCTGCCTAAACCTAAACCTACCACACGTTTCTCCCTAAACCTACCACACGTTTCTCCCTAAACCTAAACCTACCACACATTTCTCCCTAAACCTACCACACGTTTCTCCCTAAACCTAAACCTACCACACATTTCTCCCTAAACCTACCACACGTTTCTCCCTAAACCTACCACACGTTTCTCCCTAAACCTAAACCTACCACACATTTCTCCCTAAACCTACCACACGTTTCTCCCTAAACCTACCACACGTTTCTCCCTAAACCTAAACCTACCACACGTTTCTCCCTAAACCTGAACCTACCACACATTTCTCCCTAAACCTACCACACGTTTCTCCCTAAACGTAAACCTACCACACATTTCTCCCTAAACCTACCACACGTTTCTCCCTAAACCTAAACCTACCACACGTTTCTCCCTAAACCTACCACACGTTTCTCCCTAAACCTACCACACGTTTCTCCCTAAACCTACCACACGTTTCTCCCTAAACCTGAACCTACCACACTTTTCTCCCTAAACCTAAACCTACCACACGTTTCTCCCTAAACCTGAACCTACCACACTTTTCTCCCTAAACCTACCACACGTTTCTCCCTAAACCTAAACCTACCACACGTTTCTCCCTAAACCTACCACACGTTTCTCCCTAAACCTGAACCTACCACACTTTTCTCCCTAAACCTAAACCTACCACACGTTTCTCCCTAAACCTACCACACGTTTCTCCCTAAACCTACCACACGTTTCTCCCTAAACCTACCACACGTTTCTCCCTAAACCTACCACACGTTTCTCCCTAAACCTACCACACGTTTCTCCCTAAACCTACCACACGTTTCTCCCTAAAGTCGATACCAACTGTAGATATGAACCTGCCGTTGAAGACATTGTCTGTGTATTGATACAGGAAACTTGTTTTCCCGACCCCCGAGTCACCTGGGGATAAACAAGTCATAAGTCATATGGGGACAAATAAGTCATAAGTCATACAGGGTCAAACAAGTCATATGGGGTCAAACAAGTCATAAGTCATACAGGGTCAAACAAGTCATAAGTCATACAGGGTCAAACAAGTCATAAGTCATATGGGGTCAAACAAGTCATAAGTCAAATGGGGACAAACAAGTCATAAGTCATACAGGGTCAAACAAGTCATAAGTCATATGGGGTCAAACAAGTCATAAGTCACCTGGGGACAAACAAGTCATAAGTCACCTGGGGACAAACAAGTCATAAGTCATATGGGGACAAACAAGTCATAAGTCATACAGGGTCAAACAAGTCATAAGTCAAATGGGGACAAACAAGTCATAAGTCATACGGGGTCAAACAAGTCATAAGTCATATGGGGGACAAACAAGTCATAAGTCAAATGGGGACAAACAAGTCATAAGTCATACAGGGTCAAACAAGTCATAAGTCATACAGGGTCAAACAAGTCATAAGTCACCTGTGGACAAACAAGTCATAAGTCATATGGGGACAAACAAGTCATAAGTCAAATGGGGACAAACAAGTCATAAGTCATACAGGGTCAAACAAGTCATAAGTCATATGGGGTCAAACAAGTCATAAGTCATATGGGGTCAAACAAGTCATAAGTCATACAGGGTCAAACAAGTCATAAGTCAAATGGGGACAAACAAGTCATAAGTCATATGGGGTCTAACAAGTCATATGGGAACAAACAAGTCATAAGTCACCTGGGGACAAACAAGTCATAAGTCATATGGTGACAAACAAGTCATAAGTCATATGGGGACAAACAAGTCATAAGTCATATGGTGACAAACAAGTCATAAGTCATACAGGGTCAAACAAGTCATAAGTCAAATGGGGACAAACAAGTCATAAGTCATATGGGGTCAAACAAGTCATATGGGAACAAACAAGTCATAAGTCATATGGTGACAAACAAGTCATAAGTCACCTGGGGACAAACAAGTCATAAGTCATATGGTGACAAACAAGTCATAAGTCATATGGGGACAAACAAGTCATAAGTCATACAGGGTCAAACAAGTCATAAGTCATACAGGGTCAAACAAGTCATAAGTCATACAGGGTCAAACAAGTCATAAGTCATATGGGGACAAACAAGTCATAAGTCATATGGGTCAAACAAGTCATAAGTCATATGGGGTCAAACAAGTCATAAGTCATACAGGGTCAAACAAGTCATAAGTCATACAGGGTCAAACAAGTCATAAGTCAAATGGGGACAAACAAGTCATAAGTCATATGGGGTCAAACAAGTCATATGGGAACAAACAAGTCATAAGTCATATGGTGACAAACAAGTCATAAGTCACCTGGGGACAAACAAGTCATAAGTCATATGGTGACAAACAAGTCATAAGTCATATGGGGACAAACAAGTCATAAGTCATACAGGGTCAAACAAGTCATAAGTCATACAGGGTCAAACAAGTCATAAGTCATACAGGGTCAAACAAGTCATAAGTCATATGGGGACAAACAAGTCATAAGTCATATGGGGTCAAACAAGTCATAAGTCATATGGGATCAAACAAGTCATAAGTCATACAGGGTCAAACAAGTCATAAGTCATACAGGGTCAAACAAGTCATAAGTCAAATGGGGACAAACAAGTCATAAGTCATATGGGGTCAAACAAGTCATATGGGAACAAACAAGTCATAAGTCATATGGTGACAAACAAGTCATAAGTCACCTGGGGACAAACAAGTCATAAGTCACCTGGGGACAAACAAGTCATAAGTCATATGGTGACAAACAAGTCATAAGTCATATGGGGACAAACAAGTCATAAGTCATACAGGGTCAAACAAGTCATAAGTCATACAGGGTCAAACAAGTCATAAGTCATACAGGGTCAAACAAGTCATAAGTCATATGGGGACAAACAAGTCATAAGTCATATGGGGACAAACAAGTCATAAGTCATATGGTGACAAACAAGTCATAAGTCATATGGGGTCAAACAAGTCATAAGTCATACAGGGTCAAACAAGTCATAAGTCATACAGGGTCAAACAAGTCATAAGTCAAATGGGGACAAACAAGTCATAAGTCATATGGGGTCAAACAAGTCATATGGGAACAAACAAGTCATAAGTCATATGGTGACAAACAAGTCATAAGTCACCTGGGGACAAACAAGTCATAAGTCATATGGTGACAAACAAGTCATAAGTCATATGGGGACAAACAAGTCATAAGTCATACAGGGTCAAACAAGTCATAAGTCATACAGGGTCAAACAAGTCATAAGTCAAATGGGGACAAACAAGTCATAAGTCATATGGGGTCAAACAAGTCATATGGGAACAAACAAGTCATAAGTCATATGGTGACAAACAAGTCATAAGTCACCTGGGGACAAACAAGTCATAAGTCATATGGTGACAAACAAGTCATAAGTCATATGGGGACAAACAAGTCATAAGTCATACAGGGTCAAACAAGTCATAAGTCATACAGGGTCAAACAAGTCATAAGTCATACAGGGTCAAACAAGTCATAAGTCATATGGGGACAAACAAGTCATAAGTCAAATGGGGACAAACAAGTCATAAGTCAAATGGGACCCCCCCCCCCCTCACTTACCTAGAGCCAGGAACTTGATCAGGTAGTCATAATCAGCGACGCCACTTGCTCCCCCTCCCCCCATGGTAGGTGAGCCAAGTCTCTCCCCCAGCTCACCCATCCACAGATCTGAAATCAAGAAAAGACCTTGACCCCTCTATACACATGCTGACCCATGACCCCTCTATACACATGCTGACCCCTCTACACACCTCCTGACCCCTCTACACACCCAGGCTAATCAATCAACTATGACCTACATCAGAAGATGAATTATTAAAGCATCTTTAGGGCAGGTCACATCAGGCAATGTTTACAGATTTCCCACGGGTAGTTTCACACATTAAATAAAGTAAAAACTTTTTGGTAAGAGTTATCCACGGAGGATAGCGAGGGGAAGTAATCTGGTGACGCTTGTTGTAAACTGTGATTTTACGTTTTGTCTCCCTTGGAACAGTTGCTTGTATGTAGTAAATATATTTAATAAATATTTTATTAGTGGTCTAGCGGTAGAGAGCTAGACTTCTAGCCCGTACGTCTCGAGTTCGAATCCGGGTTCATGTCAGAAGACCGTCCCTGAGTACTCCCAACTCTGATGGGTACCTAACTCACGTTAGGGAAAGTAAAGGCGGCTGGGCATAGTGCTGACCACACTATCTCTTCATATGCCGAGGTCACAGAAACAGGTGAACTTTACTTCACTTGCCCCATAGACCGTCAGGTTTGTAAAGGGAACTTTACTACTTTTTGTACTAAACATTTAATACAAACAAGATTCCAAAAATAAACAACCTCAAAATGGAAAGGTAAACACAACACAGTTATTTCCCTTATAGACGGCAGTGTGAGCGGGGGAGATAAGAAGAGTGGGTAGGGGGGTGGGGTGGGGCATGGGGTGGGTAGGGGGGTGGGGCATGGGGTGGGTAGGGGGTATGGGGTGGGGCATGGGGTGGGTAGGGGGTATGGGGTGGGGCATGGGGTGGGTAGGGAGTATGGGGTGGGGCATGGGGTGGGTAGGGGATATGGGGTGGGGCATAGGGTGGGTAGGGGGTATGGGGTGGGGCATAGGGTGGGTAGGGGATATGGGGTGGGGCATAAGGTGGGTAGGGCTGGTGGGGGTGGGGCATGGGGTGGGTAGGGCTAGTGGGGGTGGGGCATGGGGTGGGTAGGGGGTATGGGGTGGGGCATAAGGTGGGTAGGGCTGGTGGGGGGTGGGGCATGGGGTGGGGCATGGGGTGGGGCATAGGGTGGGTTGTTGGGACAGGCTGGTCGGTGGCTTGCCTAATTAGGGCAGCATGGATATTAGTTTAAAGGGCAAAAGAAAAGTTTGGTTGAAACCAGGGAAAATGAGAAAGGTAAAAAAAGAACCAAAACCTTAATGTTTAGTCATTAGCAAGTGAGAATCACATAGGTCACATGACAGTCACAATAATGCAGCTAGAAGCAGAAACCATGAAACAAAATAAGAGAAATAATGCAGGGGTGGGGGGGGGGCTCATGGTGATTATAAATGATATCGGGCAATAGAAAAAGTAAAAGGTCAAATCGTGCTAACCCACATGAGGTCAGAGGTCAAGTTGCTTACCGTAGTGCCTGTCCACGGTAGGGCCAAAGTAATGGAGCTAAAAATAGAAATGCCACGGCATACACAACCACTTGACAGCATCAATTTGTTTAAAACACAAATCCACATCTCAACCACACACATCCACATCTTAACCACACACATCCACATCGTGTAGCATGGATTGAATGAACCAACAGCTGTGTACTGAGTTAACTTATGTGTGTGTGTGATCGTGTAGCATTGATTGAATGAACCAACAGCTGTGTACTGAGTTAATTTATGTGTGTGTGTGTGTGTGTGTGTGTTTGTGTGATCGTGTAGCATTGATTGAATGAACCAACAGCTGTGTACTGAGTTAATTTATGTGTATGTGTGTGTGTGTGTGTGTGTGTGATCGTGTAGCATTGATTGAATGAACCAACAGCTGTGTACTGAGTTGTTTAACCTTCTACTCCCCGCCCCTGAATTATTGCCCTTGATCTTATCTGCACTTCTCGTGTTGTGGCTAAGAATTGACCGTTCATTCATTCAGCGTCACATGAGGCAGTCAATGTGTATCGGACGTACCTCACTGGCTAATATACCAAAATCCACAACACGACATGACCCCCCCCCCCCCACTCACAAACACACACCAGGACCCAAACCAAGTCCCCCGCCTCATTCTCACACACACACACACATTACACACAAATAGCCACCGACAAACACACGACCCCCACAGGTACAACAGGACCCACCCTCCCACACTACGACCCCCCCCCCCACCACCACTACACACAACAGGACCCACCCTCCCACACTACGACCCCCCCACCACCACTACACACAACAGGACCCACCCTCCCACACTACGACCCCCCACCACCACTACACACAACAGGACCCACCCTCCCACACTACGACCCCCCCACCACCACTACACACAACAGGACCCACCCTCCCACACTACGACCCCCCACCACCACTACACACAACAGTACCCACCCTCCCACACTACGACCAAGCGCCTACTCCCGACAGTGTTTTAATTTCAACCCTTATTACCCCCCCCCCCCATCCCCCTAAACACACACACCTTGCGACATTAAATATTTGATGACGTCAATTTTTCAAATATCGATTACCCCCCCCCCCCCCCCCCCAGCTCAACTTACAAAATCATGGACGACACAAACATCGTCAGGCAGATCTGCTGCTGTTTTAAGGCGCCGGCAGGTGGCGGTGGGGAGGAGGGGGGGGGGGGGGGAAGAGGAGTGGCTGTGGCTCTTGGAAACAAAAATGAGATGAGACAGGTACAATATGAGACCAGAGATGAGACAGGTACAATATGAGACCAAGTCAGTGACCGACCGGTTCAATCAGGCAGAACACACCACGTGACTAAATCACGTCACGTGACTGTCTAACTATGTCTACGTTTATAGATAGGTCAATGTGTCAAATGAATGTGTAACTTTGTCTAGAACACAGGTCATAGTGAGTTGCTTTAACACCGGAAGTTGAGGTTTTTTTTGTCCTAAGGTAGATTGAGTATAAAAGCGGACTTAAAGATAGTTTGGTTAGGTTTAGCTAGCTGGTTAGGGTTAACTATGTGATTAGGTTTAGCTAGAAGGTTATCTGTGACACACAAGACCACGCCCCCTTCAAAATGTGACACACTAGACCACGCCCCCTTCAAAATGTGACACACAAGACCACGCCCCCTTCAAAATGTGACACACAAGACCACGCCCCCTTCAAAATGGGACACACAAGACCACGCCCCTTCAAAATGTAACACACAAGACCACGCCCCCTTCAAAATGTGACACACAAGACCACGCCCCCTTCAAAATGTGACACACACAAGACCACGCCCACTTACAAGACCACGCCCACTTTAAAGTGTGACACACAAGACCACGCCCACTGAGAGAGTAGAGCTACGACTGACCCGGGGGACGGGACGGACTAATGGCTAATACAGCGCTGACGTGAGAGGACCTCCAGTGGACTTAAGACAGAGTAGATGTTTTTTTTTACCTCAGTGGTGGAGAGGTAGATGTTTTTTTTTTACCTCAGTGGTGGAGAGGTAGATGTTTTTTTTACCTCAGTGGTGGAGAGATAATCCCAGGGGATTAGCTGGTCACTCACCACATGAGTAGAGAAGGTCCACATTTTGGACGAGAAATGTCGACATTATGGGCGAGAAATATGTACCTCACGCTGGTCACTAAGTCATTTGTACAACTTGGTTATTTTGGTCACTAAGTCATTTGTACAACTTGGTTATTTTGGTCACTAAGTCATTTGTACAACTTGGTTATTTTGGTCACTAAGTAATTTGTACAACTTGGTTATTTTGGTCACTAAGTCATTTGTACAACTTGATTATTTTGGTCACTAAGTCATTTGTACAACTTGGTTATTTTGGTCACTAAGTCATTTGTACAACTTGGTTATTTTAGTCACTAAGTCATTTGTACAACTTGGTTATTTTAGGCACTAAGTCATTTGTACAACTTGGTTATTTTGGTCACTAAGTCATTTGTACAACTTGGTTATTTTGGTCACTAAGTCATTTGTACAACTTGGTTATTTTGGTCACTAAGTCATTTGTACAACTTGGTTATTTTGGTCACTAAGTCATTTGTACAACTTGGTTATTTTGGTCACTAAGTCATTTGTACAACTTGGTTATTTTGGTCACTAAGTCATTTGTACAACTTGGTTATTTTGGTCACTAAGTCATTTGTACAACTTGGTTATTTTGGTCACTAAGTCATTTGTACAACTTGGTTATTTTGGTCACTAAGTCATTTGTACAACTTGGTTATTTTGGTCACTAAGTCATTTGTACAACTTGGTTATTTTGGTCACTAAGTCATTTGTACAACTTGGTTATTTTGGTCACTAAGTCATTTGTACAACTTGGTTATTTTGGTCACTAAGTCATTTGTACAACTTGGTTATTTTGGTCACTAAGTCATTTGTACAACTTGGTTATTTTGGTCACTAAGTCATTGGTACAACTTGGTTATTTTGGTCACTAAGTCATTTGTACAACTTGGTTATTTTGGTCACTAAGTCATTTGTACAACTTGGTTATTTTGGTCACTTAGTCATTTGTACAACTTGGTTATTTTGGTCACTAAGTCATTTGTACAACTTGGTTATTTTGATCACTAAGTCATTGGTACAACTTGGTTATTTTGGTCACTAAGTCATTTGTACAACTTGGTTATTTTGGTCACTAAGTCATTTGTACAACTTGGTTATTTTGGTCACTAAGTCATTTGTACAACTTGGTTATTTTGGTCACTAAGTCATTTGTACAACTTGGTTATTTTGGTCACTAAGTCATTGGTACAACTTGGTTATTTTGGTCACTAAGTCATTTGTACAACTTGGTTATTTTGGTCACTAAGTCATTTGTACAACTTGGTTATTTTGGTCACTAAGTCATTTGTACAACTTGGTTATTTTGGTCACTTAGTCATTTGTACAACTTGGTTATTTTGGTCACTAAGTCATTTGTACAACTTGGTTATTTTGGTCACTAAGTCATTTGTACAACTTGGTTATTTTGGTCACTAAGTCATTTGTACAACTTGGTTATTTTGGTCACTAAGTCATTTGTACAACTTGGTTATTTTGGTCACTAAGTCATTTGTACAACTTGGTTATTTTGGTCACTAAGTCATTTGTACAACTTGGTTATTTTGGTCACTAAGTCATTTGTACAACTTGGTTATTTTGGTCACTAAGTCATTGGTACAACTTGGTTATTTTGGTCACTAAGTCATTTGTACAACTTGGTTATTTTGGTCACTAAGTCATTTGTACAACTTGGTTATTTTGGTCACTAAGTCATTTGTACAACTTGGTTATTTTGGTCACTAAGTCATTTGTACAACTTGGTTATTTTGGTCACTAAGTCATTTGTACAACTTGGTTATTTTGGTCACTAAGTCATTTGTACAACTTGGTTATTTTGGTCACTAAGTAATTTGTACAACTTGGTTATTTTGGTCACTAAGTCATTTGTACAACTTGATTATTTTGGTCACTAAGTCATTTGTACAACTTGGTTATTTTGGTCACTAAGTCATTTGTACAACTTGGTTATTTTAGTCACTTAGTCATTTGTACAACTTGGTTATTTTAGGCACTAAGTCATTTGTACAACTTGGTTATTTTGGTCACTAAGTCATTTGTACAACTTGGTTATTTTGGTCACTAAGTCATTTGTACAACTTGGTTATTTTGGTCACTAAGTCATTTGTACAACTTGGTTATTTTGGTCACTAAGTCATTTGTACAACTTGGTTATTTTGGTCACTAAGTCATTTGTACAACTTGGTTAGTTTGGTCACTAAGTCATTTGTACAACTTGGTTATTTTGGTCACTAAGTCATTTGTACAACTTGGTTATTTTGGTCACTAAGTCATTTGTACAACTTGGTTATTTTGGTCACTAAGTCATTTGTACAACTTGGTTATTTTGGTCACTAAGTCATTTGTACAACTTGGTTATTTTGGTCACTAAGTCATTTGTACAACTTGGTTATTTTGGTCACTAAGTCATTTGTACAACTTGGTTATTTTGGTCACTAAGTCATTTGTACAACTTGGTTATTTTGGTCACTAAGTCATTTGTACAACTTGGTTATTTTGGTCACTAAGTCATTTGTACAACTTGGTTATTTTGGTCACTAAGTCATTTGTACAACTTGGTTATTTTGGTCACTAAGTCATTTGTACAACTTGGTTATTTTGGTCACTAAGTCATTTGTACAACTTGGTTATTTTGGTCACTAAGTCATTTGTACAACTTGGTTATTTTGGTCTTTAAGTCATTTGTACAACTTGGTTATTTTGGTCACTAAGTCATTTGTACAACTTGGTTATTTTGGTCACTAAGTCATTTGTACAACTTGGTTATTTTGGTCACTAAGTCATTTGTACAACTTGGTTATTTTGGTCACTAAGTCATTTGTACAACTTGGTTATTTTGGTCACTAAGTCATTTGTACAACTTGGTTATTTTGGTCACTA